CCATCCACCGTATTCTCCGGACCTTGCTCCAAGCGACTATTTCCTCTTCTCAGACCTTAAGAGAATGCTCACCGGAAAAAAATTTCACAGCAACGAAGAAATCATCGCCGAAACTGAAGCCTATTTTGAGGACAAGCCGAAGGATTACTACCGGAAGGGTATCGAAAAACTTGAAGAACGTTATAATCGCTGTATAGCCCTTGAAGGCAACTATGTTGAATAATAAAAGCGAATTTTGACGAAAAAAATATTTTTTCATTGAAACGATACGGAATTTTCAGCCCACCTGTTATATATCCGTAGCAAAACTACTCAGATATTATCCAAAGCAACTTGATTATTATGTTATAAAAATGTTTTATCATCGTGGTACAAATAATGCATTGGAACTTTTAAAAATAAATATTTCGAAAGCTATTAGCTCTAGACACTTCTAATAAATAAACCTTTTTTGTTGTGGAAATATGAGAACATAAGATTTTTCTGTTAGTTGTTGTATACAGCGTAGCATAAAACAGTTATGATAAGTTATTTACCGAAATAGTGCTGTAAGTGGCGCCCTCTAGAAGTTTGGCCATACAAAATAACGGATTCTTCTTTCTCATACTCATACCGAGTTTTACGCCAAAATCTGAAATACTTCTCAAGCAATACGGAAAAATAGAAAATAAAATTGTAACTTTGACTCTCGCAAACTATCAACTTTTGGACTAAGGTATGTTTAGGCCAATTCACATATTTTGGTCTGTAGTATCTCCACTTTCGAGATTTCCCAACCTTTCGCAGACACCCTGTATAAAGTATCCTTGAATTTCTTTGGGACGTACGCAAAGTTTTGCAAAAGTGCACTCTTTTAACTTGAAACCCAAGCTTTCGATGGTCTATGTCATCATCGTAGGGAGTGAGTCGGCGAGATTGTTGCTGAAATTGTTCTTAGATGAAAGAAGAAGAGAACACAGTCAACGAACAAAAAGCTAGATTGATGAGGTTCAATTAGTAAATGTTTTCTACATCTTCCCATCCTCGAGAGGTTCTAGAAAAGATGAAATTTCTAAAGAATTTTCAATAATTAATAAAACTTGAATTTTCTAAATCCGTTAGTGTTTTTTGTAAAAAATAGCTATGGTTTTACTAATAATTAATATTAAAATTGTTTCCTAATTGAACCTCATCAATCCAGCTTTTTGTTCGTTGACTATGGGTTCTCTTATACTTTCGTCTAAGAACAATTTCAGCAACAGTCTCGCCGACTTACTCCTGATGATGATGGCATATACCCTCGAAAGCTTGAGTGTTAAGTTAAAATAGTGTGCTTTTACAAAACTTTGAATACGTCCCACAGAAATTCCAGGATACTTTTTCCTTTCGTCGACGAGACAACAATTTCCTGTATAGGTAGGCAGGAGATTTGTAGTTACTATTTTGTTTGTCATGGTAGCCACAGAGACTTCTATGCATAATCATTTTAGTTCAAATATATTTTCTAAAGTAGTCATACTTTTTTAGGTTATAAATAAATCTACAACAACTATTTTTATACTTTTGTAACCTATTTTTAGTCGCAGCATCTAGGCATAGATAGTAAACAGCATTACAATAAGCAAAAGTAGGAAATATGAGAGATGCGCATATTTTTTCCGCTCTTTAAAAATGCACATGCCTGCTACAATAAAATCTCTTCAAAACGTAGTATCATTTTTTTTAGAGTAATTGAAAAATGTTCATTGAAACGCAGGTAACTGTCAAAAGTCAACCCTAATTTTTTTTCTGTATCCATTAATAGCAATGAAGCTCCAAAAAAATTGATATTCAGTGCCTGTGTTATGTTTCTATGACTATTGTTGGAACATGTGATGAACTTTTGAGGAGATAATAAAAACGTCACACGATCTTAATTATTTCTTATAAACGGGGAAAACATTGATCTGAAGATTTTTAACGTCTTTTTGTAGATTTCGTTCTCTGACTGACATCAACAAACACACAAGGATACATACGGGTGAACGAAGTTATCCATGCGGCCTTTGCGACAAACGTTTTACACAATCTTCACATTTAAAAAGACATGAGATGGCCGTACATATACAAGCTCGTCCCTATGATTGTAGGTAAGATAAAGATGTTAAGGTTTCGACAGTCCGACAACCAAACAAATGACACAGCCCTTAAAATTTCAACTCTCTAAATGTCGGTGATATGTAGGGTGATTCATACATTAATTCATAATAATAACACAAGTTCACATAAACGTGAGCCTTAAAATGTACAACATCCTGTATCACGGTCATGGGACATTTGATGACCTAGTTTTATTGGAGCTTTTTTGTTATTTTTAGATGTATAGTTGCGAACACCAAAAGTTCGCCAATTTTGATCTAACAAAGTCGAAAATTGCTTTAAAATAAATAATCTCAAAAAACTCTTCGGGGTCTTACGGAGCAATGGTTTATCTTCAATTTACATACTTGGCGACCTTAAAAAATTGTAATTTTTAACCGAGTTCTTAAGCATTGAATGTATCCATTTTTAGGGCTAAGCTAAATCGCTTATAAGTCGAAAATTTTCGGTTTTAGAGAAAATTTAATGAAAACCTTTTTTCGGAATGATTAAAAAAACAGAAAAAATGTATCCTTGCAAAAAATGTAATTTACATCAAAAAATGTTTAAATCAATTTGGGTTACCGTGCGGGTATATTTAATGCTTAAAAATTCGGTTAAAAATTATAATTTTTGAGGTCATCAAGTATCTAAATTGAGGTTGAAATCTTGCGCTAGAAGACTTGAAGAGTATTTTGAGATTAGTTTATTATAGAGAGAGATTTCAACCTTCTTTTTCACGTCAAATTGGTGAAATTTTTGTTTTCAAAGACTACACTTTCTATTCTAGAAATATTATCTCGGTTTTCTGAATCGCCCTGTATGTGTGATATGTGATCCTTCAGAGTTTTACCACTCGCCAAACCAATTTTGTAATAATTGACACGCGCTTCTCTATATTAGCATCTATATGGAAAGATTAAGTCCAGTTTTAGCTCAAATGTAACCATTATTGCATGTGAAAATTGTGATTTTTCAGATACTGTGGAAAAGCATTTTCTCAAAAACAAAACATGGAAGCCCACGAGAGAACGCATAATGGTGAAACGCGTTACCTGTGTCAACAGTGTGGAAAGACATTTGTCGACATGAGTGGTTTAAGGAAACACCAAAAGAGTCATCAATCTTCACAGCCAGTAAAAGTTAAAGTAGAAGATATCGAGCAAATATATAGTGTCAAATAATAGATTGTTATGGAAAATAAAGTCAGATATCGTTTTTATCCTAAATATATTATTTATTATATGTAATATATGACTAGTGTAGTCTAAGATCCGAATTAGACCGACCTTCACTCATCTATTTAATGGATGAAAAGTACGGACGGTTCACATAAACACAGGATTTATAAAAAACCATAAAAAAATCACAAGTGGCCAAATCGAGAGAGTGGGATAGCCACTCCAAATCGCTCCTAATTGAGATTATGCGCTCGGGGAAGTGTTTCCTCAAAACAGCTATCAATGCTCTTTAACTGTGTGCCGTTGCACCTTGTTGGAACTAAATGTGCCCTAAATCCAACTCATCTAGCCGTGGGAAAAAATAACGTAACACATATACAGGGTGACTTCGAAGTTGAGTCATTTATTTTAACAGTGAGTAGATCTGATCAAAAGAAATGTTTTTTCCTTTAACATTTTTGTGGTAAAATTAAAGTAACAAAGTTATAGCCCTTTAGAAGTTTGAGTTCCGCCCTGTCTCAATAATAATATTATGTGCTCGTGTTTCGCAACAACGTATATAATCCGCCTTATCGGTTCATCGCATCGGAAACAAAAAAGCGAAAGTATTTGAAACGCTGATCACGATGTCTTTATTCAATGTGTCAGTCGGTAACGCGTGAGTGAATTGTGGTGTTTGCTGCGTGGCTCAAACGAAATAAAAAATGGCACATGTTTATGCGGATCGGTTTCCCAATCGAGTGCAACCAACCCCTCGTGCCTTTGTTAATGTAGTACAACGGGCTCGTGAATCAGGTGACTTAAGACCTCACAGGGGAGGGCATGCCGGTGCTCCAAGACCTCATGATCAAATACAGGTGCGCACTGAAATACTTGTCCGGAGGATACTTTATAAAACAAGGTAAACATTTTTTTATTTTTTTTTTTATTTTTACACACATATTTTGGTTGATCTTCCTTTTACCATCATTATCTGAAAATTAATGACTCAACTTCAAAGTCACCCTGTATACATACCGGTCCGAATTCACTGTCATTGCGACTTCATTTCCTTCAAAGAACCAGATACTAATAATTTCAGGTGAGGAATTTGTACACCCCACTGTTCCTGCACAATTACCATCTTGTAAGGATGGAAATGACAATCATCATGAATGTTTTTAGGTGACGAGGGACTCCATTTTTTCGTATTGTCGCACTTGCAGTTTGAAAGTAGTTGCCATCACAAAACATCCGCTCGAAAAGTAGGCCTCAATGGCAAAGGCACGTTCTGCACTGTTCTAAAGTATGTTGGCGACTGAACTGTGTCGGGGCAAAACTTTATAGTGGCGCCTCTCGAACGAGACCACTAGCGCTCGGCTAAGACATCAACCGATTGAATGGCGGGCATTTTAAAAAAGGAAGTTATGCTGACGCAACCTGTATAGGTATCAACAATTTTTTGACATTTCAGTATACTGTCTCGATGCTCAACTTGCGGCTCTGTATTTCATAAACAGTTCCTTATTTTTTTAAGCTTCATGCAAATGTAAAATTTAGTGGTCTGCCCCACTAACTGGTAAGAATCCCTTAAACGGTGATCAAACGCAATATACATTTTTTGTAGTTTTACAGATCACATGATACTTTGAAAAACAATTGTTTCTGTTTCAAACCTTCAACATGCGATATGAAATAAGCAAAAACGTGAAAAACATTTTTAAAATTAAATAATACATCAAATTTGATTCTAATAGAGGCGATTTATTCATTCAAAAATAGGTGCAATATACAAATCACAGAACATGATTTCACTGGAAAAAATACTGGTAACAAAAATAAAACAATCGTAAAAACAAAATATGCAATATATACATCAAACGCTTAATAACGACGATAATTTATCTACCACATTTTCACTAACGAGTACTAACGAATAGTGCTACATGAAGGAAAGCCCATACTTAAAATCCTGGCAAAAAGTATTAAAGTGATTCTGCTTTAACAAAATGTTGATCAATGAAAACAGAGGAAAGTGCATTCATATAATTTCTAAAACGTATCGTAGTTAAAGCTGATATCATTTGACATGTAGCTGAAGGCAGATCCTACAATGGTAATGCCCACTGTCACAACTATTTCAATGTACAATTTCGATAAAAACTATCAAACAATAGTACTAGAAAGGAAGGGGTGAGAAAAAGTACATCCTATCCATGCGGTAAACTACTGGAATATGGACGGCTCTAAAACTGAAGACGGAGCCGATATTTATGGGACAAGGCCAAAAACCGAGTACCTCATTAAGTCTAGGCAACATAGCAACACTATTTCAGGCTGATACAACAGCCATTCAAACCTGCACAAAAGAGCTAATAAGGAAAGGAACTGTAAGTCAGTCGATCGTCCTCTGCTCAGACAGCCAGGCAGCTATCAAGACATTGAGTTCATCGCAAATATCGTCTACATTACTAGGGGATTGCGTAAATACTATAGCCTCAAAGAGCTGGTCAACCAAAACAAGGTAACATTGCTTTAGTACCAGGGCAAGGAGGGCACAATCAAAATGAGAAGGCGAATGATCTACCCGACAGGGTTCGGCTAATCGTCTTATAGGAACAGAGCCTTTCTGTGGCGTGAGGAGAACGCGCACTTAACAGTCCATAAGAAAGTGGACTAAGAAAAAGTCCCTAGAATGGTAGAACAGCCATTTAAAGACGACCTACTTAGATTTAATAGGAAGGACATACGGGCCATAGTGGGTCTCGTAACAGGACACTGTCGATTAAATTGACATAAAAGGCTGTTGGGTCTGGCAGAGAGGAAAACCCACTGCATGACTTGTGTCACTGCGAAGGGCTGGCAAAGCTTTGGTTTCAGACATTAGGAATCACGACTGCAACAGCGGAAAGCTACATGCAAAGCCCCGTGTCAAGGCTATGGAGTTTGATTAAACGATCAAGGCTGAACACAGTGCTTTAGTCAGCGTATATAGGGGGTCACAATAGATCAATAGGGATTCCCGTGGCGTTAAGGCTAGCAAGCCGACACCTTTTCTGTACTCTGATATTATTTAACACTTTTAATATTTGCCTTATGTCATCAAGTTATGAAACTGTAGGGGAACAACTTTTGGATGATTACTCCTTCTTAAGCATTTTTTGAATTTCTTGTGCTAATAGCGAGTTACTTATACTTTTTGAGCATAAATAAGTAGGACCTTTCCAAGTAAAGAAACCGACTGTTGTACTGTTAATTTACCGCATTAGAAAGCCGAAGTCGTATTTTATTAATACTATATTGGAACAAGTATAACGGACAATCCTATGGATTGACAATAAATAAATATATAAAATACTGCATAGATCCAGCGTTCACAGCGTGGTGAGATGCAAATATATAAAAATAAGTATATATTTAAAATGAGCTGCCCGATAAAATATGTTTACACTACCGTCCAAAAGTTTGAAACACTTTTTCATCTTTAATGAAATATTGGCTAGTTATGCACACGATTTTTCGGATGAGCACATCCGTAACAACGAGTATGTTTAGTAAACAGCAACTTCTCTCATGCTGTCTTAGTGCCACATCTGGCGGCGTTTTACAACCGCATTGGAAAGGTATCTCCAATCGCTTTCTAGTTGCAACCCGCCGCTTCGTGGGCACACCCCACGGTACCACCGTGCGAGGTCAATAAGCTATATACGATTTTTCGGATGAGCGAATCCGCAATAGCGGGTATGTTTAGTAAACAACAACTTGGCAGATAGGAAATGCGGGATTCGAACCCGCATCTCCTTCGGTGGAGCCGACCTAACCAATTAGTCTATAGCGCCAGCTGCCAACCAACCTCAGCATCAACTGTTAAGGCAAATTTAATCTTGGCTAGGCCACTGTTCCCTTATTCTTCAAAGCTGCGTGATGCCCCATCTGGCGGCGTTCAATTTCACTTGAAAAATAACCCAAAAAAGTTGACTGATCCTATATTTCTTTGTAAAACTAATAATCACCCCTTATATTCCATTTAGATGGGATATCACTGACTAGATCAGTGTTATATCAATTTTGTCTCTTTGAAGTATGAACACATATTAACCTAGCATATTTAAGTTTAAAATACCTGTATTTTGCTTACAAACTTTCGAACGGAATTGCGGATGTAAGTTTACATCAGACGAATAACAGCACGTCGAACATCTGACAATACCTGCTATATGCAGGAGCCGAAATTTTACAGGGGACGAAAAAAACCTTATCAATTTTATACTACCGGCCTCAAGATTTTACAACTTTGGCCACAAAAAATAAATGACGTTTAACACATATTTAATGCGTTTTTATCTAAATGAAGCTTTAATTGACAAAATTAGTGCAGATAGCTGATATTTCTGCTAACTTTCTTTGCACTTAGCAGATATTGTACTATGATGTAGATGGATTTAGTGAGATTCGTGTTAGAAAAACTGTTATGCATTATATCAAATTAAAAGTTTAATGCTTTTACAAATCAAAAAGATAATAGCATGTATTCTCAGTTTCACTTTAAATGAACGTTCACCTTCTTTCCTTGACATATGGCAAATTGTCGTAAAACATGTGACAGTCCTTACATATAACACTTATAATCTGAAATGACGGATAGCTGTTTTGGTCTCATATGCAACTCCTGATGCTCTACACTGAAGTCTAGTTTCACTTCAATTTTTCCATCGGGATTATAACATACTTTGATGTCCATGACTATATTGTCCCTGCCTGGTCTAATTGTTGAGTATCGCTGTACCTCTGTTCGAGAGTAGTCCTTGAAGAAGTCGTAACTCAATTGGATCACCTCATATGGCTCTGGTTTTGTCCTAGCTTCTTTTGACACCTGAACATAGTCATTTGGTAATTCAATAACTCCATTTCTCAATTTTCTTTAAATGCAACTGTGTACAGAGTCACATTCCTTTTGGGTGTGTCCTTTGGTGAGATGTTTCTGAGAAATCACATCGTCATGTTTCATTGCAAAGTTAAGAAAAATAGCACGCGTAATTGTCAGATAGCTGGAATTGCCGCTCATTGACAGACGTGTTGCCAGTAGTAGATATTGTTTTGGCTGAATAATTCAAAAACTAAATTTTTCTGCAGTTAGCGAACTATCACAATGTGCGCTGTAGGTAGACAAAGAAAAATGTGCATATACCTCAAATTGGGTATAAATGTCAGATAGCAGGTATTGTCAGATGTCCGACAAACAGTGTTTTATCAGCGACTAGATACGGAAATAATATCACATAATTGAAAGCATAAAAATGTATAATAAAATGTAAAATAATACCGATAAATGGATGGTAACGTGTAAAAAGATATCTTCTCCTTCTACTTCTATTGGAATACCGCCTTTGCCGACTTAGCACCTTGTCGATTTCTGAAACAGACAAAGGTCATTTATCAGCATTACTACAGGTGAAAATAAAACATTTGGTTCTGATTTCAACCAGTGATTAACGTAAACTCCAGGAAGATGTATCACGTGCCAAAATCACGTAACCTTTTTTTTACTATTTTGATCACTTACTAGTAATTTGAATTGCTCTTTATTAATGGTAGAGTGTCCATTCCTAGGCCAAACCCTTTTCAATGATTTTCTTTTGGTAACTTTCATAGTTTATTGATAGTATAATTTCACACGTATTATATCTTTCTTTCTCAGCTTGAATGAATGAATGAATGAATCTTGAAATTATAGGCATTCCGGCCACCATAAGGAGCCAGTGCAAAGGCCGCCTAAGCGGGCCCTTATGCACCTATACATTCCTTAGATCACAAGCCTCGCCCTTTTAGCGAACTTGAGAATCGCCTTGAGTCCAAGCTCCTTCACGTCCTGAGGGTCCAAAGTAATGGACCCCAGTATAGTCTGCCTATAGTAGCTCAGAGCTTCACAGCGACACAAAACGTGCGCCGAGGTCTCTTCCTCTAACCCGCAGCGTTCACACAAGGGATCCTCAGCCACCCCCATCACGTGCAGGTGGTGCCTTAACGTCTTATGGCCAGACAACAGTCCCACCAGCAACCTTAGGTTGGCTCTATCCAGAGATCCTTAGCACTGGGCCCTTCAATGAGTTTCCGTGCCTGGCGGAGATGTCTGGAGATACTTCTCCATTTCTAAGAGTGTTGTCTTGCAACACACGTCTCCATTTTCCTCCTAGATCTATTCGCGGTCACTCCTAGAGCTGGCTCAGGACCAACGAGCTTGCTGGCTGATCCTGTCTTCGCCTGAGTGTCCGCCGTCTCATTGCCCCTTATCCCAGCGTGCCCCGGTACCCACATTAACGATACCGGATGCCTCGCTGTGAGGCAATCCAGAGCCTCCCTGCATTGCAATACAAGACTCGAAGTAATCTTACAGGCACTTAGTGCTTTCATTGCAGCCTGGCTGTCGGAGAAGATTGTTATTCTTGTCCTAGGCCCACCCTCCTCCAGAATGTGAGATACACAAGCCAGAATCGCAAGATTTCCGCATGGAAAATAGTGGTGTATCCACCGAGAGGCAGAGATAGCCTAGTTTTAGGCCCAGAGACCCCAGCACATGAGCCCTTTTCGGTAACCGAGCCGTCCGTGTAGATGGCAGTATGCTCCTTGACAGGATTCAAGAAAGCCCAGCTACCCGGACTCCACCGCGGATCACCAGATCCAACGGTGGAAGATCCAACAGAGCTTCCATTGCACTCAATGGCGTTGTTCACACTGCGCTTGTAATGCTAATACAGGCCAAACGCTGAATTTTATTGAGTTTGGTCTTAGTTGTCTCAGTTCTAATGCAAGGCCTCCAGACCAGGGAGCCGTACAAGAGAGATGGATGTACTATCGTCGTGTAGAGCCAGTATACCACTTTGGGTTTAAGCCCCCACCTTACACCGACAACACGTCTACAGGCCCACATTGAATTGCGAGTCTTGCTAACCTTGTATTCAACATGTTCTCTCCGGTTCAGTTTACAATCCAGGATAATTCCCAGATATTTCACTGATTGGGTTAGAATTAAACTAGTCCCAAAGAAGGTCGGCATGACCAGCCCGTCAAGCCTTCTTCTCCTGTTGAATAGGATCAGCTCGGTCTTTTCAGCATTAACAGAAGAGATTTTCGAGACTGTTCTACAAAAACGTCCCCTAACTACTATGCTTACGTCATCAGCATAGGCTTACACGTAGACACCCACTGCTGAGCTTAACGAGGAGTTCGTTCACCACGATGCACCACAGTAGGGGTGACAGAACTCCGCCCTGAGGACAGCCTCTAGCTACGCTGACGCTGCAGCTTACGTCATTCAGCATAGCTGTTGTTACCCGACCCTCCAGAGTAGATAGGACCCAATCTATTAGGATTGATCCAACCCCGTGTCTAACCACGGCATGTCTGATAGAGTCGGTTGTGGTGCAATTAAATGCAACTTCCTTTCTCAGCTTTGTTTGTAACTGTTTTGCAGCTGATATTGCTGCTAGCCCCCTTCCCCTTGTCAGATGTCCAATTCTATACTATACTTGGACATACGCATTCAATTTCCATCCTCACAGCCATGTTCCCAAGAAGTATCGCAATAGTTCCCTTATAAGTGGCAAAAATAAGACTCCATTTTGATTTGAAAGAAAGCTCTTGATTAGAATAAAACAGCACAAAGTGCCATTTATTACCGGAATTGACCAGTGCGAGAGTGAACAGCATCTATCTATTGGAACCGCACAACCATCTTCCTAATTATCCTATAAATCCCATAACCTGTGGTAACAGTCCGAGAGGTGGCATCGCTGGAGGTTAAATGACAAAAAAAGGATCAGCTCTTCATCCATTCTTACAAAAAAGCAAGTAAACAATAGCTGCCTTTTGTAGCTAGAATTGGCATTTGATCATCGTACAATACGTTGTGAAGAGCTGCTTCAATCTGATCTTATGCCTATAGTGGGAAGGCGAGAAAATTTTGAACATCTTGGCTAGTTTGATAGGGGGCGAATAGTGGGCTTGTGTGAAGCTTGTTGGTCCATTAGAGAAATAGCCAGCCATAGTTTTCAGGTATGCCGAATGGCCGTTTAAAAGGGCTGGAACCGTCATTTTAACTATTTTTCTCACAACATAATTTTTAAAGTTTTACACTCGTGATGCGTTTCTTATTGATCGATATTTTAATTTTTGACGTGTGCAGCGTTACTTATGATGTTCAATAATTAATTGCCTTTCACCGTTTTTTGGAATACGTCTAGAAAGAGGATTTCAACGTTGTAACTACTTTTTTCAATCACATTCTTATGAATTTGAGTTGACATAAATACTCTTTGTAGTGCGATTTGATGAAGAAAATAAACATTTTTGGAAGTTTGACATAAACAAAGAACAAACTTTCCTTCCGGCTTTAACTTCTTTGCGCCGTGACTGCAACTTTAAGACCTTTGTACTTTCGAAATATCATAAGTGGCCGGTTCTCGTAGTACATGGCACTTTGTGCTACCGTAATTGCATTTTGTCCATAGTTGACCGTCTGTGGCCTTTGTACTTGTACGCCTCCGCCTCTTTTCGCGTAACCACAGCTTCCACATAAATTGGGATTCTTTTGGTGGAATATGTCAAGCGTAAACCTGAATCTCACCTGTAATTATGCATGTCCACCATAGCCTTAGTAGCCTGTTTGTACTTGCCCTCCTGTTCTAACTTTGAGGAATTTCGACCTGCGGAATGCGTGGGCATTTTCACCACCACCCTGTTGCTTTCCATTTCAGCTCTGATGACATCGGATACGATGGATTTGATCTGCGGACAGATGCTGGGCGATTGGTAGTCCTGCGTGGTACGTAGAGGCATGTCCAGTTTCAGGTCTAGGATGTTTTCACCCTAGGGAAACACTCGATCTGTTATTTTTACAGACAACCATTTTGGCTTTCAAAAACAAAAAAATAGCATGGATGATACGTTCACATTACTCCAACAGTTATACTCAAATTTAAACGATAAAAATTTCAATTGCTTTTTTGTTACACATCCAAAGCTTTCGATTGTGTAAATCATGATATACTATTGCAGAAATTAAATATGTTTTTACTGGAACTTCACTTAATTGGTTTAAAATATTTAAATAATCGTCCTAAATTGTAAGAGTATCAAGATATACTACAACTAAATTAAAGAAGGGGAACCTCAAGGATCAGTACTAGGTCCAATCGTATTTTTAGTTTGTATTAACGATTTAATAAATTTAAACATAAATTGGTAAATTCATGGTTTTTGCTGACGATACCACAATACTTTGACAAGACATATTGATGAAATTAGGTAAAAAATTGACAATGATAAACAATCAATCCAAAAATGGTGTAATAACAATTACTTATCTTTCAATGTTAGTAAGACCAAATTTATGATAAATGCTCCGTTGATTCTATAAATTTAAATAATGATTTGATGCAGAAAACAGACACAATCAAATTTTTAGTACTGACCATTGATCATAAATGCAATTTTACTAATCGCGTCAACAAATTGCTTACTCTACTAGCAAGGATTTCCATTATTATTCGAACACTTATTTACAACGTAGGGAAAATCACAGCCTTAAGCAGTTACTTTGTCTTATTTGAACGTAAATTGATATAGCATCCCCTTTTAATGTCTTTGTTCCCAAAATTGTTTAAAAAGCCTTATTCTACAAAAAACGAACTATTAGATATATAACTAAAAGCAATCCTAGAACTAGATACAGGCGTTTATTTGTAAATCCTAAAATCATGACTCTCGTATCATCTAAATCTAAATTTGAGACATTAAATATAAGATACGGTATTAGACGAAAACAAGATCTTAAATTAGTAGCACCTAAAACAACATTTGTGCAAGACTCAATCTTTTACAATAGTCTAAAAATTTATATGTGCATTCCTGATGATATCAGAGGGATCAACAATTTAAAGATATTTTGCCGAGATCTTGAAAACTCCATTATTCGTAAACAAAATTATGCCATGTGTCTTCTACAATTTATTTTACTCGAGATCCACAAATGTAATTTTGTTCAGTAAGTTAGCTTTTTCATTAAGAATGATTGTATTCTTCAGACAATAAAGCATATTTATCTATCTATTTATATCTATACAAAATTGGATTTTTAATAATTTCGGCTTTTTCCATAAGCTCTGTTAGATGACCAACAAGCACATCTAAAATTTCCACCAACTTACCCTATACTTAGGAGAATTTTGACTCATCTGAATAGCAGCATCGGAAATCGGCCTTCTATAGTTATGAGCAAATGGTCTATCAGCAGGGTTCACCCTGATTTTCTCTTTCCTCAAAATCCAATTGTCCACATTTTCATCATACTGAGCCAGGTTGATCAATCTTGATCTCTCCTCAGCAGGCACGAAGTTGTCTATTACCAGAAACCACTGTCGCAGATGTCTAAGAAACAAGTAATAAAAGAAAGAGAGGAACGAATGAAGTTTAGTATCCAAAATTTAAGTATAAGCATCAGGCTGTGGTCACACTGCAGGTTGCAACGGCAATATCTCGGAATTTCCTACTTCGACTGGACTATGGAATTTTGGGCTCGGAATTGAGACCGAACAGCTCGACACTAATTGGTAAATTCAAAAAGCTTGACCAATTGGTTTAGCGTAAGGGAGTGAATGGGCATCTAGAGCTCACTTTTCTTTGTACTCGAATAATGCACAAGTGCTCAGCCCAAATCCCCTAAACCCTAGACCAACATTATAGCAAGATACCAAACGAGGTAACTAATATTTGCTTTCGAGGACATACCTGTGAGGGGGGCTTTATATTGTGTCCGAGGTGATCCTAATCAATATCTCGTTTTCAGCCTACAGGCTATAAATTGAGTTCCTCCTCCAGGTGAGCAATCCTAGTTGAGATACGCAGGTTGAATGATAGTTTGTACTTTTGCGTCCTAACTAAAAAAGAAACTATTGACTTGACTTTTACAACAATAACAAAAAATGTAGTAGTAACGATAACAACCGTATAACAAATAGGAAAAAGCAGTAGTAAGTAGAGCAATTATCTGTAGCAAATTGAAGGTAAAATTCGAAAAATTGATCATTTCGAAAAAAAAAACAGTACAGTGGCGTACTGGAAAAATTATGCCACTAATCCCCTGTATATCCGTTACTGCTGCACGTTAATTTTAAGTAAAGACTTTTGCATGTCCACAAACCAAATTTTAGTTCATTCCAGTTGACGGTTTTGAAGATATTCAAAAAATGTTTTTTATTTTTAAACTTTAACAGCCCGTATCTGTTTAATGAAGCCCTCGAGGAAAACATGTTACATAGAAGACCCCCCCTTAAAATGCGGTCCTGTGAATGATGTTTCATTTTTGATCACGACTTGTGACTCAACCTGTATACAATGCCTGACAGAGGCAACCCAACGATAATGCATTCTACTATTATTTAACATTCATAAAAATAAAGTTTTATCAATAAAAAAACCTGCAGATTCAAGCACGGGTATTACGTATCTTGAAAAGTAACATTATGTCGAACTTTTTTGACATTATATTGCTTTTTGTGACATTATGTAGGTTTTTCTGCAAGATGTTAACTTTTAGCACTAGCACTTGTTGTGAACTCGTTTGTACATGTTGCCTAAACGTCATGATGCTTCAGTTATCAATGTTTGGTTTTGATGTGATGTGAAATCTGCTTCAGAAATGGCATTACTGGAGGTCTAAGCTGTAAGTTGTATACTATAGCTAGAAAGAAACGGCAGTGCATAGATGCATAGCGAGGATTTGGGTGCTAATAATGTGTTGATGATAATTCCATTGGTTTCTTATCTCAAATACACTTACTTGAGACTCAAAGCTAGAAATGAGTTGTGAATATACTTTTTCTTATTAATTCTGTACATGACATATTCAAATTTGCTGAATTTCAAAAATGATTAGAAGAGAAAATCCCTGGTTGGTGAAGAAACAGGTGAGAACATATGATACAGACATGAATATTTATGAAAGTGGATAGGTTATTACATTATTTTTATTTCCAGTCATTTAAAATTTATAGAAATTCATTTTGCGATGTCAATAGAAAATACAAATCAGCGCCTAGATGTGAGGCATTGCGAAAATATTTGGTGATGCGTCATTCCTAATTTTTTTCTGTGAAAGTGGCTTAACTGCACACAACGCGTGCGCGGTGGTGATTTCCCGTAATGCTCCTCAAAGTTTTTGAAAACACAAAAAACGGAAAAAATCGTAATTTATAACTTTGAAGATAACCTGTCTTCAGGAAGGACAATATACAGGGTGTTTCACAACTTATCCGACAAATTTTAACCACATATGCACTGTTACGAATTTTGCCCTGCTTCTCCGTAAGCTAACACAATGTCCACTAATTCCTCATTAGTGTACACATGTGTCATTTTTATTAATAAATAACTAAAAACAAACTCGCAAAATACTTTCTTATTTAACTTCACAGAAATCGACCTTTCTTCATTCAGATCACCCACGATACAGATTAAACCTTATCGTTGTTATCAGTATGAAAAATCAAAAAATTCCTGGTATTTTGTTTTCGTCAGTTGTTTGGTACAACATTTGCTACAATAAATTATTAATGCGTGTTCCAGTATCACGACGATGAACGCAAAATACAGATATTTATTTTTCAATTTATTATTGAAACTCAGGTTTATAACTTAATTTCTGTAGGACTCCGCAAGGTTTGAGGTTGCCTGAAACAGGGGTGGTGGAGGGACAACAAAAGAGCAGGACAGTATGTGAGTGTGTGCACATCTTCTCAGAGATAAACACTACAGACTACTCGGCTTCACAAAAGATATACTTGATCTCTGCAACCAACAATGAGTGTAGTTGAGTAATTCCTCCATAGATGGACGCTCAGATCGATCATAGCGAGCAAACGTGGAATGAACTTTTTGCACCCTAAAAACTACCTAGTCTGCAAGATGACATTTTGTTGTTTTTTTACGTTTTATAGGTTTTTTACATAACAGCCGTGCCGATTTTGAAGTAAGCGAAGTGTTCATATGGCAAATTTGTAAAAGCACAACGTTGCCAGATGGGTCGACAGAATTTCACCAGAACAACGAAAAATATTTCTCAGAATTGCTACTTTTTCAAAAAACATTCCCCAAATCAAAATTAATTAATGGAAAGGGTTAAGTTTAGTTCAAAGAGCGGGAGGATGTTTCATATCCGAGAAACGTGTGATTTCCCAAAGACATTACTTTCCTAAAAAATTCCCCAAGTAAACATCCCCCAAATTTGGAGGAAAATCCCCGAACATGGCAACCCTGTCAAAGCAACGCTGGTACTCCAGGCGTCAAGTTTCGGGGTTGTTTTTACTGCACGAACAGCATTGCCGTAGATTCTCCTGGTATATAGGTAACATGGTAATAAACATAACCTATAATTACTTTGTAATCACATGATATACCTAATATCATGAGTATCCATCACGGTAGAATGGCAGCTGGTTATCTAGTAATATATATTTAAAAATTCTCCATATCGGCAAAGAACGCCTAATTCTGACGGATCCGTCAATGCCAGGTAGACAGAGCCATATTTTGTTTTGGTTTTTTGTAAGCTATAGATCCATTTTGTACTTGCTAAAAGCTCTTTTATTTTGAAAAGTTCATTTGCATACAAAAACAAAACGCTACAAACAAATTTTTGCTAGATTTACACCCGATTCATTATAGCCAACGCTGCACAATAACACAAAAATGTCACTTGCTAATCAGCTGTTCACCTCAGTAGACGTCAAAACGTGATGGATACTCGTGAAATAGGGTATATGTCAAAAACTCGACAGAAACCTAACTAAAAGTTTAATCATATGACCAGTCATGCGACGTTTAAATCCATGACATTGCACTTTTAAATATTTAATTAAGAATAAATACAGACATTTCCATGAATGAAATATGTATTTACGGTATTACGGCCTTTTAACATGATAAGCGTGATATTTTCACGCGAGGTAGGTTTCGTCAGGCGCGGGCCGCGCGGCGCTCCCGTATTTTGACTATTCAGTTGAGGCTAGCTATTTGAAATGGACACATCGTGGAAGAAGAAAGTACTAGCCATGTACTTGATATGGAGATGGCGAATAAGAAGAAGAAATAGGCGGTTTTGGATTCACCCATTGCTGCAAAATCGACATACTTCTGGGTCCTTTAAAGTTTTGCGGAAGAGTGAGAAAAGATTCTTTTCGTACTTTCGTATGTGAATCAAATCATTTGATGAACTTTATGATGTTCATATGGAAATTTCGTCTTCAAATTGACCAAGGATTCGATGGTTAAAGTTTGTCTACATACTTTATCAACACCCTGTATATTTATTATAATTTTTTCTAATTGAGCAATTTGTAAACTCTCAAAACGATAGAGGGTTCACTTAAACGAACGTGCTTACGAGAATTTGAGCCACCGGTTGGTCACCCGAAAGCAGCACGCGCCACAAATAATGGTTTGGGCCGCTGTAACCGCGGATGGGCACTCTCCAATCGCTTTCATTGAAACTGGCGTCAAAATAAATGCGACATACTATCGGTAAAGTATTCTGGAGGCTGCTTTGAAGCCGTGGGCAGACAAACATTTCGGCAGCAGGCCATCGACATCGACAAGACTAGGCGCCGTCTCACACAGCGCGAATGAACCAAGAATGGCTGAAAAACAACGTTCCGAACTTTTGACCACACAATGGCTCTCGAATTCATCCGACGCAAATCCAATGGATTATTCTATCTGGGCCATTTTTGAGAGCAAGGTCCGAGCTAGAAAATACATATACACCAGTCTCGAGACACTGGGAAAGCCATTGTCCATTAGTGAGCCAAAATATCGTCAAGTCACATTTGGGCAGCTTGTGATTCATTTTTGGACCGTCTCAATGCTATAGTCAAGGCGGTCATACTGAGCCAAAGTGAATCATTTCTACATTTTAGAATATTTTCACACATTCTGTACTTACGTAAATATTTGACGGGAAGTTAAAAAAATCTATGCATTATTAATTATTCTGGAGACACCAGCCTTACTTTTTTCTGGATCTCTACTTTGGTTCGCATGTAGCTTACCGCCTACCGTTAAGCCTAACATTACCAGTGTGACCTCAGCCTTACAGGTTTCATAACAAAATGCATTCTTAGTGATGTTCTATTATTATGACCGTACTTACAATGCTGCTTCATCATTGGCCTCTTCAATTTCTTGTCGATCTTTGACGTAAACTTCGTGGTTATCCTTTATTTCTTGCCTAATCGACTGGAGCTTGTTGTTCAGTCGTTTCAATTTCTCTCTCTTAAAGTCTACTTGTTGTTGAAGGCTTGCGAACACCTGCTTTAGTTCGGAGCATGTTTCTTCTTCTAGCTCGAGTTTTTGTTGCATCTCAATTTCCCTTTTCTATGAAAAAAGAAAACTCGAACAACAAAAAAGAAAACTGTTGAACAAGGATCATGACAAAAAATTGTTTCGGGGTAGATAAATATAGATTTTTGTGAATAATTGCAAGTCGTCAAAATGATGTAAGAAAATAATTTTTTATAATCCTAATCTGACCTCTGCCAAAGCATTTGCGTGCACGAAAATTCATCTCATATCTAAATCGATTTTCGAAAGCCCTTTCATTTTTGACATTCCGTAACACACTGTAAACTTAAAATCTGTAGCTGAAATGAATGATATAATAATTTACACAAAAAGTAGAGCGTTAATGCAAGAAACTTTGTCAAATAAAGTGAAAGGAAGAAGATTCGAAGGTTTAAACCCTGCAAAGAGTATTATTAAAAAGTTTATGAGAATACTATCAAATTGCAATAAATACACCCCAATCAAAGTATTTAGAGGTAATTTAAATTTGCAATAAAAGTTATTTTAGCAAAGTACCAGGAACAAAATATAAAATATGGAATTTGACCACCGTTCAATTTTAAATGCATATCGTGATAGCTCATGTTTTGCTGATCAAAAGTTCCAATGGGCGCAAAGCCCAGAAATGCTTCCTATTGGTGATACAGAGTGTTAAAGTTTGGTGCCTGAGTCCCTGTGGGTACGCCCGCTCGCACCAGCTTACGAAAACTAATTCGTCTTTAATGTACTAAGGGAATTTGACGATATAATAAAAATCACGTGAACACTTAAAATATATATACAGGGTGTCAAAACAAAAATGGAAAGTTGTTTAATAGAAGAACTATATAAGATAATCAAAAACGGTTTGAGCAACAAGGTCGACATCTTATAGGCCTGTATCTCTAAATTATTTAGAAATACACAGGGTGCTGCACAATTTTGCGCCATAACAAGTTTTTAACGGAACACCCATTACAAGATTTTGAAAAAAACCTTTGGAAAACAATTTCTATTCTATTTTATTTGTCTAAAAAACGCCTATCCTTGAAGGCTTTGACTTTTGATGCGTTGAGTAGTTTTTCACTGAATTTTGGAAAGAGTGTGAACAATTACTCTTATCAGGGTGCTGCAAAACGCAAAACGTTGTTTTACTCAAAAATTATACTCTCGTTTTTACAAGGTTTCTTCTGAAATCAGGTTTAATACTGCCTTATTAGAATCGTTATTTGATTTTACACAATAAGGTATAAGCTGTTTCATTAAAAAAAAACATGTTCGAACTTGAACTATTATACGAATTTTTATTAAAATTGACCGGTAGTCAAATTCCATATGTTTTTTGCTGGTACATTATGTTCTTGTATTAAAAGGTTCGAAATCAGGATATTGTAAAAATCTCTTTGTTGAAGGTTTAAGAACTTATAATTTTAGATCCAAGTAATACGTGATTATTATAAATATTGATATTCATCGACTTACAGAACGCATTTAACACTATAGATCACTAGAAACTATTGAGTAAATTAGAACACATTGGAATTAGACATACACCACATAAATTATTTTACTTGCATAACAGAAAACATAAGGTTAAAATTAAAAATACAACTATTGAAGATATGACTGTAATGTATGCAGTTCCATAAAAAACAATACTTGCACTCCTTCTTTTTGAATATATGTATATATATAACATATATAATTGTTACATATCAATTGTTTTAGACTACCATCTTTGTTGGGATGAACATACCCAATATATTAAAATGATTTCTGTTATACAAGTTCAGACATTATAGACAAAATCTCAATGAAACTCAATTAAAAATTGTATATCGAAAATTAGCTGAACCCACATAAACTATGGAATAATTATCTGGGGATCCACAAGTAACAACCACCTAAATTATTTTCAAATAATGCAACAATTATTCATTAAAACAATGTGTAACAAGCCTTTATCATATACCTACAAATCGCTGTGTATAGAATCAAACTTTTGAATATGAAAAAATGATTTTGGTATAATTTTTAATTAAAAACAAACGTTCGACCTTTTATAGGAATTATGAATATGATACTGGAAATAAAAAAAATTAATAAAACACATTTTGCAAACACCAAAAAAGAAAACAATGTTGAAATCATTTATGTACTTAGGTCCAAAATTATATCATAACTTTCCAACATATTTTAGAAAAAACTGAATATAATTATTAAAATTAGATTTATACGAGTGGATATTGAATACTGATGATGTAATTTATGAAAACTCTAACATAGTGTAAATATTTTTTCGCATTATTAATCTATGATACAAAATTAATGTATTACACTTATATTACATAGATCTTTTCTAGCCATTGTCAATCAATTTATTGTAACTATATATACCTTACTTTGAATTACCGTTCAATTCAAATACGTAATTTACGAGTTATTTTATAAAATACGCCAAATGGTACAAATTACTCAACTTTATCCAATTTTCTTCATAGTTAAATTGTTTCCATCGTATCGTACTCTGACATTGTCAAATACTTGGTTGAATAAATGAATATGAATAAAACAGTTGGCTATTATATATTGACACCTTTTATAAAAGCTTGTTCGCACTCACATGGAAAAATTCTCCTCCACGCCACCGCCCATCTCGGAGACCATAGGTAGCAGTGACGAGTCACTGCCATCAATTTTGATCTTAGAGTTGGTGTTGTATGGTATATGTGTTCGAATAATATCCGCACACAAGGATATTTTCCTTTTGTGGCATACCAATTTATTCACAATGTACTAGTATAATTGATGTGAATAAATGTTACCCTACCATACCATACTATTTATTGACCAGATTTGGTTTGTTGGTACAGTGGTCGGTGATTTGTCGGTGACTGTATCAGGTATAGGGCCGTGTAAATTTCGTCTACATAGCGTAGAAAAGTGAGCATAATATGTGTGGCTGGATATTGGACATCATCACTGACAGGTTGGTGACAGCTGTACGAACAGGGCTTTTATGTATATGATATTGTTATTAATAAACACCTGAACACTAAAGAAAACAGTTACCTTTCTAGCTGCAATCTCAGCTCTTTGCTGCTCCAACTTCATCTCATTCTCATTGACACTATCCACAATATTTTTCCCCCCATGTACCATTTGCTTTTCCAACGTCTTGAGTTTCTTCGCCAACTCATCCACCTCCATCTTACCCAACTCCAGTTTCTTCTCCTTCTCTTCTTTGTCGCTCTCATCTTCCATTTCAGATCCTTCAGTCTCTCCGTCTCTCACCGTCGAGTCAAACTGACCATTGCTCTTCTCCATTATCATCCTCTTCAGGCGTTCTATTTCTTGTTGGAGAGCGAGTAGTTTACCTTCTTTCACATCTTCGTTCTTCACTGGTGTGTTCTTGATCGATTTAGCTCTGGAAAAAACATGAAGAGTTCATGAAATTCCCAATTTAAAATGCGATATTAGCAAAGGTTAATTAAGTTCTTGCCAGGACAGTGTAAGAGATACCATATGGATAGAGTAACAAAATCTATACAAAATCTGCAGAAAATTTGATGTTTTTGATTCCCTAGCAATTAAAGTACCAAAATTACATAATAAGTAGTCAGACATAAATAGTGGTGTACATAAATGTTCTATCTAGTCAAGTTAAGTTAATTAGTGGATTTCTTTTTGTGGAATCCAGTGTTTTAATCCACACCCAAAAGAACCCAGAAAAACGCGTATAGTAACCTTGGCCCTGAACACGGGTTACTTTGAGTTTACATGTGATCTCGAATGTGTTGAATCTAAAAATGACCTTGGAAACTACCTTGAAGTAGGGAGGAAGTTGTTCAAGGTTTAGGATAAATAATGGTACTCAAAATATGTTCTCTTCTTTCGATTGTGTCACCTCAACACCACGTATTTATCTAAAGGAATTAACAGAAGCTCAATCTCTCTCTCAGCTTCCAAATAAACTTACCCCCTGGTAAATATCAAATACCTAGTTTTATTATAAAAGAATGTGTTCATGTTTTTGTCAAGCCGATGCTGATAATTTACAATACTATATTCAAAACTGGAATTTTTCCTGATGTTTGGAAGACAGCAAAGATGTGTCCAGTCCAGAAAAGTGGTGATAACTCTAATGTGCTGAACTATAGAGCATATTGATATTTGCAAATGCTTTTGAAATGTCCCTTCACTCTTTTATCTTTGAGAGCTTAAAAACTTAATTACACCAACACAGCGTGGCTTCATGAAAGGTAGATCCACTACGTCAAACTTAATAACAATTACCCAATATATAGCAGAATTGATTGACAATAAACAACAAATTGATGTCATTCATATGGATTTTAGCAAGGCTTTCGACAAGTTCGTCTTTTAGCAGATAGCATTTAGTACTTCGGACTCAGCGACTCGTTAGTCGATCTCCTAACCTCATATCTTTCCAACATGACGCAATATGCTTATTATAGCAAAATTATAATGTTTCCTGTGGCGTGCCGCAAGAATCAAACCTAGGTTCTTTGCTGCTTTAATTCTCTAGATTCATTAAAGTGTCACAATCTACTATTTTCCGATGATCTGAAAATCTACGCCAAAATTACAAATTTAGAGAACTGTATTTCCCTTCAGTAGGATCTAGATACTGTCACACAGTGGTGTGACAATAACGTCCTCTTATTAAACATTTCCAATTGTGAAGTCTGTTCACATAGTGAAAATGTACTCAATTATCTTTGATTATCACATAAATAATGCGGTTTTGGAGGGAACAACAGAGAGTAAAGATCTTGAGATAACATTTTCCTGCAGGTCGGACTTCTGGTCTTCCGTTCATGTAGCACTCATCACTTCCGAAGCGACAGGGATTCTAGGATTTATAATGCGTAATTGTCGGTGTTTTTCCAACGAAGAATTTCTGAAATCTCTTTTTAAAATTGCGCTGGTGTCACCAAAACTTTAGTACGCTTTTTTGATATGGAGCCCTTTCTATACATATTATATAAATATCTTAGAAAATGTACAAAGTAAATTTCTTATAAAATTGATGACGTATATCCAGAAAGGGGGGTCAGACAATTTATTCTACTACGATCTTTCAATCTAGAGACTCTACAATTAAGAGCACGACAAAGTGAATGCACCAGAACTTCCCCAGCGGTTGAATTTTGTCTACCGCGTTTAAATTCGAGAATGATTCTAACTTAGTATTGCAGTATTCACCGCTATATTCTATATGCAATAATTATAATTCCAAAGCAGACAGTTTTGACATTATTTTCGATTGTATCAGTAAAATACTGTCATACTTCAGGGCTATTACAATAGCTATTTTGTTGTTCGTTTTATGTGATATTAGTACGCACACTAATGGTTAAGTTACCATTATATTGTCCTGCAATTGGATTAGTCTGTTGGGCAACTATGTATGAATAAATAAATAGTATTGCCGCTCTGCTGTCAGGGTTGGCTCCAAGAGTCAGTTCCCAACGTCGTGCCCAGAACATAATAGTATAAAGTATTCTAAGAGGTGTAAGCAAACTTTTGAAACATTCGAGAACGAGAATTTTTTACATTAAGATAATCTTGATTGCACTTCCTTGCTTTTCAAGCTACTTTTGCATCAAAGCGACGATGTACCTGTAAGCATATCTCAAGGTGACAATAGTCTCCTCATAATTCATGTTAGCGGGCCCAATATTGGCGATCATGATAGTCTTGCTATTTCCTCCAAGCGAATCCTGCAACAGCCTCGTCAACTTTGAGTCTCGGTATGGAATATGAGCAGAGTTCTCTGCCAAAGCATAGATGACATTTCCCAGAGACGACAAGGCTTTGTTGATCTTGGTTGCTTCTTTCAATCTGTCACCAGTCGCTCCTGTTTTGCTCTGTCTTTCACTACCAGCCAGGTCTACAAGATTCAATTTGCCTACTCGTACGCTTTCAGAGTTTGGTTCTGCCATTTCAACGGAGATCTAAAAATAAGAGAAAGAATGAAATAATAGTAAATATCTAGAAAAATACAGACTATTAACAACTTATGGAGAGCTGGCGTTTTCAGGAAGATTGGAGAGCTATTCAAAACTTTAAAAACTAATAATAATAATAAAGCATTTATTGCCCAACGGTAAAGGTACCATTTAGAGAGCAATGCATAGTACAATGGTTCAATTTATACAGTTTGTGTGCCATAAAGTGAAACAAAAAACACTAAAAAGAGAAAGGCGCTTTAAGTAGAAAGAAAAGACACTATGAATGTGATTAATAGATACAAGGAAAAAGAAAATATATATACAGGGTGGCCCATCCATGTGTGGACGGAATATTACTCATAAACGAAGAAGTGACAAATAAGATAAAAGCTGAGGTGTGTAAGTTTTTTTTATACAAAATTCAGCACTCCAAATTTCAAAATGGCGGATTGACGGGTTGCCGAAGTTTACGGTTTTTCTGGACAAAACACCTTACATCTCAGTAGCTAATTACCAAAACTCCATAGTATGTTATATTAATCTTCTTTTGAATTGGTTTATCCTAATATGCAATAAAATTTGAGGCATTCCATTTAAAAAATCACAACTTTGATATGTAGGTCAAAATTGGGACACCGTGTATAATTGCCAATATCTTAGAAATGTCATGTATAACATACCATAAATAGATTTTTCCAAAATGTATTTGTTTATGAGTAATATTCCGTCCACACATGGATGGGCCACCCTGTATACAGGGTGTTTGCGAAAAGTTGGGAAATCTCGAAACTGGAGATACTACAGACTAAAATATGTGAATTGACCTAAGCATACCTTAATCCAAAAGTTAATAGTTTGCGAGATACAGGGTGTTAAAGTTACAATTTTATATTCTACTTTTCCTTATTGCTAGAGAATAAGTACAGATTTTGACATAAACTCGGTATAGGGAGGTTTTCTAGTATGGGAAACTAGAATCCGTTATTTCTCATGGCCAAACTTCTAGAGCGCGGCACTTACAGCACTATTTCGGTAAATATCTTATCATAACTTTTTTGTGCTACCCTGTTAACAACTGACCGAAAAATCTAATTTTCTCGTATTTTCACAACAAAAAAGGTTTACTTGTTATAAGTGTCTAAAGCTAATAGTTTTAGAGATATTTGTTTTTAAAGGTTCCAATGCATTATTTGTACCACGATGATAAAACATTTTTATAACATAGTAATCAAGTTGCTTTGGATAATATCTGAGTAGCATTGCTATGGTTTCTAATGTTCGTTATAATATTGCTTTAAGCTTCATGAATAATTTTGAGTTGACAATAAGTTATATATCAGTATACGTTTGATGAATATTCTGATATGCATTTAATATACGGATTGGCAATATATAATGCTTTAAAAACAAATATCACGAAAACTATTAGCTTTAGACGCTTCTAACTCGTAAACCTTTTTTGTTGTGGAAATACGAGAAAATAAGGTTTTTCGGTCAGTTGTTGTAAACAGGGTAGCACAAAAAAGTTATGATGAGTTATTTACCGAAATAGTGCTGTAAGTGGCGCTTTCTAGAAGTTTGGCCACAAAAAATAACGGATTCTTGTTTCTCATACTAGAAACCCTCCCTATACCGAGTTTTATGCCAAAATCTGAAATACTTCTCAAGCAATAAGGAAAAATAAAAAATCAAATTGTAACTTTGACACCCTGTATCTCTCAAACTAATAATCCATCGCGATCTTTGTTTCTCTAGGTTATACTCGTATCCGAATGTATGGGCATGTGTATCTACCTTTGTAGTTGCATATAAGCATTCACTTCGGGCCTGATGAAGCCAACCAGCAGAAATACGTATTGCTCGGGTTACCTATCCTATTTTCTGCTCGAATCCACTTTACCTTTTTGCGGATTTTGCCCATTATTTTCCTATTTTTTGTTATATACCTTTCTCCGCATGATAATTTTCTCTCTCTATATATATACATATATCCTACACACACAAACATATATATATATATAAATAACTTGAGACGTGGTCATTGTCGTCTAGACCAGTTAGGTGAAAAACTAAAGCTAGAGAGATTAAAAAAGTAAAAAGAGCTCTCCTTGCTTAAATTTTGTCGAAGTACCCAACAAAAGGCGGAAGCTTTAGTTTTTCACCTATATATATATATATACGAGCCCCTACCCACTTCAGTTGGCCCACTTCAAGATTTGTACCAAAATATGCCTTTATAAACTAAACATGACGAAACTATTTACTTCTAAAAGAATTTATTTTCATAAAAACATTTTAGATACACTCTAGTCGTAAAAAATACATATTTGAAATCACAGACCTATAACTAATAGAACATCTAAACAAATAAACAATGTGCGAATAAATGCGCGAAGTTAACAAAGCAACAATTAAAAAATTACCATTGGGTAACATCACCTTTATTTTTTATTACGGCTGAAATTCTTTGGGGCATAGTGTTAACCAAGTTTTGGCAAACATTTGGTGAAAAACAATACCATATTTCTTGAAGCTTTGTCTCAGTTCGGTGATTGTACGAGCAGGATGTTGTAGAACCTTTTTTATCTCGTGCCACAAAGTTTCAATAGGTGACAAATCTGGACTGCTAGAAACCATTTCAAAAGTGGTACATTATTTTCTTCCATCCATTTTATAGCCTTTTTTGAGGTATGACACGCTGCATCATCTTGTTAAAACACAAAATCTTGGCCGGATGTCAAACATTCTTCCATCACTGGTAAAAGCGATTCTTCTAAAATTGCCAAATATTTGTTTGTATCCACATTTCCATCAATAAAATGAAGTTTTCCTACTCCTTTTGATGACATACTGCCCCAGACCATAATGGATGCTGGAAATTTCACTTTTCTCTTCAGACAGTCAACATGGAATGCTACATTTTTTTGCCAATAAATCTACTGCGACTGTCACCAACACAAACTTCGAATCGGGCCTCGTCACTCCATTGTATTGCACACCATTGTTGAGGTGTCCACTGTCTATGTTCTTTAGCCCCTCTAAGCCGATTTTTCTTTTGCAGTGGAGTTAATAGTAGCTTTTCTTTGGCCTATAAACAAGTTGTGCAACTTTAGGGTTTTTACTTCACTTTTTTTTATAAGGAAACTTACCTGGCCTCTATGAGTTGTGGCCCTCGAAATTCTCCTTCCAACAGCGTCACTTCACAGAGCACTTAATTGTAAATAATTGGCACGCCTGTTTTTCACGATTATTCTTCTTAATGCTCTTCGGTCGGCATTTGTGATAATACTTTTTTTCACATATCGTGGCTTAATATTAACTGAACCAGTTGCGTTACATACCAACAATATTTCTCACACTGTACCGCGATAAGTCTAACACAGTTGCAATTTCTGAGTTGGATTTCCCAGAATTAAAAAATTTAATTATCAGTAACCGAATTTTCTCACTAATAAGGTTTCATCTACCCATTTTGAAAACCTTAACTACCCAAAACTATTTTAAACGTATTCTGACAGCTGTGATTAATAAAAACAACTGTCATGGCTTTTATTTTTCACAGCCACCTATGCGTTATAGACTTATTTTGCCTTGAAATGTAAATAGGTTGATATGCTGTAATTGCAACATGTGTTATTTTTATGCTGCAAATTTGATTAGGGAGTGATAAAGTTGGTGTTTTCTACTATATATTATCAAAATATTCATTGTTAATATTTTAAACCTATAACACCCTGCTAAATTTTTATTATTTGTGTTTTATAAGAAAAAACTAAGATTTGAATGGTTAGCCAACTGAAGTGGGAAGGGGCTGGTATATATATATATATATATATATATATATATATATAACTTGAGACGTGGTCATTGTCGTCTAGACCAGTTAGGTGAAAAATTAAAGCTTCCGCCTTTTGTTGGGTACTTCGACAAAATTTAAGCAAAGAGGACTCTTTATACTTTTTTTAATTCTCTCTAGCTTTCAATGGACTTTGCCATCATCATCAGGAGAGTAGTATGTGAGGATGTTGCTAATTGTTGTTTACGTATAGGATGAGGGAAACGTCCAGTAACATGGTGAGAGCTGGATAGGTTGTACAATGGTCAAAATTATATAAAATATGACAAGAACAAGTTAAAAACAGATTAAAAATTATTTAAAAAACATTAGAGCATTACATCGTGAAGCCACTTGATGATTGCACAAATTAGTGGTCATGGAATAATGTTTATTGTACAACCTATCCAGCTCTCACCATGTTACTGGACGTTTCCCTCATCCTATACGTAAACAACAATTAGCAACATCCTCACATACTACTCTCCTGATGATGATGGCGAAGTCCATTGAAAGCTAGAGAGAATTAAAAAAAGTATAAAGAGTCCTCTTTGCTTAAATTTTGTCGAAGTACCCAACAAAAGGCGGAAGCTTTAATTTTTCACCTATATATATATATATAAAGAAAATTATCGTGCGGAGAAAGGTATATAACAAAAAGTAGGAAAATAATGGGCAAAATCCGCAAAAAGGAGGAAAGTGGATTCGAGCAGAAAATAGGATAGGTAACCCGAGCGATACGTATTTATGCTGGTGGGCTTCATCAGGCCCGAAATGAATGCACATATGCAACTACAAAAGTAGATACACATGCCCACACATCCGGATGCGGGTGTAACCTGAGTAAACGAAGGTGGAGAGGAAAAAAACAACACACGAAGTCCACAGCAAGAGCCAACCTACACATTGTATTCGCAGTATTGCACATTAAGTTTATTGGTACTTGAGATAGAAAATGTGTCTGTGTCCTCTTGCAGAAAAAGGAAACTCTTAAAACATGGAGATTTACTAAATTCCATAAAAAAGCTTCGTTCGGATTTCGATGAAATTTTCAAACAATGTTACTTATATGAAAACGACCCAAAAGCATTGTAATTTTTGAAAATCAGTTCAGTGGCGGCAGAGATGTTTCAGATAATCTTAATTATTTTTTAAATACAAATTTAGAGGTAAAAAAGGGTAAGGTAAGAGGTTGTAGGGGGTCGAGATGGTTGATATAGTTGTAGTCACCGTTCTTGGCAGTTACGTCATCAACGCCATATGAAATAAGTAAACAGATCGAGTCTACGTACTACTAGCGTTTGCCTTTGAAAAATAAGATTTTTGCAATTATTTGCAAGTTTACACACCCCATAACAGAGAAACCGGAAATTTTCAAATGAATGTTTTTTCATGTTTTACTTGCTGAATCTTGACAAAATTATGTAACACCCTGTATTAAGTAGCTCACCTGAAAAATAGCGTGGCTCCTAGAGCTATGTTCGTTCATATCAGTAGCTCCAGTGCTCCTGTTATGATTACCTGCTTTCATAGCCTTCAGCATATCTCTGGTCGACTGACAGGTAGAAGAATGCAAGTTGGTTACGGTTACTCCTCCAGAAGTAGCATTTTCTCTAAGGTCGTGGGATTTGCCGCTTTTTGGACGAAGCAGATCTCTGAAGAAAAAAACACATCCTGTGAACAAAAAAATATACAAGGTGTCCTGAAAGTTGGGACTTTCCTTCTCCGAGTCAACTACGTTTGCAATGCTAATGCTGATTTGCGGTGAAACATTTGGTAAGGAATGAAATTTCAGTACTGCCCCCACATGTTTTGTTTGTAAACACTGTTTGAAGTTGTCGCTATTCGAGTCAAAAACACGAGTTTGTTTACCTCTTCCTAAATTTGCAATATTTGGTGCTGTCAGGTCTGCAATTGTGTTCAACCCAAGGGATTTTGCACGATATGAACAAACGTATGCCGCACTGATTGACTGAAACATCGAGGACGACATGACGGCGACGTTCTGAGTACACTCATATCAAATCCATAACTAAGTTATTGCTCCGGTTTTTCAAATGCGGTTTGTTTATAAACTAGGTTAACCTAAGCACCACGCGACGCCTGATTTGGATACGGATTCACATAGTCTTAGCATAACATTATACGTTTTGACATAGGAGGGTACTTTTTTTATACCGAGGCAGCCGCGCAGACAGAAGCCTAAATGCCATAGCACCGCGGTTCCTATGAGGATCTCCTCTGACTCATTTATTGATTTTTGAGCCTAATATCTCGGTCATCTTAAAGCTTTCGTATATATGTTACTAAAAAACATGCTTATACGGTCTGTAAAGATAAGTCCCAACTTTGACGACACGCTGTATTGTCGGGGAACATTTCACACATTATATTGGAATACGTTAACCAATGACTGAAAATACCCAATTAAAATAAACATTAGAGATGCTAAAAGGGATTGATTCCTAAATGGATTTTTATTGATGTAACATCTGAAAGTGTGGTTTTCATGTTGTGAATCCCCCATGCTTGCCTGGCCGTCAACGAATTCAGACTAGGGAGAAGGAGCCAGTCAAGGGTTTGATTGTCTCATAATTCTCGTAGTCTGTAGTGAAAATCAAAGTGCACTTGACACAAGTCAATTTTTTTACAGTGATGTCTTTAAATTCGTATATTTATTTTTCAAAAGTGCGAGTGTTTGCAGATAATTGTGGTGTTAGAGGATTTCAAGACATGGTACTTCTTGTACAGGGTCCGTCAGAAAGAACGCATGTTTTTCGAATGGGTACTACATCGAGTGGGCTGGTCCCGTGTCGGTGGGGAAGGGCGTGTGGGATAGTGAGATAAGTACCGTTTCAGTTGGCAAGATGGTTTGGAACGTTGAGCATCGTGTGTTCACTGTACATCGGTACTTTCAAATTGGCGAGTCTGTCGTTCGAACGCAACGTGAGTTTCGCGTTCACTTTCGTCTTCCACGTCGTGGGACAGTACCAGACCGTAACACCATTTTAAGATGGGTGGAAACATTCAACACAACAGGTAATGTGATGAAGAAAAAACCGCCAGGGCGAAACCGTACTGTTAGAATCTCCAAAACGTAGACAGAGTAAGAGTTGACACGCTGCAAAGCCCGAATCGTTCCGTCCGTTTCCGTGTCAGTTCCCTAGGGATCCACGCGTCCTCTGTACGACGCATCTTGAAGAAGGATTTAGTGTTCCATCCTTACAAAATCCAAGTTTGTCAACAACTGTTGCCAGGAGATTATGCACAACGTGTTAATTTTGCACAGCTCATGATTGAACAATTCGATAACAGTGACATGACATTGTTTATGAGTGATGAAACATATTTTCATTTACATGGTTTCGTCAATAAACAAAATTATCGATATTGGTCTCCAGTGAACCCCCAACAGTTACATGAGCACCAATTGCATACCCCAAAAGTTACAGTTTGCTGTGCAGTAGGCCCAGCGGTGATTATTGGCTCTTATTTTTTTCAGGATGATGGAGAAACAACTACTGTGTATTCAGAGCGTTACATCCACATGCTGAACAACTTTTTTTTCCGGAACTTCGACGTCGACGTCTCCGTCTCAGAACAGTGTGGTTCCAACAAGACGGGGCAACATCTCACACAGCTCGCACTTCGATGGACCTTCTTCGGCAAAAATTCCCAGGACGTCTGATTTCACGTCATGGCGATATTCCATGGCCCCCTCGCTCCCCGGACCTGTAGACCTGTAAGAACTCTTTGATAATATTACGCTGTTAGTCTGATTTTTTATATGGGGCTACCTGAAATCAAAAGTTTACCAAAGCAAGCCTCGGACCCTCGTCGATTTGAAGGAGGAAATAAGAAGAGAAGTAATCCAAATTTCTGCACGGATGCTGGCCGACGCAATGGGCTCATTTCAGGAGAGGCTTGATTCCTGCATTTTGGCTCAAGCGGGCCATATGGCCGACGTTAATTTTGTTTTACTGAAAAAATGGCATGTAGAGTATTTTGATATAATAAAATATTTTTTCTCATACTTATTTTGACTGTATTACTCATTTAAAAAACATGCGTTCTTTCTGACGGATCCTGTATAATATACAGTGAAATTCATATACCACTGATGTAATGTGTATGAGAGACAAGCGCGAGAAGCATGACATACGTGTGTTAGAGAGATATAGAAGCACCTCGTTGACTAGCAACCCGAGTGTCGAGGTCACGGACGCAGTTGCAGCTTGTCGCTCGTTGCCATTGGCGCACTCTTTCTAACATACATCTTGCACGCTTCTCTCTCGTACACATTACAACGTCAGCCAAATTTAAACCTCACCGTATACACACAAAGAGTGGCACAAGCCTAATGTTGATACCACGCTGTCGCCTTGGTAGGCACTTTTATACAAATGAGTCAAAAGTATGCACTAAAACTACGCAATTTTGATGACATTCAATGCTTGGCTCGTAATCTATTCGATTTCGTTGCGCCGAGTCAAAATCCCATGTTTTCCTCTTTATTGAACGACTTTTCGATCCCAACGGTGACCTTCTCCATGGTCATTTTTAGGTAAAATCTATTGTCAAAGTGTCAATTGAAATTGAAGTTCATCGTTGGGGCCAAAACGTCGTTCAATAAAGAGACATTTTTAACTTATGGTTTTGATTCGGACAGAGAAGCATCGGGAATTATGGATTTTTGTATTCGGTTACCGTTTCATAGATGACGCTTGTACCTTTCAGATCCCTTTTGAGCGCCGAAATACAGCATACAACGGGTACTATAAAAGTTTTGCAATACGACTTAACAAACGGATGCAGGAGGCTGCATGTTTAGACATGCCCATCAGTGCATAGTAGTCGCCAGCAGCACCTCTGTTGATTTAGTTGTTCATTCGTACTGACAGTGTAAAGTGCGGTCTATGGCATCATGGTCACGTAGTGAGATAATGGCAGTCTCAGAAACACTCCTCTTCTTACAGGGTCTAACTTAAAAATGGTGCTTTTATCCGTCCTACCAAAGACAGCCAACCAAATACAGCTGTTTCGTGCTTTTTTGGCACCTCAGCCTGGTGCAGGCTTGGTCTCTGGGACAACGAATCAAAGCATAGCAACTATCTTCTATCCAGCATATAAGGTATATGGCGCTGTCTTATTTCGATAAGGTCTAACTTGTCCTTTACATAATCCTTAATGAACTGATGACGGCATTACGTGGAAAATGTAGAGTCAACCCACTTGACGTGATTTTTTAGTTTTGCCTGGCCGCTTCGAAAATGTCGTGAGGCATTAGTTTTTCGCAACTATGCTCGACTCTGTCAGTGCGATAATTCTCTTATCTTCAGTGAATTGAGTTGATCTCTTGTGGATCTTTGCTATAAAATATAGTAGTGACTGGAAATACAACTAGTGGTCAATGTCGACGGTTTGTGTTAAAATTGCAGTATTATCAGAAGGTGAATGGAAAGAACAGCTCTTATTACCCACTTCATGTGTGCAAGAACTAGTAGCAGGTGTGTTGAAGATCGGTTTGCGCAGTGCTCTTAGTTAGGAAAAATAAGCTACAGCCACGATTTGTATACTCATTTCGTGTGGCATTGATGATGTAACCGCCAAAAATTGTGAAAAGAACTATATGCTCTTTATTTACTGCACCAATGGATTTTATAAGATACAATCTCTCTAATGTTGCATAACACCACTTCATTTTAAACGATGTACCTTAATATGCCTTAGATAAACAATGAACGCATCATTATATTCAAACAGTGTTGACACACATTATACACGCAAGGTTTATCGATTTACATTTTTCCTAAGTATGTTCTATATAATCAATTATCAAGAGACATGCGACAACATAATTTTACCGGCTCTTGCAACACAATTTAAAGAAGAGAAATGTATTAACAGGGCAGTCAAATGCTTTTGTTGTTGCCCTATTTCTATTTTTTGCTACCAATGACAATGCACAATCTTCAAATCAAGATTAGATACAGTTATCACATCTGTTGCATAGATATATCATAAAAGTTGATAAGCAACATGTCATGGACAAATATGAGATCATCCTATCTGTTCTATCTATAGTTAAGATGAAAAAAAAACAGTAAGCCTTTGGTCAATATGGAGAGCCATGAATCCACTATCGTCAAGAGATTTCATGAAAAGCATTGCTTTTAACGTATGGAGTAGAAAAATATACTCCAATGAATTCCTACGTTATTTCAAAGAACATCCACATATATCTAAAATGCAGCTTGTAGAGTTGAGACCAAATCTCTTCAAACATAATTTCTTGATAAATATGGAATTATACATGTACCCATGTAGCCCATTTTCAAGATCCTCTATCGTGATGTTGCCACTTCTCATCTTATCACAAGTCTTTTACTGCAATGCCAAGCTGGGACCTTTAAATCAAGATCAAATACAACTAAGACAGTCACTGACTGAATGTATCACAGAAGCGGGAAAACAATATTTTATTGATTATAAAACTATTTTTTACGTACTACCTATCTTGGAAGTAGACAGAAACAGTACAGCTCCTATTACACTGGATACAGTCATAATGCCCCAACTATCAAATGAACTGATGAAAGCCTTCATAGTGAAGAAAGTCAGTGATAAGAATTGGATGGTACAACAACCGAAAAACATCTACATACTGCACTTTAGAGAAAAAAATGAGATGTATAAGCAGATAAACCAACTGAAAGACGGTAAACTATTAAATCCTTACATAAGACTAGTACTCGTATCTACTACAATCTTCAATGATCCAGAGTCATATGCATCTCAACTGTCGGAATACCTCTGGGATAGAAGTGCTATAGAATTTGTTTTGATAATAGCGAATCTTGACAATATCTCAACATTTCAAATTTACACTTGGTATCCTTATGACAGACAGTCAAACTGTGGTACAGAGTTCAAACCACATGTTTTAGGTACATGCAGTTTCGGAAAAATGACCAGCAACGAAAAATGGTTCGAGAGGAAGTTTACTCATTCAGATAATAGATGTACAATCAAAGTGATGTATAAGCCTAACCCACCTTATACCATATACTCTTTCCCACCTAAAGGTATTGATATGGAGATATTAGATACAGTCGGTGAGAAAATTAACTTAAACATGGATTACATCCAAGTGAACGATTCAGCTAACTGTTTTTTAAAAAGTGATTGCGATATTGCAATAGGAGGAATATCTTTTTTGGGAGTTTTCCACTACTCAGACAATTTATTCGATAGAACCAACATTTACGATGAAGATTCCATAGTAGCATGTGTACCTAGCATACCAGCTACAGATTCAATTACAATTGTTACTTCAATAATGGATAGAGATGTACGACTTTTAACATATGCTGTCCTGTTCATAATGGCAGTAACGTCTTGGTATCTCAGCAAGGAAGTACCAGATAAAGCTAAATCATTTAGTACATTAACGGAAAGCATCTATAGTATGGTCAAGATTATGTACGCAAATCCTGTCAAGTTACCTAAGTTGCATAAAGTCAGATACTTCGTTGGTCTGGTCATACTATTCAGTGTTCAGATGAGCATATTTCATAATAGTCTGATATCAAGTAAATTGAGCAGAATGGACTATAAAGAGAAATACGCGACACTCGAGGATGTATTTGAAGGTGGCCTGAAAACGTATTTTCTAGCTGACAACATCACCACATTGAAAACTGATAACCCTGCTAATGTATCAAAAGAATTTCTAGATGAAGTCTACAAGCAATGTTTTAACGTAACAGCTTGTTTAACACATGTCAGCAAAGTAGGTGACTCGGCATTATTTTTTCCCAAGTCTCTGAAAGACTACATAGCTAGTATGAATGAATTAGGAAGTGATATGTTTGAAAGAGCAAGCAGTGTTCTTTAGCACGAACATGTTAGTGAGGAAGGGATTTCCTCTTTACAGTGTTATAAATGATATAATTGATATGCTTATAGACACTGGGCATATACTGAAAATTAAGAGAAGCATAACCGGACAGCAAATCTACGTTCCACATGATAAAAAAATTAATTTTAAAATCCTAATGCCTATATTCATTCTACACGTGTATAGTCTTACATTTACAATAATAGTATTTATAGGAGAAATATTGTATTATAGGTATAATTTTATAAAAATGAAAGAGTGCAGTGCTTGTAGTTTGACAGACTCGGCAAGTTCGTTTCACTAACTGTAAGATATAGAGTAAATATGTTTGATTTTTGAAGAGTGAAACGATCATGAAGTAAAATTGAAATTGTGTTAATGTTCTTATAATGTTGGTTCATAATACAATGTAATTCTCGGTTTAAAATGAGTTTTTTTTAAAGAACGAGATAAAGGATTAATGACACATTCACCTTATTTTCAAAATCGGGAAATTATTGTGCACTCCACACTTTCATCGCCCATTCATAATATGTTTAAAATTGTGAAATTGCCATGCACTATTTTATAGGTTGCGAGTTTTCCCTTATACCTTCACTGCACATTCACAATATTTTCAAAACAGGTTTCAACATGTGATACCAACGAGATAGTATCGCGAGGGGGCTACTAGAATCTCTTTGGTCTATACAAAGTAACGTAAGCAGGTGGAGCCACTTTTGTATCATATTGTGACTGAGTAAATCATTATATACTATTTAAAAATATGGTTGTACTGGAACTTCACTCAATTGATTCAAAACATTGTAAAAGTATCAAGACATTATCTTTCAAATAGATTAAATATAAGCAAAAGGGTACCTGAAGGATCAGTATTAGGTCTATATTAATTTTTTGATAAATTTTAACATACATGGTAAATTCGTAGTTTTTGCTGACGATACCACAATACTTTGTCATGACACAGATATAAATGGAATTGAGACAAAATTGATAAATTGAATCAAAAGATGATGCTCCCTCGATTTTATAAATTTAAATAATGAATTGATACATAAAACAGGTACAACACCCAATTTTTTGGACTGAAATTGCTTACACAACTAGCAAAAATTCCCTTTATTATAAGAACAACTAGTAACAATGTAGGGAAAAGCAGAGGCTTAAGCAGTTACTATGCCTTATTTGAAAGTAGATTGAAATATAGCATTCCCTTTTACTGTGTCTGTTCCCAAAATGGTGCTTATTCTACAAAGAACTATTAGATATGTAACTAAAATCCTAGATGCAGGCCTTTATTTGTAAATCTTAAAATGATGACTGTCATATCATTGGTCATTTTAGAAACACAGTCTTATTTTTAAAAATAAATCTAAATTTGAAACATTAAATATAAGTTACAGTATTAGACGAAAACAAGATGTTGATTAGTAGTACCTAAATCAGAACTTGTTAAAGACTCAATAATTTATAATGATCTGAAAATTTACATGAGCTATCAGAAGAATTAACAATTTAAAAATACTCTGCCGAGAACTTAAAGACTTTTTAATATACAAATCAGATTATACCATGTGTGAGTTCTACAATTCTCCTACATACGATCCACATATGTAATAATCTTTTAAGTTAGCTTTGTCATTAAGAATGATTGTATTCTTCAGACAATTGAAGCATATACCTATCTATCTGGCTTAAGTTTCACACTTTGTATATTTCAGTGGCAGTTAACCAATAGCGAATATGCATGTGATTATATTATCGGTTATTTATTTTTCTTTTCACTCTATGTTGCTAGAGAATGGGAAAATGAGGAAATACACGGTAAATTTGTAAGATCAAAATGCAAGGCTACTGGAGTGATGTCACCATTGAGACTTATGACCAGTCAAGCCTTTGGTGATTGGACAGTCTGATTTGAAATAGCAGGGATTTATCCTCACTATCATTGATTGTCAACCTGCCAGTTTGATGTTTGATAATTTCGAGTGAACAGTTATTTGTTGCCTTGTTTTTATGATTTTCTCGTGTAATTTAGATCACATACAGATTTAGTTCTTAAGATATAGCATTCCTGAGTACAATCAACAATGACTGAAAGTGGTTCATACTGTTATGCTCTTTAAAAGGCAAGTGGAAGAAAAGATAAATCTTTGCAATCTAAGGTAAATAAAAACTAATCCTATTTGGGCTAAATGGTAGTTCTGTTCCATACATACGTTAAAATGATCTTCACACCAATATGAATTACTTTTTGGAGATATATTATCACTTTTCATAAGTCTCTGCCACTTTTCTGTTATTTTTGGATCTCGGAAATTATGAAGCAATACTTTACCAGGTGCTTTGCGTATCGAGGGTTTCTGTTCTTCATCTACGCTTTTGTTTTTTTTACTAAAATTAGAGGTTATAAAATGGAACCTTTCAAAACTTGACAGCAAAGCATGGCAGCAAATAACCAAAAATATCAGCAAACTAAATAGTCAACAAGTCATGATCTACTGCGCGGAGGTAGGCAACAAATCTGATGATCAAATGGTCAAATTGTTCGCCTTCCTCCGCACAGATTTTTTAAGGTTTTTAAACGACCATACGCACTTGTCTGCTTTGAGTTCATCAAACATTTTTCCACTTCTAGGTTACGAGAAAATCTTCGAAAAAACAATCAAGGTCATGTGAACTTAGCTCATAATTCGTCAGATTTGAAAAAAAAGTGAGTACACATGGATTTTCCATCGCTTTACCATGTTTTTACAACCACATTTTTTTGTTTTTCCACCTTTGACTAACAGAAAGATGTGAAATGATTTTTCAAGGTCATTTGAGGCTAGAAATTTATGACGGGGTTATCCAGGAATTCGTTCCTTTACAGCTTAAGACTTCCTTAATACTTTGTATAATTAACCAAAGTTGTAAAAATGAAAACTTCTGGTGAAAAATTTAAGTGATAGAATGGAAAAACGATTTGTACTAACTTCCATGTAGCCTGAACAAGTTTAGGGAGGTTTCAGTCAATCTGGGCTATCTATGTATGACCTTGATTTGTTATTTCCAATTTCTTCCATGAACTACAGGTGGATTTTATTGGAAAATCAAAGTAATAGGAAGGAAAAACGATTTGCAATTATTTCCGCGTACCCTGGGCATGTTTCGAGAAGCTTAAGTCAATTAAGTCTATCTACATGTGACCCTGATTTGTTATTTTCATTTTTTCTCATTAACAAAAGGTGGAAAAACGGAAATTTCTGTTGTGATATCGAAGTCAATAGGATGGAAAAACGATATGTGATGATTTCCACGTGGCCTGAACAGGTATACAAAGTATGAGAAAATTCATGCTATCTACGTGTGACCCTATCTTCTTGTTTTCAGTTTTCCATATTAGTCAGGTGGAAAAAGTTGTTTTGTGGTAAAAAGGGTAGGTAGTAGGATACTAAAGAAGTCTTAGGCTATAAAGAAACGAATTCATGGATATTCCCGTCAGAAATTTCTAGGCTAACCTCAAATGACCCTGAAAAATCATTTCACATTTTTTTGGTTAGTCAAAGGTAAAAAAAAACAAAAAAATTGGTTGGAAAAACATAGCAAAACGATGGAAAATCCATATGTGTGTGTATTTTACATCTGACTCATTCTGGGCTAACTTCCCATGTCCTTGGTTGTTTTTTTTTGAAAAGTCTATCGAAACCTAAAGGTGGAAAAATTTTTGATTGAAAAACGTGGCAAAACAATATGTGTTGTTCTTTTTAAATAATCTGGAAAATCTGGGCTACGTGAAGTTATCCCATGAATTGTTTACAATTTTTCTAAGGTTATGGTGGAAAAACGAAAATATTTGTTGGAAAAACGTGGTAAACCGATGGAAAATCATCTGGCACATCGTTTTTTAACAGCCCAGATTTTTCCGGGCTAACTTCACGGACCTCAATGGTGACTGGAACAATGAGATAGCTTCGTATCACCGACGTTTATGCAACCAATTATGCGACCACGCATAATAATAATTCGACACCCATCCTGACGCATCGACCGCTATCGAGAAGTATCGGCCGCCATCTAGAAAATAAATATGGACGCCGAAGGCGGGCACTCAGAGTCGAAGATCAGTTAGCAGCAGGGCGAGACACAACAGTTCAGACAACATGTTTATAAATTTGTAATACATTAGTTGCGAGTGTTGTAATAAATTCGTGTTAGTAATAAATCATACTTTAATTAGTAAAAAACGGTGATTTCGTTACAATATATAAAAAGTATAGCCAAAAGAGATTAAAGCAACGCCACTTTCGATACTATCTTGACCGGATCCATCAATCAAATGAGGACAATACAGGATACAAAAATAAATACCAAAATATCTTCTTACCTAATTTCTTCCATGTAGATTTCCATATATCTGACGCTAACGAGAAATTCCACTCCAGTTTTTCTGGCAATATGTGCCCAGATTTGGTCAAATACCCGAGGAATGATTCCAATCTCATCACCTTCTCTACCCTCCATTGTATATGTTTTTCCAGTACCTGTTTGACCATAGGCGAACACACAGCCATTGTATCCTTCTAGTACCGATGTAACCAAAGGCCGTACGGTTTCGTCATACAGATTCTGTTGTGTTGAACTAAAACCAAAGTTGAAGCATGTGATTGCTACCTTTCAGCATTCAGAATGAATCTGCATACAAGAAAAAATAATGTAGCTGCCTTGTATATGATACGATATGGCAAGTAATGATTGTGATAGCAAACATTTTGAATTTAGTATTGAGGTTTTTCAATGTTCTACATCAGAAGAGTACAATATTTCAAACGATTCTAACAGACAAGTTGGTACTGCTTAAAAACTTGGAAATATTACTACTTATGTTACAAAGAGAAAATGATAATGCGGAGAAAGGTATATAACAAAAAATAGGAAAATAATGGGCAAAATCCGCAAAAAGGGAAAGTGGATTCGAGCAGAAAATAGGATAGGTGACCCGAGCAATACGTATTTCTGCTTGTTGACTTCATCAGGCTCGAAATGAATGCACATATGCAACCACAAAAGTAGATACACATGCAAATACATCCGGATACGGGTGTAACCTGAGGAAACGAAGATGGATAGTACTTTTCTACTTTTTGCGGACTTCGCTCATTATTTTCCTATTTTTTGTTATATATATATATAATATAATAATATATATATATATATATATATATATATATATATATATATATATATATAGTGAGTTGTTATAAGACATATACAAGCTCAAATTAAAATAAAAGATAATATATATATATATACATATATATACGAGTATATAATTATATACACTTTATCTGTTATTTTAATTTGAGCTTGTATATGTCTTATAACAACTCACATCCTCACATTTGAAAACAATATTTCATTCAGTAGGTACATATTTCAATATTGTTACTTAAGTTTATCCTTTTTTTTGTGTAACATGCATAGGCATTAGGGCAGGTCTAATGAATTGTTATACTTTTTGTATAGTCCCAAAGATGAATAAAGTGCTATGATATTGATGAATTGGAGGACATTTAAAAAAAATGACTATCAGCAATTTTCTAACAAAACTCGTCTTCTGAGTAAATAAGGTGCGCTGATCACAATTCTTATCTAAGTTCTTTGCTTTTTTCGACAGGAGGCACCAAAGGACCATTTTCCTATTCCATATAAGAGTTTGTGATTGGAAAGCATTGATTCCACCTGAAGATATCCAATTAAAGTAGACATTAGAAAAGCAAAATATGTCTTCAAGTAGGTTGACTCGGCACTCCCCATGCAACGCCGTTATCAGTTCACAGAAGATTATGTTCTGCACAAACTAGACCCTCTGAGAAAAAAGTCAAACAGGTCCATACAATTAGTCCATAGACATTATTTCCCTGCCCTACCAGTAGTGCATCTTTGAACGTCCCACATACTCAACTTGGTTAGACGTGGCAGCGCGGTCAGTACATAGGAAACACTATGCTGCCAAGAATATTTTTAGGGCTAATGTACAGAGAAATCTATGATGAGTGAAATATGTATGTCTAAGAGGTGCATAGAATTACCAAGGTTGGGGACATATGAATGTTCGAACATCAAAAATTGAGTTAAACCCTTCCTACTACTATCCCCACCCCCGAGTTTTTTACCTATAAAATATGATAAGGATTCCAAAAACGAAGTTTGAGCGATTTTATATTTTCTTTATAGGCCTTTTTTCTGCTGCCACTGGACTGAAAAACTACAAAGCTTTTGCATCCTTGGCATGATCTTTTTGTATTATGTAAAAATTTCATCGAAATGCGAGCAAGGGCGGATTCAGGGTTTCGTCTAGGGGGGGGGGCGCAAACGATATTTAGGGCTGGTCATTTTTTAACCGTAGTGGAACTTTTCGAATTTATCCAATTATCGCTCCTTAAATCCATTGTGTCCTATCTGATCAAGGCCAGCTTGAAAAAAAAAAACATGGAAAATGCTCAGAAATCCTCGGAAAGGCAATATTTTATTATATGAGAACAAAATAAGTACGTGGCATGTATAATTAACTAGTGTAATAATATTAAAGATTCAAACATAAAGAAACTTCATTGCTGGTAACAAAAAAAAAAAAATCGGAGGGACTCCGAGACATATCCCAGTCCATTCCAAGACATGGTTAGGATGGGAGGTCAAAGTCAGGCGGGTCAGTCTGGCGTGGCAGCATCATGGAAGACAGCTCGGAGGAGCAAAGCGCGTTGGTGTAGCGGTACAAGAGAGCTAGATCGCCGACGGCCCGCCTGTGCGAAATGGTCCCGACACTGTCTGTTAGAGAAGAGTCATCGATCAGTCGGACAGACCTCCTCTGGTCAGCTTCGAGCATAAATAATGTAGTGTGGGCGGCAGCATCCCAAATGTTTGAGCAATACTCGAGGCTAGGCCTTATTTGGGTCTTGTATAGAGTGAGAAGGTCATGCGGAGAAAAGTACTTCTGAGCCCTAAACAAATAGCCTAACTTTTTCCCAGCAGCTGCCGCTCTTGAAGAGATGAGTTCGTGCCAAACCAGGTCCTTGGTGATCTGGACTCCGACCTGTCGAAGTGAATGGCTCTTTGGCAGAGCTCGGCCATCCATCGAAACCGGATAAGCTTAAGTTCCCTTTTGTTCGTCAAGGTACAGTACTGTGTTTTGGAAGCATTAAAATGTACAAGATTGTTGCGTCCCCAAGCAGTGATAACCACAAGGTCTCTCGTCAGAGAGGAAGTAGTCGCTATTTTCCAGCTCAGCGCAGATATCGGCTGTCACTCTGAATTCCTGCATGTAGAGTGCTGTCATTAGCGAAACTGTGGTTTGGGTTGATCGTGCAGAAAAGGAGGTCGTTGATATGTAAGAGGAACAGTGAGGGACCCCGTTGACATTGTGGGATGAAGAGGAGAACCCGTCAATTACGACGGATATCTTGCGGCTAGAGATAAAGTCAGCCACCCATCTGCAAAACTTTTCTGGGAGGCCTTATGATGGCAGTTTGCTTAAAAGAGCAGCGCGTCACAGCTGATCGAACGCTTTCGTGATGTCAAGAGCAACGACATAAGCCTCACCATAAGACTGGATGAGTTTACTCCACAATTGCGTCACGCAAGCTAGGAGGTCCCCTGCCGGAAACCATATTGCCTGTCGCTAATCAAGCTGTGACGTTCGAGGTAGTCCAGAAGCTCGCGATTTAGGCACCTCTAAATCACCATACTTATAACAGAATGCAGAGTTATAGGCCTGTAGTTGTAAGGGTCGGTCTCAGATCCCTTTTTTGGGATGGGTTAGACATGAGCGAATTTCCAGTTTTCTGGGAAGGTGCCAGATTCATAAGGTATCTAGAAGAGACGCGAAAGAATTGGAGCAAGCTCCGCTGCACACCTCTCCAGTACAATGACAGGGATCAAGTCCGGTCCAGAAGCTTTGTTGATGTCAAGCGACAAGAGCACTCGTTTTACGGTCTTATACCTGAATGTTCCTTCCCGCATAGTGTAGGGTACCCTTTGAATTGACGACACTTGGGCGTTGGAGGGGACGTCCATGGTGGACTTGGCAGCAAATATCTTGGCAAGGACTTCCGCCTTGGCCTTTGAGTCCGATACAATCGTTCCATCCTGACACGTAAGTGGTGGAAGGCTGCTGTGTGAAAGTTTCTTTTCAATCTGATTGGCCAGCATCCAGAAAGACTGACTGGTTTAGGCACTTTCACTGTATGAGGGATGGATTCCTCCATTCCGACGTGGATAATTTTAGTTATCGAAGGACAGACAGCGGACGCATCCGCGTCAGTGAAACAGACATCTCTCCAAGGAAAGGTAGAAAAGAAGTCTCTGACCCCATCTCAGTCGGCATGTCCGTAATGCCAAATTTTGCGGCCTGTGCGAGTTTCTGCTGCCTCAGCGGGTTCTGACCGAAACCTAACCTCCAGAACACCGTGGTCTGAGCTACCAGGGGGGACAGGACAGCAGTGCTGTAAGGGACAGGATGCGTGGTTAGAAAGAGATCCAGCAGGCTACTGGCATGTGACGAGACGCGGGGGAAAAAAGTAGGGCCCGTCATCAGCTCGGTCAGCCCTTGAGTAAGAGCGAACGCTTCAACTGCTGTATCAGTCTGGTTTGAGCCCAACCAAAGCAAATTATGGTCATTGAAATCACCGAGGAGAACTACCTGTGAAGCGGGGTGATCGATGTTCAGGAAGTCGATCTTGACGGCGAGGTCTTCAAGAAGGTCATCCCAGTTATGGTCCGAGGGAGAGCGATAAAGGCAACAAATAAATTTGGGGGATGTTTTGGAGTTGAGGCGAAGCCACAGAATGTCCTTCCGGTCTGATTCCAGAGAAACATCTCTGCAGCAGGAAAGACTGCTGCGGACAAAGACCACAACTCCCCCGGTCTTTCTCAGATTGGAATGCACCTCGTAATTTGGGAAGTTTAGATGTTTAATCGGTGCGGACTCTGAGATTTTTGTCTCCGCCAAGAAAAGCATGGCAGGACGATTGGATTGCAAGTATTGATGTACAGCATCAATGTTGCTGTTAATCCCGCAGATGTTCTCGAAACAAATTTTATCTTCGATGTTGCCTCGAGTCCACCCTCCACCCGTCCATTCCGAGAATGGAGTGAGTTTACATCCGGAATTCTTAGTACTCGAGGGATCCACCATCATTAATTTCTTTTTTTTTGAAGATAACTGCTGCATAGCTTGGTGGTACCGCCTCGGTAGACTAGTCCTTGTCTACCACCTTCTTTTTGCGTGTTAATATAGCAACATAAATAACATACGCGACAAGAGATGCGAGACGTGTGGTATTGACTTTGAGCATCGATCGACGCAGTTTCTGGACAGGCCACAGGCGCACCACTAAACAAATCTCATAAATGTCTATTTCCAATTTAGGCGTTCATCTAACATAGTGCTTCGCTGCAACACCAATCCCGAACAAAATCAGTCAAGCTTTACACACTTTTCAAATTACTATTGAGCAATAAACAGAACATAAATCACCTTTTAAGTGCAATCTGTATAGCTAATATATTAGGTACCCAGATTTAGATTTGTCACAAGTCACAAGACTCGTATATTCTTATAAATCGTAAGAATTGTGCTGTAAACAAGTGATGTCAAAGAGGGGGTCAGCATTTGGAATACCAAAGGATACCAAAAAATCGCAACGCTCAGTTCCTATAGCTATAACTTATAGTTAGTATGCTTCTGTCGCCATGATGTGTCAGAAAGTAACACAATGGTGTTGGATTACAAAAGCAATGCGCCCTCCCTCTGAATCTGCCACTGAATCCGAGCTGCACTTCTCAAGTTACAGGCGGATACAAATTCGCAGACACCCCCAGAGACAGGCAGACAGACTTACGGAAACGAGTGACATGGTTTTTTGTGATGTACATGTCATATAACATCCAAAAAACATAATATCTCATTTTCCAGTAGGCATGGAAAGTAAAAAACTCTGCCACATTACTGGATGAAAGAAAATGTTTTAAAGTTCAAACATTGCTTCTCTATTACTGATCGAAAACATAAATCTCCAAGATATCTTTTTGACTATTCAGATAGTAATTTCACTATTCCTCTATAATGACTATTGTTATATAATATAAACATAGAGATGGATGGACAGAAATGAGTGACATGGTTTTTTGTGATGTACATGTCATATAACATCTGAAGGAAATAATATCTCATTTTTGAAAATTTATGAATTTACAATACTTCCCCACTAGTAGGCATGGGGAATAAAGGATTGAAGATTCTTGTGACACCTATGTAACCATAGTGAACCAAACAAAGTCCTTTGTCTCTTCTCAAAGTAGATTTTAAAATTCATTTTGTATTCTGCAACTGTTTAATATATTGCACTAGTATCTTTCAGACCCCTTTTTGGATGCTGGAATATGGTTGGCTATCTTCTCCTAGAATACACTAATTAATGCTAAAAACTATCCTTTGGATAAATCTCATGCCAGTTAAAATAGGACATCTCAATGCTTTAGGATTACTTTACAGCCATCAGCATTCCAAATTCACATAGTCCATCAATTTTTATCTGTTTGTAGTTACAGAAGCCAAAAATTGAAAATTTGCATTAAAAAAATAATTTCTTGGGCATGCCAGTATTTGGTAATAAGCCATTACAAGAAATTTCATAACATAAACAAGATGTACTTGTGGGTGAAGGTGAATACACCCAGAAATAAACCAGTTGGCCCATGAAATATAGATAAATATTGTTCTCATGTGATCTCAGGGTCGAAATGAATGAAATTCTTTTACCTTTCATCATACACAGAATCATAAGTAAATATTTTATTTTTTTCGTTCTCGCTTCTAGCTTTGGGGTTTTCTACTTCGATAACACCTCTAGAGGGGTACATTTTCACTACAGTGGTGCATTGTGCCTGGATTTCTTTTTCACTTAATGGTCTACATCGTACTATCACTTGCACAGATTCATTGCTGCCGTTTCTCTGGAAAAGAGTGTTAATCATTAATTCTGAAGGGTGGTTTTTGAAAAAACATACCTCAGGGGTGTGTACCTCCTCTTCCGTCGAAGTCATCTTTATTTTTGGAATGTTACAAGAATTACGCAATTCCTAAGTTGATAATTGAGTCGGTTACGGCAATCGCTCAGAAAAAAAATCATTTAAATGTACTGTCGGCGTTTATCGATTTATGTAGAATAGTATTATTTGAAATATAGTGCCATTTGTGTTTTAAAAATACAAAACATCACATCTATCAACAAAAGTCTGCATGACAAACGTCAAATCTGTCATCTACTCACCTGTCAACGAATAATTACAGAAATCTACACGCTCTTACAACAATTTTCTGATTTATTTTTTAGAACAACAAGTGCATGTATTTGCAAGTCGTTGTTAAGTTTGTATTGATCATATTGATATAACATCTTTATCAGCAACAAATTTTATCGTTTTGTAAAGATATTTGAATGTGATGTTCAAATTTATCGGGCATGTTTAGGGATATTTGACTTTTTTAGTGTTTGGGAGTTTTCGAAACAAAAAGTTCCCAAATCTGTCACTAGTCTAGAAAATCTCATTTTAGCCTTTACAACTTTAGAACTTTACATTAAAACAAGGTAATGGTGCTATGAAACTAATATATTAAGAGGTCTTATTATTATTATTGTCGCCATTGCTACATTCGCAATCCTGGCCGCGCATGCGCTTTAAATGCTCATTTTCTTAAGTTAAGTCTTGCATGAACCCACCATTTTATAGATAATACGCTAAAAGTAAGTACCAAATCCATCCGTTAAACGTATTTGTAGCGTGTACTAGCTTAATATGGAGCTGCGTCGATGGTAGCACCTCTCCGCATTTTTTGACAGCACCAGGCGAAAAATGGTACATTTTCGCTGGTGATTTCCATGTTCTTCCATATTGAATAATTACATACCACATGATTTTCCTCAAAGATAGCATTTATACACAATTACCACCTCGCCATCTGCTTGTGAATCATTCGGTACGTTTTCAGATGTCCAGTTCAGGGTTTAAGAACCGTTATAAGAACACTGCAGTGGACAGTGTGGAATTGAGGAGACGCAGGGAGGAGGAAGGAGTACAGCTGAGGAAGTTGAAGCGAGATCAACAGTTGAATAAACGAAGGAACGTACAGGTGAATCAACTTCTGCCTGAAGATGAACCATCAGAGGTATGTTAAGTTTAGCTAGTGAATCCTACACAAGTTCTAAATCAGAGAAAATGATATCTTGGATACTGTGCAGTGTTAACAACATTAGAGTTCATAGATAAGCATTGTCAGCAATCATTTTAATATTCTATTATCATAATAATTTGACACCATGCTGATAATCCTCTTTGTTTCTGTGGTCACTAAGAGTCACATTTATAGACATTCCTTGATGCTTCCCTGGAAATCATGAAACGATGATGCTTCCTTGAGGAACATTCATCTGTGGATTTAATTTTTTATTTCACTGTAGCAGTTGTCTTCACAAGCTGTCCTCAATGTCTAAAGGATTTTTATTTGCTTACAGTATCTATTCAGCATTTTGATATTAGAATTTGGATGATTTGGTTTATTTGTGATAAATATTATGAATTAAAAATGTAAAATAATAATTTTGCCTCTTCTAGTTACAGCACAATCACAGACAAGTAAAATACTCAGTATAGGCAACAAGTTTCACCAAACTGCTGTGCTGCTGCTATCTATCTTTATTTTCAATGATCCCTTTAAATGTGTCTAGTATCTCGATTTATAGGTAATAATAATATAAAATTTGGCTATTGAAGATGTTTTTTTTTTTTGTGAAATCTGACATGTAATCTACAAGCAGCAGAGCAGTTCAGAGCAACCTGTTGCCTTGATAAAGTTTGTTTCTGTGATTGTGCTGTAATTCGAGGAAGCAATCACTATTTTGCATTGTTTATTGATAGTTAGAACAAATAAAACAAATCACCCCAATTTTATCATTAACATGCTAAGTAGAAATGGCCAACACAGATAATCTTTCTGACATTGATGACAGCTTGCGATGACAACTGTGGTGACCAAAACGTTTTCATCTGTAAATAGTATTTCAAGCATATTCAGTTTCATTTAGTGGCACAATAAATATAAAGAATTATGATAATTTGATTGTATTGCATAATTTTTACAAATATTCGGGCATTTGTTGTGCAGAAAGGTATTGCTTATAAAATTGCAGCTTACCATTTTGGGGGTTTTGAAAGATCTCAAAGTAAATCTGTTCACAATAAACCCTTAAGGTGGTTGCTACATGCCTAGCATTTACCAGGATCTGTCATGAAATATTTATTGAACATGTGTATTAATGAACATAGATATTTACTGATGTATAATTTTACGGTTTCTGGCGAGTCATCCATATGCAGCCAGCCCTCACATGTGGACATTGGTTTGTGTAAGCTGATAGACGTACATGTTAGTTCCCACACCTACTGGCAGGAAAGTATTGTATTTGCGAAAATTTTCGAAAATGAGATATTGTTTTTTTATATGTTATATGACATGTACATCCCAAAAAGTCATGTCACTCATTTCCATCAGTCTGTCTTGCAGTCTGTCCACTAATCATATAACTGCATATAACTTGAGAAGTACTGCAAAGATTTGGATGAGATTTTTACACAATGTTGCTACTATGGCAAAACTTTGTAGTTTTTGAAAAATAGTCCAGTGGTGGCAGAGACAAAAGTCTAAAACAAAAAAAAAGCTCAAACCTCGTTTTTTTTTACTGATCATTTTTGGCCTTTTGGAAGTAAAGGGTTGCGGCGGGTGAGGGAGGATATACCTCAATTTTTTGATGTTTATATGCCTCTTACCCCACATATTAGGCCTGTTTCCCTCAACATAGATGTCCCTATACATTTACCCTGAAAACTTAGAAATATCTCATACAGTCGTGTGTCGATCCGAGGGACGTGATCCCTCTATGGACAAGTGTCATCGTTGGTGGTCGTACGTCATGGTCAGCAATCGCTTTCGCACTCTGATGCGAGCTGTTTGCGCTGTACGTGGTAAAGGCCAATATCGTCATTCACGCGGGATCGGTCATCGCAACGACGGTGTGCGCCTGCAGTAATTTCTCTCAGGGGGAGGAGGAAGGCCATTTAATTTTTTGTTATATATGTTTGTAGCTGACTTTTTTCTCAGGCTAACTCAAGCCAAACAATATTTTACAAAGTTATGACAGAGTAGCGTGAGAAATACAGAGTCAACTTAGTTGACGCCTTTTTTTGTTGTTTTGAAAGTGGTATAGCACAGCAGTGCTTGTAGATATAATTAAATATAATGTTGACAGTCTGTATCAAATTAATTAAAACATTTTCAAAATGTGAATGGAAATGAAACAACAATGTATTTCATTAAATACTGATGATGTGCATCACAGTAACTCAATATTATGCTTTATACAAAGTTGAAGGAAGATGCTAAGAGTACAATGGGTTATTTTAGAAGTTTTGATATTTTGACATAAGAAGAAGTGGCAAAACGTTGCCTCCAAAGTTTATAAAATAAGTTTTTTTACTAACTGGAGAAATCGTTATTATTGACCATAATGCCCAACTGGGAAGTAGCTTTTCCCTCCCTAAGTAAATGATAAGTAAAGAATACTAGGTAAATAATAATGTTATTTAAAATTGCAGCATGCTAACTTTAGTTTAATTTGTTAATCAACCTTTGCATTTCGAAATATTCAACAAGTGAGAAACAACCAATATCAGATATCACTTGTCATATAGGTTATCCATTTTTAGTATGTCAGTAATCAGGAAACTGAAGTGAAAATATTTAATTCTTATAAAATCAAATGTAGTGATATATTTGTAGAAAAAAAAGGTACAATTCATCATCGGTCAGACACTATGCATTTCAGGGATATGTGATTTTTTTGTTGAGAATATTTTTAAGGATTGTTAATTTTCAGTTTGACCTCAGTGGTGATGTACCTTCACCAGCTTCAGCAGGTGTTACCCCAGACATGGTTGCAGATCTCTACAGTTCAGATCCAGAGCTTCAACTGGCTGCAACACAGAAATTTAGGAAGATTCTTAGCAGGGAACCAAACCCAGCAATAGATGAGGTTATACAGACGGGGATTGTGCCTAGATTTGTTGAATTTTTACAGAATACTCAAAATTGTACATTACAGGTAAGCATTAAGGACCATCTTGGTTTATTACAAATAGAAAGTAGCTTTGTATGAAGTTCAATAATCTGTTTAAAAAGTAAAAAGTTTGAGAAATCTTGACGTCAATAATAATAACTAATATTTCTGGTACTGGGTTTTCCAACAATTTGATATGGTCGACTATTATGATAGAGATTTAAAAATTTGTCAACAACAACCCATTGGTGTTTTTTTTTTAGTTTGAAGCAGCATGGGCTTTGACAAACATAGCATCAGGAACTTCACAACAGACGAGAATGGTCGTAGAAGCAGGGGCAGTTCCAATATTCATAGCTCTTTTAGGAAGTTCATATGAAGATGTTCAGGTAATTCATTAACTTTAAAACTCTCATTTATTTGAAAGATAATGTATCCAATGTTGTATCATACAATAGTGCTGATGTTATCTTGTTTTAAGGAACAAGCTGTTTGGGCATTGGGTAATATTGCTGGAGATTCACCAGTATGCAGAGATTTTGTCTTAGAATCAGGAATATTAGTACCTCTGCTACAGTAAGTATTGCTGATGAATTTAAGCTTGGAATGCAATCCAGAATCATTTCATTTTGCAATTTGCTAAATAGGATTGTTAAAATTCAAGCCTTAAGCACTGGTTTCATAGTGACCTTCACAAAAATAAACTGATAACATTAATATCTGTACCACAGATTAATTGACCAGATTTGTGAATGAAAAAGCAATTTTGTTTCTCTAAATTCACAAAACTTGTATAACATTTGGATCTTGAATTTTTCAGACTAGTTAGCAAATCAATAAGATTGACAATGACTAGAAATGCAGTCTGGGCCATTTCGAATCTATGTAGGGGGAAGAACCCGCCTCCAGATTTTGCAAAAGTTTCACCCTGCTTGCCTGTTTTGGCTAGATTTTTACTGCACACTGATGCTGATGTGTTGTCAGACACTTGCTGGGCTCTCAGCTATCTGTCAGATGGACCAAATGAAAAGATTCAGGTAAACATCACATATTCACCTATTTTTGTGTCTGAAGATGATTAGATTTAATTTTACTTGCATTGGTTAACACATTCCAACAGAAAATGCTCAAATGAATTGCGCGAAAAATGCATGCGTAATGTGGCCAACTACTTAAACTTACAATTAATATGTGTCGTCATCTGTCCCTTGGTTGCCATGGTACATGCACCGTACAAAGACGCTAGTATAGGGAACTTGTTCAGTAAATGAACGCACACATTTCACATTAACGTGATTTTGCTGATATATGGACATACACCATGCTGGTTTTCAACGGTTCAAATGTACTTTTTAGAAACATCTATAGCAACGCGGAAGTGATAATAGTAGCTTTCCTTTTGAGTGACTCACTGCACAAGTGATGAGAGATTTTTCTAAGATGTCAGGAGGATTGGTCAAGTGAGATTCCAATCTCACAAGTGCAGAACATGTATTTAGAACATCAAATTTCAGTGTTCTGTGACTTTTTTCCATATTATCTGTGCATATCTAAACAAGGATTTGTAAAATATTAACAAAAATTCGCCAAATCGCCATAAAATCTATAAACATAACCAACAAATAATCATCTGTTCAGCGAAGCACATGGTTCATGGGCAAGGGGAAGTGAGGAATCTCATCTCACTCTTCAAATGGAACACATTGGCATGTGAGGCGTCTTGAAGTGAGGTGAGATTATCTGAGAAAGTTGCTAACAGGAAAGCTATTGATTTCTCTACAGGAAATGACAATATTCAACCAAATAGTAGTAACACCAAGAGAAGACATATCAGGCAAATAAATTAGAGGAAGAAAGAGATGTGATCTAAATCATCTGATGGCGTCTGAACACGTGCTGTCCTTATTTGGTCAGAGATATAAGCAGTGTTGCCGGATAGATGAATTATTCATAAACACAATTCACAACGAAAATTTATAATATGCCTCCAAATTGCTGTTAATAGAATCGACGCTTTTGAATATAAAAAGATTATTTTGGCGTAATGTTATATTAGATTTCCATAAAAACAAACATTTGACCATTTATAAAAATTATGAATATGATAATAGAAAAAAAATAAACAAGTAATTATTGCAACACCAAAAAAGGAAATAATGTTGAAATCATTTATATACTTGGGTCCAAATTTATATCATAACTTACCAACATATATTAGAAAAAACTGAATATCATCATTAAAAATAGATTTATACAAGTGGATATTGAATACTGATATAAGCATGATGTAGTTTATGGAAACTTTAACATATAAATCTTTTCATATTACTAATCTATGATACAAAATTAATATATGTATTATGCTTAGATTATATAGACTTTTTATAGTCTTTATCAATCAATTTATTGAAACTACTGTGTTATATAATATATGTGTTAGAATGTTATCCACAAGGATATTTTCCTTTTGTGGCATATTACTTTATTCACAATTTATAATTGATGAGAAAATATATTATTATTATAGTGTTGCATGGAAAGTACTGAGTTAACCTACTTTACGACATTTTGTCTAATTCTAGGTGGTCGTAGATGCAGGCGTGTGTCGCCGCTTAGTGGAACTTTTGATGGCGCAGCAACCAAACGTAGTATCTGCGGCACTACGGGCGGTCGGCAACATAGTCACTGGCGACGATGTGCAGACGCAGGTGGTACTGAACTGTTCAGCACTGCCGTGTCTGTTGCATCTACTGTCGTCTACTAAGGAGAGCGTGCGCAAAGAAGCATGCTGGACCATAAGTAATATTACAGCGGGCAACCGACAGCAGATCCAGGTATAGATATAAATATAAAGCTTTACGAATTCCACTTGGGCCCGATTTTACTAATCGCAATCGCAAGGCGTTTATGAGGTAATGGATCTTTTGAATAAGGTGGATTGCTTCTAAAATACCTCTCAACCTAGGGAATACATCTATGATTTGCGTAAGAAGGCCCTCTAATCCCTATTTTAAATTAAGAAATTCATTCAAAAACATATTTGTAACGCGCTTTTATTAGCTTGTCATATAGTAGTATAGTATAGCAGTGGTAGATATAGTCAGTTTATTCACTGAATCAAAGCAGTTACGTCACAACGTCAAATAATGACAGTGACGCACATGGTTGCCACGTTAATTAAAACTACTAGATCCTAGGACGTTTTACAAAACCTACTTGTATGTTTTCTAAACGCTAAAGCTAGTATGAATTCTATTTACTACCTAATACCTCTCTTCCGGACTGTAAAGGCGATACTGGAGGCCCATGATCTCGTTCGGTCTCAAAATATTTCGTGAAAGAATAGCGAATTCTTTTGCTTCTCGACCCAGAGGTTTCGGCATTTTAGCAAAATGCTTAAAATGACATATTAAAGATTTGAAAAAAACTTTCTATAAAATAACAATGAAAATATTGAGGCAAAAAAACGAAAATAATCAACAGCCGTTGGCGTAATTATCTGACGAGCTTTGCAACAATGTCTCAACACAGAACACCATTTGTTACCAATATAAATGTACCTGGGAAATTCAAACTATACGTACCAATTTAGGATCTATTTTGCATTAAGGTTGGCATTCAAATTTACTAAATATGACGTAACAGCCTTGTTTCAGTGAATAAACTATATGTATGTATGTAAAGGATTCTTTCAACCTAATTTTCACCAATTTTAAGAAGTCTGATTAACTTGAAAATTTGCACAGCGGTCAAGTGCCGATGACAATACAATAATCTTGGAAAAAAATAGAATTTGAAAATGAATTTTGAAATTTGGAAAAAACATCGGATTTAGAAGTTTGAAAAATAATTGGCAAAATTCGGAAATTTGGGAAAGAATTTCAAGATTTGAAAATGTTGCAAAAAATAGAAAATTTTGAGAAAACTAGTAAATTTTGAAAAATTCTTGAAAATTTCGAAATTAAAAAAAATAAATACCAAAAACCTCTTCATGATAAGTATTTTTGTTGGTGCTTTGAGACTGAAAATTCAGAAAATAAATTACAGTTTAAAAAACACGTTTTAAAAGCAAATTGAACAAAAAAGTAGAAAATAATTTTGAAGTATGAGAGAGTTTCTGTTACTGCAAAAGAAAGTCCAACAATCAAGTATAACTAATTAATTTGGAACAAAATCAATATAAAAATTAAGATATTAATACAAAATTCAATTATAGCAAAAGAGTGTGGAGCCAGTCCGAAAGATAATTGTTATTTTTATGCGAAAAACGGAGGGTTACTTTTTTTTCTTCTAAACAAATTCAAACATTTCGTATTTGTAAGTAATCTTTTTCTTTGCAACAAAAGGTGGTAGACACATCCACTTTGTTTTAAAATGTGTATAATAACGTATGTTTTTTCGAATATCGTAGCGAATCTGTTCAGTTACTTTCAAATATGAAATGTTTGAATTTGTTTCAAGAAACTAGGTGAAATTATGGTCGCATTAGCAACAAGTGCCATTTTGGCTCGGTTTTCGGCCGTAACTTTTTTACTATTAGTGGGATCTTTTTACATGTGATATTCTGTAGGTCTCATAAATACCTAAAAATCTTATTTGAAGAGTTTTTTCGTTCCTGCCAAGACTTTCGATTGAATCCCAAAAGTTTTCCCAGAAAAATGGGTGTAACCATTTTATGCGTTCATGTTTTGAATAGCCCCTCGAACAACTTGCATCAATAAAACCAGACTTAACAATTATTTCACGAACCAGCGATATTTTCGTCTAATGTGATTAGACTATCAATATATGACCAATGGATAATAATCCATTTTATGAACTGCTGCCGTTTTTACGATAAGTGTACGACAGATATACCGTCAATATAATTCGCGGATATTTCTTCCTTAGGCTGTGATAGACGCTAACATCTTCCCAGTCCTGATCGAGATCCTGAGCGAAGCCGAGTTCAAAACGCGGAAAGAGGCCGCGTGGGCCATCACGAACGCCACCAGTGGCGGCACCCCCGACCAGATTCGTTACCTGGTGTCCCAGGGTTGCATCGGCCCCCTTTCTGATCTTCTCACGGTTATGGACGCCAAGATTGTGCAGGTGGCGCTGAATGGGCTGGAGAATATACTGAAGGTGGGCGAACAGGATGCTAAGTTGCATAATAAACGTATCAATCCGTATGCGCGGCTCATCGAGGATTGTTTTGGTAAGTTGCATTGCAACATTTCATCAGCTCTTTGAATACATTAAGAAACGAGTTCGTCATTTGACTCAGTTCCACTGATCGCTATCAACCAACTGGCAGCAAAAACTAGTAGAGCATCCATAATGGTTGAATTATGAAACTGAAGAATGCGTACCTCCATGCTTCACGTAACAAATTGCGATCTGACAATTCCGGTTGCAAAATTCTAAAAACTAGGTATGTAATGTGCAATTATTCTATTCTCTACTATATTTTAGGTCTAGACAAGATAGAATTTCTCCAGGCGCACGAAAACATGGAAATCTACCAGAAGTCGTTCGACATCATCGATCACTTTTTCAGCACAGAAGAGGAGGAGGACGCTAACCTTGCCCCCTCTATTGACACAGACAGTCAACAGTATCAATTTAGCGCCGATCAGTCGGTCCCTATGGGTGGATTCCAGTTTTATTAAATCAACCGTCTGTCACATCGTCTCTACGTGTGAGCTCCAATTTTTTAAACAGACTTTCTCTTTTTTGAATGCAGGGAAACTATGTGAAAATACCTTGTATGAATTTGCATCAACTGTATGGTTGTAGGCACTATCAAAGTTGGTGCCATGTAAATATTGAACAACTTTAGTGCATTTCGCATGCTAGGTCGCATTTGCCATGCGCTACGAATTTCCCCTGTACCCACAAAATCCTGTCCGGCACATGTAACCTAATCTCTTACCGCCACACTGCTCGAGCTGGCCTGCATAGCATGACTGACGTTGCCAGATGGTGGATACTTTCAGTAAGGGAGGGAAGAAATATCTAGAACACAGCATTCTTAAATGGGTGGGACTATGTACTAATTGTATGATCCACTTAATTCTTTTTTGTGTTGTTGTGTCAGTTTTTTTCAATAATATTTTTTTTATGAACTGATGGCAACGTTGCGTGTGAATTGCAGTCAACCTACTTGAGGCCATTTTTTAGTTTAGTAATTTGGAGCAGCGGAAGTTTGTATTTTTTTAGACTTGTCCGAGTTTAAACGGTTCAAGCGTCAAATTTTTGTCGCTTGGTGTTTTTCGGGCGCCAAGCTTGGCTTTCTGCATATTTTCATAGTATTGATACAGACCCTTTGCGAAAAATTTGACGAAAATAATCGAAAGCCGTTTAAGGCGGCGTCCTAATTGGCAGCGATCGAACGATCAAAGTGGTCGTGCGATGACCCAACAGGTGTCCTAATAAACCGCGCGATGTCCATCGTGCGATCCCGTCGTACGATGGTATCGCACCATCACATGCCATTTTAATAATGGCTCTTTACAGATAGGCACAGTTTTTGCTGTCGGGCAATATTGATTTGAAGATTGCAAATGACATTGAAAAAAAGAAACGTAGACCACATAGTACAGATCCAGGAATGTGCGCGGTGAATTTTTCAACCATTATTTTGATGTACGAAATAAGACTTTTACAATTATTTGTCCATGTCAAAAGAAACATTCAACTACATCTGCAATGGAAATTCGTAGCGATTGCAGTAAAAGAGTGACCAACTTTAAAAAACCCATTAGTGTGGAAGACAGATTGGTATTAACAATCAGGTAAGTTTTTCATTTATATTATATGTGTTACGTAGGCCGATTTAATTTCGCCATTTCACTAAATAGTCTTGCATTCATTATATTTATTTTTTACATTTCGTTCTGTACGTAGTAATTACGTCGGTTTAATGCGCAACAGAGTACATAAAACACTACTTATGCCAGCAAAATTACGTCGAATTTTAAATTGTAGTTTAGTAGTTAGTGTAGTTTTCCTCATCGATACATGTTTCGTAGAATTGCCGGGTCTGTGTCGGTGATGTCAGTGATGAGGATGCGTGCACTGGTGGAGGTATGATTGGCATGGAAGAGTTGGAAGGGGGTGATGACATAGCTAGAGCGTGCACTGGTGGGGGTATGATTGACATTGACATGGTAGATGAGTTGGAAGGGGGCGATGGCATAGCTAGAGAAATTTCGTCTGCTATTGTATTCTGTAATTTACTTTTTAATTTTTGTACTGGATTCAAATATTTAAAATATGGATCTAGCGATTTCAAAAATAGGATATCTTCATCCTCAGCTTCTTTGTCTTTCTCTTTAATCACTTTAATTTTGTTTTCTTCGATTTGGATCATTTGACGCTGATATTCGGTTAAATTTGATTGATTTTGTTTGCGTTTTCTTTGTTGAGACCCAGTTTGTGATACACTATCCAAAGCTTCAGTGGACAAATCTCTCGTTCTCTGTGTAATTGACGAAGCACTAGTAGACAGTGGTTCCTCATCAGAAGTTACAAAATCGGATCTATTAGACAATGCAGTAGAATTTTCTTCATCAGGCAACTGAAGATTCTGCTCTGATCTTGAAGTGGTTGGTAGGCTGGCATCATTATCATTATTTCCAGTTTCTTGATGAACACTATTATATTCGGTTAGTCGAGGCATTGAAACATCTTTTAAAAATAACATATTTTGGTAATAGGTTCACTTTCCCGAGTAATCTTGTTCATTTGGGCTTCCTGGATCTCCAGAGCGTGGTTTACGAACTTTCTTCAATTCTTTTAGAAAGACGTCCCTTAAGTGTCGCCACCTAGTTTTAACTTCTTTTTCTGTAATAAAAAACAATATTTTTTTAATTCAACGTGTTATAAATTACAGGTACTTAACAACAGGAAAACCTTTTCGGAAGTTAGCAGTGCCATTTCGCATTTCAAAAACCGCAATTGCAAGTATCGTGATGGAGGTTTGCAGTGCAATTTGGAATAATTTTAACAAAATGCACATGAAATTTCCAAGTATCCAAGATTTTAGGGAAATAGCAAATTCATTTTCAAATAAAAATAAATTTCCACATTGCTGTGGAAATCTGGACGGAAAACACATTCGTGTCGTAAAGCCACAACTTTCTGGAAGCATGTATTTTAACTACAAACAATATTACTCAATTGTTTTATTAGCGGTCTCCGATTCAGATAACACATTTCGCATCCTTAACGTAGGTGCATACGGAAAAGATAGTGATGGAGGCGTTCTCAGCAATTCTCATTTTTTCAAGAACTTAACAGTGGAAATATTCAATTACCACCTGAGGAACGATTACCTAATAGTAATATTGTGGCACCATATGTATTTTTAGGGGACGAGGCTTTTCCTTTGAAAACATTCTTAATGAGGCCTTATCCAAGACAACAAGCAACAGAGAATGCAGATAAATCAAGTTTTAATTACAAATTGTCTACTACAAGGGTAGGGATAGAATGTACCTTTGGAATCACTGCTAGTAAATTTAGAATTCTTTTAAAAAGCATCGAAACATCTTTTGATAATGCAATTAAAATTGTGAAGGCTGTCTGTCGATTGGACAATATTGTAATACAGAGAGATACAAGAGAACCGCAATTATCTATGACAACAAATCAATTCAATAACAATTTTGAAAGACTTCCACGTAATAGAGTTAATAATCGTGCTGCAATAACAGCAATTAACGCTAGAGAATTATTCACCACATATTTTTCAGCCAATCCTAATTAATGGCTCTATATTGTATTATACCTCTTGCTGTTAACTCTGGTTCTGATTAAAACTAAGCTTACATTACTATCTACTTACTTGTTTTATTTACGTTCCTCGCAATTATACTTTAGGTCCAGTCCGAAGACATCACTTTGTTTATTTACTATGTAGTCCGGCCCTGGAGTACTAGCCGCACACCAAGTTAAAAGACAAGAGATCCCCGCTCCCGTCCCGTCGCGCCCCGGTCTTGCACGTTGAGTCATTCGGTTTTTGGTGTTACAGCCATACGGTCGCCCGACTTGTTTGTGCGTTAGGAAACACGTAAAATTCGCGATTCCTTTTCAAATCGGTTTAGTGCTTGGTGAGTAGGTTGGTAAGTATGTACAACAATGGGTTGTTTTGTTGCTCATCTAGTAGCACGTTATATATAATATAAGATATACTTAGCAGAAAACCATGGAAGAAAAACCTGGCGGCAGGGACGGGAATATGGAGGTTAATTCTCCCAGTTCCTTGAGGAGTCTTATCAGGGAAATTTTACACCAGGAACTTGAGGGTAGAAGCAGCAGGTCGAGGTCTCGTGCCGATTCGCCCCATTACTTTAGGCGTTCTCGTTCTCGGCTGAGCCGTAGACGTTCAAGGTCCAGGGATGTTCCGACATGCACAATTGTGCATATTATGCACAATTTTACGAACATATGCACAACATGCATCCCCCACACAAAATATGCACAATCGCCAATAAATAAAGTGCAGCGTCAGGTAGGCCTGGCTGGTCGTTCCCCGTGCGGACCGGAAGCTCAGGTACTGACAGGGCCGGATTTGGGAGCGGCGACAATAACGCAAAACAGTATGGACGATGTTTTGATACTTGACGATGCCGATTGTATGCCATTATCAGAGGACACATTAAATATTCTGGGTGCCGATCCTGAAAAGGCTAATACGTCTAGTTTTAAACTTCACGGTGCCCTAGCCTCCAGGTGGTCCCATATTTTGGCAAACGGGCTATCCGCCGAAGATATTTCTATCCTTAGCGAAAAACAAAATGTGCCGTCTAATTTCGCTTTATTACGTCCTCCAAAAGTAAATCCCGAAGTGAAAGCTATTCTATACATTTAACTAGGGATCCCACTCACTCCGGGTACCAATTGCACATTGGTAACGGACTAACCACCCTGGGAAAAGCACTCAACGGTATATTGAAAGACGAACCCAGCATCCCTAAAGACATTACACCAGGAACTTGAGGGTAGAAGCAGCAGGTCGAGGTCTCATGCCGATTCGCCCCATTACTTTAGGCGTTCTCGTTCTCGGCTGAGCCGTAGACGTTCAAGGTCCGGGGATGTTCCGACATTCACAATTTTACGAACATATGCACAACATGCACCCCCCCACACAAAATTAGCCCAGTACTCTAACAAATCAGTTAAAGAACTGACTGAAAATACCATACCTGGTGAAATTTTGTTTGGGCCAGATTTAGGTGAACGAGCAAAAAATTGAAATCTTTGGAAAAGGCAGGACCTTAAGTTTGCCTTCTAACCCCTCACGCATTAGCCTTCAATCATTCCGAAAGAAGAGGGGGGCGGGCAGCTCGTCCAAGAATGCAGGACCTTCAAACAGGTATCGCCCGCCTTACCGCAAGAGGGAGGCGAGGCAATACAAGGGCCATTCCTCGAAACAGTTTCCTCAGAACAGACAACAGGAAACGCTGAAGGTAAAACAATTTCCGTTTGCTGGCCGTTTACAGTTTTATTTGGACTCTTGGTCCAAACTAACCTCAAATTTGACAGTCTTATCCTGGATTCAAGGTTATAGGATTCCCTTTAAAGACAACCCTCCATCATGCCACCACTTGGTTAAAAATAATTTTTCCCCTACAGAAACATCGCTAGTAAGATTAGCTATAAACGATTTGTTAAGGTCCGGAACCATACTCAAATCTGAGTCAAGGCCCGAACAATTTATCTCTCCATGTTTCCTAGCAGATAAATCCAGCGGTGGAAAAAGGTTTATTTTAAATCTAAAACAATTAAATGAATATGTGGAATGTCCGCATTTTAAAATGGAGGACCTACGAACGGCTATTAAAGTGACTCACAAAAACGTGTATATGTGCACAATTGACTTGAAAGATGCATACTTTTTGGTACCCGTTCACAATGACCATCAACCGTTCCTTAAATTTCAATTTGAAGGTCAATTGTACCAATTTACCTGCTTACCGTTCGGGTTATGTACAGCTCCGTTATGCTTCACAAAACTCATGAAGCCAGTCGTCTCTTTTCTGCGCACTTTAGGCATCTCTACAGTCAATTACCTAGACGATTTCCTAATATTCGGAGATTCCTATGAATCCTGTCTTAAACATGTCAACACAACCATTTGTCTTTTAAAATCGTTAGGTCTTATAGTCAATAAAAACAAAACCATCCTAGTACCTACCACTTACATAAAATTTCTAGGCTTTATGATAGATAGTGTCCATTTAAAAATAGAACTTCCTGACGAAAAGAAGCCTATCCCTGAAAGCATAAAGCCAGATACTTTTTGGTGGACAAATCATATTTCAAAAGCCTTCAATGACATCAGGTATGATTATAACAATTTTTACCGACGCATCACTTACAGGATGGGGTGCTGGTTGTGGCCATGACAGAACCCATGGATTCTGGTCTGACTCTCAAAAACGGTTACATATAAATAATTTGGAATTATGGGCTATTTTGTACGTGATTCAGTGCTATGCCAAAAATTTGAAAAACTGCAATATTCTAATTAGATGTGACAACACGACAGCTGTTTCATACATCAACAGAATGGGGAGTGTTCAATTCCCAGACCTCTGTTCGTTGTCAAAACAAATTTGGCAATGGTGTGAGCAAAGGAACCTCTGGCTCTTCGCTTCATACATTCCTTCGAAGGATAATGTTATAGCAGACACCGAGTCCAGGAGTTCGAATTTGGAAACGAAATGGTCGTTATGTCAAACCGCCTTCGACCGCTTAACCACCGTTTTCGGAAACCTAGAGATTGATCTTTTTGCTTCCCATACAAATGCTAAATGTAAGTTATATGTCTCCTGGCATAGAGATCCAGGATCTGCATATATTGACGCGTTTACGATTCCCTGGAATAGATTTTATTTTTACGCATTTCCACATTACAACAATATAGCAGTTCGTATAAATTATGGTGGGGTTATTGCTTCAGTAATGACATTTCGCTTTTTAATCCCACAATCAAAGAAGTGGTGTCATTCTTGCAAGAATTGACAAATAATCAAAACCTTACGTATGGTACTTTTAACTCCCATACATCTGCCCTTTCATTAATTTGCTCAAAGGATTTAGCCTCTAATCCGATAATTAAACGCTTCAAAAAAGGCATCTCTCACTTACGGCCTTCACGACCAAAGTATACTGCCACCTGGGATCCTATACCCCTTCTAAATTATTTAGAGAAGTTATCATCACCGCTTAGTCTTCAAACTCTGTCACAGAAATTAACGACGTTATTAGCCCTGATAACAGGAGAAAAAACTCCAGACGATATCTCTTATACGTCTCTCAAATATAATCCATGGTCACAGTGAATCAACTATTAATATATCGGATCCAATTAAAACCAGTAGAGTTGGAAAACCTCAACCCACTCTGCACATCCCGATTTTTTCAACAAAACCCTTTCTTTGCGTGGCCACAATCCTGAAAGAATACATTGATAGAACGGCTTCTTTAAGAGAACCCAATAACGATTTCCTATTTGTGACAGGGAAAAAACCCCATGGCAGGGCGTCTAAAGACACTTTAAGCAGATGGGTAAAACAGACCCTTGCCTCTGCAGGAGTAGACAACACTTTTTACGCCTCATTCAGTAAGGCATGCGGCGACTTCTGAGGCGTTAAGAAAAGGCGTTTCCGTAGATAACATATGTAAAACAGTTGGTTGGACGCAACGTTCCACGTTTGCAAGATTTTATAATCGTCCTCTACAACCAAACAATGAGTTTGCAAATGCAATCCTAGATATAAAATTGGTCTGATTAGTTAAGTTCTAATACTCTTAAGAGTTTGTTACATGTTTCCTGTGTTTCAGTTGTTTCTCAAATCAACGTTATCTTTAGGTTACAATTTGAGAATTTATTTTATGTTTGTTACATAGTAATACTAAATATATGGTTTTGTTGTTTCTGAACACTTTGATTCCACTTTATAACACCATCAGATCGCTCGCAACTGTGTTCGATCTTTAAACATCTACATAGTAAATAAACAAAGTGATGTCTTCGGACTGGACCTAAAGTATAATTAATCGATCAAACGAACTTACCTTAAGTGAAGTTCGATCGTAATTATACGAGGGTCCAGTCCGAAGACATCACTCTCACCCCTTTTTTCAACCCTCCCAAGTTGCGAGCAAGTACCATTTCTTTTAACAAATGACTCAACGTGCAAGACCGGGGCGCGACGAGACGGGAGCGGGGATCTCTTGTCTTTTAACTTGGTGTGCGGCTGGTACTCCAGGGCCGGACTACATAGTAAATAAACAAAGTGATGTCTTCGGACTGGACCCTCGTATAATTACGATCGAACTTCACTTAAGGTAAGTTCGTTTGATCGATTAATTATATCCCATGCTTTTTCACTTTTCAACCTGTTTTTATAGTCCTCACTCTTCTTATTCCAAACAACAGGATGTAAACGTACTTGGTTAATTAAATCTTCTTCGAATGTCATCTTGTATGTAATAGAATAGCCAAACGCTTCATACAAACAATGAAAACACAAAATGCCGTCCGGCCGCGAGCGAGTCGAGTGCTGTGTGTCACTGGTGTTGGGTCCTCCTCGCCCCTCTCGTCCCGTGCCCCCCGTACCACTCGCGTTACTGTGTTCGCGCGGGGATTTTCATGATCGCACGATTAAACTCTTCGTATGATCGTTATTAAGCATTTCATGTGCTAGCACAATGACTTGCGAAGTTCAAATAGGACACTCTTGAAGATATCTGTATGTTTGAACTCGTCGCACGACGAGAACGCATCGCGCCATCGTACGATCGCTGCCAATTAGGACGCCGCCTAATGCCTCGTCCTAACTGGCAGCATCCGTGCGAAGAGATTCGTACGAAATATTCGCACGAAGAAACCAACTTTCGCGCGAGCATTTAGGGTGTCCTTATTTACCTGCGAAAAGAACGTATCAAGGAGAGGACTAGACGTTCGTACAACAAAACTTCTACATTCATTTGCGAGATGGACAGCGAAGATGAAGCCACGTTTTTGTTTTCCCGGAATGTTTATTTCCAATCATTGATGTTTCCCAAACCACCCAGAAAACGGCAATCTGCTAAGGTTATATGGAAAGATCGTTGCATGCATGGAGAATTTCATCATCTTTATCCCCAACTGTGTGATGACGAAGAACTGTTTTTCGAGTATGCTGCAATGTCCAAATCAACGTTCGATTACATCTGCAATGAAATACGCGATGAATGCACCCACCAGGTCACCAACTTTAAACAACCGATAAGCGTGGAAGAAAGAGTCCAATATTTGCCTCTGGAAGCCCGTAATGACGGCCGCCGATTGCGATGTTTTCCTTTTCTTATTTGGTTGTTTTTCATTACGTCGGAGAATAGTATTAACATTTGTAACTCTTGACTGTGATGGTGGTGATGCCAGTTGGATTGTTCAAATAGTTGGCGAATTTCTACTGTATCCGTAGGCTGCGTTATGTAACCGTTTGTCTCTGTAAACTGTGGTGCTAACTCGCAAAATGGGGTACCATGCTCTTGCGAGGAGGGCGTTTGTGCGTTTCTCATCCCCTCTGGTAGAATATCTTGTTCTGCAGAGTTCGCCTCACTTTCTTGAGACTCTTCAGGGCAGTTGCCTTCAGTTTCACGAGGTTTCATGACGTCTTTTAGGAACCATAAGTCGTTGAAATACTATACACCCACTTCCCGGTGTAATTAGTGAGAGTTGGACTACCTGGATCACCCGAACGGTAAACAGTAACTTTTTTCCGTTCCTTTTGGAAAGTATCCCTCAAATTTCTCCATTTGGTCTTCACCACTTCTCCTGTAAAAAAACCTATAATCAGCCACAATACTAATAATAATTAATTTTATATAAAGTGAATAAAGCATATAGTCATTTATATATCTGTTTCGTGTTCTTTCTTCCAGGTTTCTGGTGACTGGAATTTCTTTTCGAAAAATTTCGTTCACATACAGGATTTCAAGAACAGCGGTTGCAAACATTGTGATCGAAGTTTGTAAAGCCATTTGGAAGAAGTTACACAACAAGCACATGAAGTTTTCCAGTACAGAAGATTTCAAAGCTATTGCTGCCTCATACAGTGAAAAGGGGAAATTTCCGCATTGCTGTGGGAGCATCGACGGAAAGCATATCCGTGTGAAAAAGCCACGGAAATCAGGAAGCATGTTTTACAACTATAAAGGTTTTTTTTCAATTGTGCTCCTGGCTGTGTCTGATTCAGATTATAAATTCCGAATCATCGACGTGGGGGCATACGGAAAAGAACGCGACGGAGGTGTGTTGAGTAACTCCATATTTTTAAAAAAATTCGTAGACGGTACATATAAGTTACCTTCAGAAGAACGAATTAGAAATTCGAACATAATCGCCCCCTACGTGTTTTTGGCGGATGAAGCGTTCCCGCTAACCACTTTTATCATGAGGCCATTTCCACGAAGAACATCATATGGAGACGAGGTTAAAACTTTATTCAATAAAAAATTATCTTTTTCTAGAGCAACAGTAGAATGCTCTTTTGGAATAGCTGCCGCCAAGTTTCGAATTTTGAATAAACCATCAACAATGCTACCGCAATTGTTAAAGCTATTTGTGTTTTGCATAATGTTATAATCGATAAGGAAGGTCTCGCGCCACAACTCAATGCAGAAAGTAATGTTACTTCTAACAGTACCCACTATAATTTGACTCCATCTCGCGACAATAATCGAGCTTCCAGGGCTGCTATTGCTGCAAGAGCGCAGTTCTGTGCATATTTTTCTAATAATTTAGTATCTGATTTAGTTTAATAATCTATAAGTTCAAACCTGTGCATAAATTGTAAAGAAATTGAAATAAAAAATCATGTACTTACTGGGTTTTCCCAACGATCTTGTTATCTTCTCCCACACCTCGTGAGCCTTATTCTGATTTTTATAGTGTTCATTTTCTTTATTCCACAATAGAGGTCTTGCCTGGACCTCCAATATTAAATTCTCTTCGAACGACATAATATTTAAACCAACTTCTGATGACGAAAAACAAACTTGTTTGATTTCTCCCGTACGATCACAACTCGTCGCTTATTCGAAATTTCTGATGAGGACACCACACTTGCAAAACGCAGGTTGGAACTTGACTGGCCGTACGAGTAACACGATGCGATGCCGAATCAAACCGAGCTCGTTCGTGCGGACGATCCGTGCGATGACGCCGGACGGTGAAATCCTCTAATTAGGACACATCCGTTCCAGCCTCGTTGATTGAATGCTAAGATAATTCGTACGAATCTCTTCGCACGGATGCTGCCAGTTAGGACGAGGCATAAGACCTACGAAGAAAGCGTTGCAGAATATTTATCCCTCTTAAGACGTTTTTGTTGTGTATTTTGATAAAAAGATACAAAATAGCCTTATTTATTAAATGTATATTAGTAAACGCACAATGTTCGATGTAACTATCCATATTATATAACAAAAGTTATGATTAAATATTACATTGTGTAATGAATGAATGCATTTTGCCACTGGACTATTTTTCTATCTAGACGGTTTTTAAACTGAATCATAGACGACGCATTTGCTGCATTCTCGCTTAGCCGATTCCTGTTGGAAACCACTCGGTTTGATAAAAAAAACTTCTTAGTAGTTTGGCACACCCTCCCTAACAATTTATATTGATGCCCCCTAAGCGGATAATTAGTTGATAGCTTGAAAATTTGTATGCTGCATTTATAAAGCCCTTTAACGTTTATGAGGTCACCCCGCAGGGTGGTAAAGTTTTAACTGCTAATTTAGTCACTCTTCTCTGAATTCTTTGAAGTATCTCTAAGCATAACAGGGCTTCATATACCTTGCCCATATTCAAGTATGGGTCTTATGTACTGCTTGTAAATTTTTTAAACTTCCAATGTTTAAGTACATACTTAACACGTTCGTTGCCAGTAAAATGTTGTTACGTGTAGTCAGGGGCCAAGGGGGTTATTATTTTTTTTGCCTGAAAGTTGCTTTAGATGATACTAAAGGAGAGATATATTGTAATTATCGAATATTTTCTTACCTGAATTCAAATATTTTTCAGACCGGGTACGTAAAAGTTCTCAAAAATGTCTAACCTGTATGCCTATTCACCCGTCCGAACTATACTACCGAGCTACCTGAACTGAAGCACCAAATAATAATAGAGAATGTTCGAGTATACAGGAAAATTTGACTGTTGGTCTTATTAACTATTAAATTTTTATGCGTCTCTCACTTTAAATCATTTGTTATAATTACTCCCAAATCGCTATGCTCAATCACAGTGCTAACCTCAGTTTGACCATTATAGTAAGAATGCTGAGGGTTATTTTTCTTTATATGAAGATTGTTACACTTTATCCAATACATGTATTTTCATGTCGGGTGGATAATAAATATTATTATTAAGAACATTAAGTGGTATCTGCCGGGGTGCTGTCCAGTTTGCCATTGCTTCAATATCACTTTGCCATTCATCTCGCTTGGGTAAGAGGGTTGCAGTAATAATTTGTGTCGTCTGCAAAGGCTGCAGTGTTAGGACTGTTTTTTCAGCAGATCACTGATTAAATTAAATACGGGAGCGGGCCCAAAAGCGAACCTTTTACGACACTTAAAACTTTATGTGAGGAAGATTTTGACTTGCCGACTCCGACAGAAAACGACTTATTTTTAAAGAAAACCACTAACTGCTAATCGAGGTCCTCTAATTCCGTAGTGTTGTAATGATAATATAGGTACATGTTTTTCCCCCGAAGGGTAAAAAAAAATTATTTTGGGTTTTGCCGAAGCTTGACCCTTGTGAGACTACTACCCTCGCTTACCACGCCATATCAGGCGCTCCTAGGGATTAGACTTAAGCCAAGTTACTAAATTGTTAATGTTCCATATTGTGGTAATGTGGATAGATACTTAGAGAGGCTGATAGCTTTTAGCATATGCTTTACGATTTTACGATAGGATGCTAAGTTATAACCTCTGCAGGAGCTGGATCTGCAAAATATGTCACTATCGATTTATTCAACAGTATAGTACTATATGAAAGTTTATCTTTGTGTAAATAACTGAGAAACAAGGCAACTTCTCTAGGCAACTTTTCAGGGGGTTGGGCTGTTTACTGGTACTTTATTCTCCCTAGCCCATTCCAGACATCGCTTCCAACAAGAAGAATAAGTCTTTAGGGTACCAGGTCTACAGGCCCGCAATAAGAGCGCTATATCCTCTGCGCTCCATCGCTCGATGTAATTGAGCCAACCTGCACCTTCCAAGCCTCCAAACGTAGTTGATGGACTTCTGGTGGGACTTGATTGGTCGCCATGTCTATTAGATGAAGATGGGTACCTTGAACCGGCAGTGGTGGCTACAGTGCTTTTTTGCATAAGTTAGGCAGCCAAAATGCTTGCTCCGATCATGGCGCGATCTCAATATAAGTTCCCTTTGTCGAATTCAGGTGATGTACCACCCTCGGAATTTACGTGGGCGGAGGAAATACCCACGCAATTTCGTAACTCCATCGGCGACTGAACACATCCGTGAACAATGCGTCCGTATCCTCCGCAAACTGGCTCACATAGCTAGTTACAACTCTTGACTTTCTGGTTGCAAAAAGATCTATTGTTGGACGTCCCCATTTCAGGAAAATTGAAAGTACGGCTATCTGGGACAGGTGCCAATCCGGTACCGCCTTCTGAAGAGACAGGTGAGCACTGTTGTAAACTTCTCGGATATACCTTATCGATATCTGGATTAGAGATTTAACATATCGGAAAAAACGGGAAAAATTAGGAAACAACACGTTTTTTTCCAGACCATGGGAAAAATTGGAAAAAACGGGAAAATTTAAATATTTTTTTATTGTGACTTGAAACGTAAATATAGGTACCAATTTTAAAGTTTTTTAAACATATTTTGTAAAAATACATACAAAAAACATACTTTAATAATATCCATTAATATCTAAGATATAAATACATACATGTATATAGGGTCAAATTATAATTATTATCTAATAATTGAAAGTATCAAAAACAAAGCTTCAAAGGTAGAAAACACATTATTTAACCAAAGCGCTCAGAGGTATATTTTCATCTGAGTCTGAGTTTGAATCTTCAGACCAAGCATCTGATTCAGACTCGATCTCCGCTTCGTCTTCATGGACGGACAAAACAGCATAATCTTTGCCAGCGTCTTCTAAAAGTGGAACTGGTCTAGCATCGTAAATGAGTGTATGTTTTTCGTTTATAACCAAATTATGAATAGCAACCAGCTTCTGAATTTTATCCTGTGATAATCTATTTCTTTTGCTTGTATGTATGAGGCCGTGTAAAGACCAGTTTATTTCTGAAGAGGCGGAAGATGGCGGTCCATTTAAAATTCCCATAAAGAATTTCGACTAAAAAATCCAGTTTTTGTTCTAAATTGGGCTAGATAGAACGAGCCATTTCAGAAATGAAGTCTATTGCTTCCATTAGTTGGTCTTCATTCAATTGTTCTCCTTTAAAGCGAGCATCAAGAAGATTGACTGCAAAGTGAATCGGCTTAGAACAAAATTCGTAGCGTTCTCCAACATATTTTAGCAAGCTTTCGATAAGAGAACTAGTCACGTCAATTTGTTGGGGTATATCTAATATTGTGTCTTTTATATGCTTAAAGACACTTCTGATAATATAGATCTATCCGATTCTACTAAATTTATCGATTTTGATACAGGATGCAGGATTTGTTTAGTATATTGTAGGTTTTGCCAGAACTCATCTGCAGCAGTGGTCCTAAAACCGGAAACAGCTTTTTCAATGGTAGCTATTTGCATAAAAGCGTTGTTGAGTAGTTCTGCGACATCATATTCTGTAATCTTTTGATGACCAGTAGTAGAGAGATAAAGTTCATATTGCCTGTAAAGTGCGTTCTTCAATGGGCTAAAAACAGTAACATCTAAGGGCTGGAGGTTATCCGAAGTATGAGGTGGAATTGTAACCATGTGGATATTCTTCTCTTTACAGTAGTCATAGGCCTCAATTGAAATATGACTGGTATGATTATCCAACACAAAAAGAACAGGATCATTAGCGCTGGGCTTTACATTGCTTCCAAAATGGTGTAGCCACTCCACAAAAAGGTCGGAATTTATCCAACCATTCTTTGAGCATTTATACGATGCCCCAATTGGCCCATTTTTACCAATTGAAGGCGGCATTCTCTTTCTGGGATATATGAGCATAGGAGGTACATAATTTCCAGCAGCATTTACTGAAAAAACCACTGTTATGGTTCTTCCCCTCTCTCCAGAAATAGCGGCACCCAATTTTTTAGCCCCTTTTGGTCCATAGACTTTTGGACATTTCTTTTGGACTGTTGTGATACTAGTTTCGTCCATATTATACACTCTGTTTGCTTGAAACTTATGTTTTTCCATCACTTTTCTGAGATTAGAGTAAAACGTGTCTACAGCGTCTTTATTGAATGAAGCAATTCTGTTCAAACTGGTTCCTTCAGGCCAGAGGCGTACCTGGAGGACGTAGCGCCCATGGCAGCGAAAAAATTGCGCCCCCCCACTCCTCTTTTTTCTATAAAGTTATTAATTTGTTGTATTTAATCTTTATATATTTGTTTTTAATTCTTATGAATTTAAAAAAATTTTAATAATAATTTAATAAGAAATTCTTCGTAATTTGTTTCAATATCATAATGCTAAAGAATGGAAATAAAATTTGCATTTTCAAGATTATATATTATTCCAGGATGCTGGTTTTCAATAATAACATAACACGTTTAAGGTTAGATTCAAATTATTTATTACAAGATCTCGCATCGTCGCATCGTTACAATAATATTTCTTTAACTAATTTGTTAGAACAATCAAAGCTTTCGTGAAAATTACAGTTGTACTTTTCTTGCTTTTTTTGACGCGAATTCATTAATATCATTGAAATCAGTTTTTTCAGTTTCATCCCTTTCTACACTTAATAACGCTAAATCGCACAATCTTTCTTGACCCATTGTAGTTCTTAAATAAGACAGTATAAGTTTTAACTTGCTGAAGGATCTCTCGCAGCTAGCAATGGAAACTGCTATTGTCAGTAGAATTTGAATTGCGACGCGAAGATTCGGGAACACGCTTTCCGAACTGAACAATAAATTCGAGGAGTGTTTCTGGACTTGAAATGATGTTTTTTCGGCTCGTGAGCAACATCCTGCAGTCAAGGATTTCTTCATTCGTCAAGTTCATTTCCATCAATATCACTTACGTAGAATTGACCTAGCTCGTTGCATTTTTTTTTGAGATCGTAGTCTTTTTCGTCATAAATCAGACCTTTGAGATCGAGAAGGAATCCAAATTTTTCATCGATTTCATTCAACCGTACGAATCTTCCGTTCATTTCTTGAAATAGACGATCAACTGTTTCTTTCAAGACTCTTTTCATTTCTTCCATGGCACTCAAACCTGCATCAATCGAAATCTCACCAGCTATATTTTTTATTCATCTTCGGCGTCTTTCAGTTGCAACGTCCCATTTTTCACATAAAATTATCCCTTCCTCGAGTGAACTATCAGTGATGGCCTCTCTTTCATTTTCAAAATAATTTTGAAGAGCCTTCAAATCTTCAGCAGCATCGTGAAAATTCATCGTGGGATCTTGCAGCCTCTTCTGAACGCGGTCAATGCGGATGAGTACTTTATTCCAAAATCCCAGCAAAATCAAGAAATCATACTTCAACATTCGGTTGAATAGTTGCTGGACATCACTCCTTGTTTCACTTGTTTGATTCTTGTCTTCGGTCATTTCTTCAAGAACTCCCAGAATTTTCTCCAAATAGTTGTTAACTGGCTTTATTGCTTCTACGTTTGCGCTCCATCTGCTTTCAGATTTGGACTTGATGACAACTGGTATAGCTTCCTTAAGTTTTTCCCAACGGCTTGTTGAACGAGAAAAAAATGCATATAGACTTTCGATCGTTCCAAAAAAAGTGACCATTGTTACATTTTGTTTTGCTACATGTACACCAACTAAGTTGAGTGAGTGATTGTCACAGTTTACAAACAATGCACGTCTATTTATTTCTGTCAGTTTTTCATTCACGCCATTTTTGTGCCCAGCCATTACAGCAGCATTATCGTAGCACTGTGACCGACAATCTTGAAAATCCATTTCATCTTTCTTTAACTGTTCTAAAATACAATTCGCCAGTCCCTTAGCATTCTTCACGGTAATTTCAATAAAGCCAAGAAAGGTTTCCTTCACCTGTACTGTTTTTTTTTCAAAATCAATGTCCACGAACCTCACGACTTCTGACATTTGATCGCGATGGGCAATATCGGGAGTTGAGTCGAACATGAGACCATAATACTTGGCCACATGAATACTTTTAAGTAAACGCCAGCGAACAGCAGATGCCAGAAGGTGAAGAAATTCATTCTGAATGCATGGGCTAAGATACGAAGTGGACCCAGGATGACTTTCAGCGTTTCTCAGGTGTTCTTTCATAACTGGATCGAATATATACGTAGATACTAGTTTCAGCAAACCAAGAAAATTTCCGACATTAGAGTTGTCAAGCATATGATGTGGCTCTCTGTGTCCTCGCAGAGCCAAATTTTGCGTAGCTAGAAACTTGATACAATGGAGAATTCTTGTCAAAACTTCACGCCATTTAAGTTTTTCTGCCTCGAACTGTGACAATATCCTTGCATCAACAAAACCTTCACTTCGAGTAAAATTGAGCTCCATTTCTTTCCACCGTGCAAAATTTTCTCGATGATTCTTGGAGTTTTCATGAATGATGATCCTCTCGCGTGCCTTCCACTGGGTGAATCCACCTTCTTTCTCCAACGACGACTGATGTTCAGAATTTGAAAACAGAATGCAGCAAAGACAAAATGCTGATTTCTTGAACGGGGTACACCAGCCAAGATCGAGTAACTTCTTCACCACGTCCATCTCCTAACTTTTTCTTGAACCAATTTTGAGTCATCGAACGATTGTTTGTTGGTAGAAATGGCCCGTCCGAATTTTGAAAATATTTCCAACCGAGCTTAATTATTTCTAGTCTCGTTGTGTTGGTTACAATTGCTCTCCCAGAATTTTCATCAAATTTCAGATGCCCGATGTCATGGTATTGTATCAGGTTTTCTATTTCACTAGGAAGTTTTTCGAAATCATTTGTATGTAAAATGTTATTTTCTGGTAATTTTTCTTCTTCTGGCGAATTGCATTTTTTTGGCGATAAGTCCATTTCCTCCTTTTCTGATTCGCTAGAGCTATTCCTTGATTTTGAAAAAACTGCATCAGGTGATGGTGATTTCTCGAAACAGGATGATTTGTTCTCATTTGACTTCTTCAAAAAGGCCTTGAGGAACTTGCTTGATTTTTCCGATTCATGTTTCTCTACTTTACGTCTTTTCCGACCATCAGCTCCACTTTCCTTTCTCTTTCCGCTTTTTGCGTTTTTCACGTCCATTCTACAAAAAAAAATAATATTCCACTCTTAGAACATTATCACTTTAACTTGATTGCATTGCACACCCTCTTGAATGTCAGTAAAACAATCAATTTTCTCAGTGGCACGCTTTTTTTATTTTAAGACGTCGTTATTCACAAATGATTAAGTGATTTTTGATTTTGAATTAGAAATATTTTCTTTTAAATCATATTAGAGAAAAATTATTAAACAAACATAACTGATCTTCGTTCACCCACTCATTTTAAACATAATTGATACTAATTATTAGTTGGGAAAAGCATTTCCAAGCGTAGTTTAATTTTTTATATGATTTTAGCAGAATTGAAACACGTGAAAAGTTGCTCAACTTTTTTCTTAATGCTAAATTTCGATTTTGTCGTAATGTCACTACTAGAAAATTTGTTGGTGAAAAAGTAAAAATCATAAGACAATAAAATTATAAAATATTTGTTTACATAATTATAAAATTATATTGACAAATTTGTCGGTAAAAAATACAACGAACGTTTGCTAGGGCAGCATATAATGTAAAAAAGTAATTCAGTCGTATTTATTAAAATTTAAATGACTATCTGATATGTACATATAACAAAATGCAATTTCGATAATGAATTTCTAAAATTAGTGATTATAGACATCATATAACAAATAAAAATATATTCTGTGATAAAAATGAATACTTACCGAAAGGGTCGCTCCTTACACAATTTGTATCTTTATGTGACAATCAAACGATTCAACAATATTTCACTGTGTTGACAAAAATAAGATGAAAAACACTCAGCGAAGGTTATGTTTACACCAGAAGCACAGCCTAACTAACAACCAGCCCGCAGACTCCTTTGGCGGGAAGCCGTAGCGCCGATCTTCGCGCAGCCGGCCATTGCTCGTGAGTTCGGCATGTTGCCAGCTGGTACGCGATTGTGATTTCAATTTATTCTTCAAGCGTCGCCACTGTTGCCAGCTAGTGCTTGTTTACTTGGGTTGCCAGTGTTTGTGGGGAACAATTTTGTTATTATAAACGATTTATGTGCCTTGTGTTTGTGTGTTAATTTACATTATTTTTTAATTATACTGTTTAAAAAAAAGTTGAGGTGTCACTTTGCGCCCCCAATAGAGTGGCGCCCATGGCACGTGCCCTGCTTGCCATACCCTAGTTACGCCTCTGCTTCAGGCTGTCGAAGTGAAATCTCGGGAGCCCTTTTCAAAAATTCATATAGCCAGTCTTTTCCGGCTAACCTCTTTTCACGGTTGAAGTTGTGACAAATTTTATTTTCTTCAGCATATCTAAATGCTATGCTCCGGAGCTCCTTGGGTGTCAAGCCAAAGAACGGTTTTGCCAGCTTTAAAATATATTCTCTTAGTTCAGCTTCGATTGCCTCAGAAAACACAGGTTGGCGGCCCAAACGAGGGAGGTGATGTTCATGATCAGTTAAGTCCTTGTACTTCCGTAAAGTTGACACTGGGATATTGAAAGCTCTTCCTACTTCTCTAATTTTTCGTCCATGGGCTTTGATCGCATGTATCGCATTTTTCAAGTCTTCAGCCGTAAATTTTAGTGTGCGTCCATACTGAAAGAGCGGTGACTGGGGCCTAGGCGGGCGCGACGAGCGACGATGTGCGGTGGCCACAGTGACACGGAAGCTGTTGTACATGTGTGACGTATTATCAGAAGTCCCAAACTATGGACGACGATTTAGTTTTTTTACTTGACAGTCCGATCCTGAGATGGGAGGTGTTGAACATTCGAGATGGTGTGCATGAAATAAATAGAAACAGAGAAACAAGTGGAGAATTTTTTCATTTGTATGAAGAACTGAGACTATACCCTACCAAATTTTTTGAGTACACTCGAATGCCCGTGTCAACATTTGACTACATCCTGAGTAAAATATCAGCTAAAATCGCCAAAGAAGATACAAACTTTCGGAAAAGTATTAGTCCCGAGGAGAAATTGTTCATAACACTGAGGTAAGAATAAAATAAGATTTTACTAAAAATATAGTATTTATGTGGATAGTAATCAAATTAGTAGTTAACTATAATAAACTGTGAATCTAATTAAAAATTGGTGTAAGTGCCAGTAGTAGAATAGCCTCCATAGTTTTCCTCGTATCTCTGATGAGAAGAATACTGCATCCTTTCTGCCTCGTCTATTATGACTTGGGTAATTTTATTGCGAATACGTAACTTTTGTACTTCACCAAATTGCTTCATTTGTGGCAGGAGACTCATAAAAAAATGATAATCATCACATTTTTCCGGCTGGACATTATTTGTGGCCATTTTCTGTTCTATTAGCAAAATTTTTTTTCTTTCACATTCTATAAGCTCATCTCTATAATCGGATGCTGTTTTGTTGCGCTTTGATGCATTTGTGCGACTGCTGGTGGTTGATGTGCCTGGACTCATCACATCATTTTGCTCCTCAGTATGACAGGACTCGTTCAGGGAATCCGAATCACTATCATGCAGGTTTCCAGTCATGACTTCAGGTGTAATATCATCGTTTAAAAATTGCATGAGTTGAAAGTATGGCCAAGTGCTCTCTGTTTCGTTGGCAGCGTCACCAGAACGCGGCGTAGGGAACTTCTTTTTTTCTTTCCGAAACTGATCGCGCAGGTTCTTCCACTTCTTACGCAGTTGTTTTTCTGTAACAGTAACCTTATATTATAATCTGCTTTTTTAATTTCAGGTTTTTATCAACAGGAGCTGGGTTTAGAGCACTGGCATACAGTTTTCGCATGGGGAAAAGTACAATTGCGTCTATAGTTCACGAAACATGCCGTGTTTTATGGGCTGAGTTAGTTCCTATACACATGCCGATACCAACAGAACAACGTCTGAAAGCTATTGCAGAAGATTTTGAAGCAACCTGGAATTTCCCACACTGCATCGGAGCAATAGATGGGAAACATTGTGAAATAAAAAAACCACCTAAATCTGGTTCGGCACATTGGTGCTATAAAAAAAGAAACAGTATTGTCATGCAAGCTGTGGCTGATGCAAAAAGGAGATTTGTAGCAGTGGAAGTCGGCGGTCGCGGGAAGCAAAGTGATGGTGGTACTTTTATAGCATCAACGCTGTATAAGCTTATAGAAAAAAATAAATACAAAATTCCTAGGCCAAAGAGACTCCCAAACTCTGACGTCATTGCACCCTACGTCCTAGTGGGTGATGAAGCATATCCGTTGAAGCATTATTTGATGCGTCCTTATCCGGAGCGAGTGCTTAATAATGAAAGAAAATGTTTTAATATCAGATTGTCTACCGCTAGGTAAACAATCGAATGTGCATTCGGCATTTTAACATGTAAATGGAGAATACTACGAAAACCTATCGAAACAAATAGGAGAAATGCCTTGTATATAATAAAAGCTGCGTGTATTCTACACAATACCATACTGGATTTGAACGGCGATAGCGATTTGGATATTCAGAATGTGGTATCTAACCCGGCATTATGTGAAAATCGTCACAATAACCTCGGAGTGCGAAATAATAATCCATCACGAAGAGCAAAAAATGTTCGTATACAATTCACAAACTATTTCTGGGAACAGTATCGAAGAATGTAATGGTGATGATATAATAAAATATTAAACTTACCTTCACTTCCAGGAAATTGTTCTTTTATTTCATTCCATGTGCATACGCCGAGCGACAAGACCAAACTGGTTTAATACCGCCGCCACCGCGCGCAAAATCGCTTGCAGACTAGGCCCGTAGTGTGTCCAGAAAGCGCTGAACAAGAACGTTTGAAAACTACGCGCGCTGTCTCGCTCAATCCCGTCGCGCTAGGCCTCCGCCTTAGTCACTGCACTATGGACACAGAGGCGCGTTTCATAATGTTTGATACTTCGCGCCCGTCGTCGCAACCGCGCTAGGCCTGCAGTATGGACGCACACTAGAGTATTCGTTTTACGAGTGTAGTTTCGTGGCATCTGGAAAGAGCAAAAAACAAATCTATAGAAAAGTGTTATCTTAACATATAATCATGTGAGGGGGAATCGTGCGCATCTGTGCGCACGATTCCCCCTACGTATCTTCAGACACAATCCATGTTCTATAAAATAAACTATAGGCTTATTACATTCCAAATTATTCTGAAACACATGTAAAATTCTATGGTCCAATAATATATATGAATTAATAAGATCACTTTAATATTGATTACCTACCGTCTTATTTTCGACTCACGAAAATTAACAGAATTTTATAGCCCAATGAACAGCCGTTACATATGATCACCTAAGATAAACTGGCGAAACAAGCGATGTCGCCAATGATTCAGTAGATCGACGAGGTGGCGTGGCACACGCGGGGCTAACCGTAGAACGCGCGTAATTTGAAATAATGAGCTGCGCACAATTACCGGCAGCGCACAATTCCCCCACCTTCCCCTAGTGCCACTAATAATTGTATTTTGGCGGCAAATAAATAACATAAGGGGTTTCAGCAAAACACGTTAAATAAATTAAACATTTATTCATAAGAAAAGCAATGTATGTAACATAAATATATTTTAATTTCTAATTTTTGTCACACTACTGTGTTTTTCGTTGAAGCGCGAGAGACACATTGCAGGTTTTTGCTCACAGTCAGCTCAATAACTTGACACTTTGGTCACTTTTTGTCAGCTTGTCAGTTGCGTCGCCATTTTCTAACTGAGCCCTTCTCGAAAGCAAATGTATGTATCCCTTTAGGGATGGAAACTGAACTCTTTGTTAATCATCTTGTTCTACTAGCGCAATTGCTAAGTCTTCTCTAAACCGCAGCATGGTAAGGCTTTGGTTGTTTTTGTTAACTTTATTGAAAACGACAAGAGCTTTCTATTGTAGTCTATGAAACACTTGGGTTTCAGAACGGGCTCCGACTTTCTATTTTTTTGCCAGTATCACGAAGGATAGTATCATGATCTTTTTTATTAGTTATCATCAGTATGAGCCTTTTATCTTGCCACTTTATTTCAATTCCCTTTTCATTATGTACTCCTATAACTTCACCTTTTTTTAATGCGGCGCTTGATAAATTCATTTGGGAAACCTCTACTGTTTGCCCTAAGCGTTCCGCAGTAAACATTTCTTTTTGCTTGGATTTTTTTTACCAGTGGGAAACCCGAATAAAAGTTGCCACTGTACAAGACGCGACCTGAGTCGAGCAAATGATTCATGAGGTGCATAACCACCTTTACCGTATGTGGGTCACTGGAGTTATGTTGATCATCCTCCTTGTCACAATACACTTTTACGTTAATCATATAGCCTTCTGAGGTGCATAACTTATACAACTTAACACCATACTTATGTTGCTTGTTTTTAATATATTGGCGTATACCTCCATCAATTACTACCTCTTTTCCTGGCGTTAAAATATCCTGATATCTGGTAATAAGAGGCGATCTTGAGAATCAGGTAAATTTTCATTGTTGTTAAAATAAATATATTGCAAGAATCGATCTCTAGTTATTTTTGAGCTAATATACTATATTTGTTATCATAAAGGTTATGTTTCGACAAGTAAAGATTAATTGTTGGAACTTTAACTAATCTCATACATATAATTATCCCGAATATCTTATCAACTGTTTACTACCAATAGCATCTATCTCCAAAATGGTAAAATGTTCAGGAGACATGAAAATGTGTTTCGAAGGGACAATAGTGCGTTATGCGTCAGAGGATGGAAATAGTTTTGCTTATTGCGCTTCAGAGCACGTCTGTGTATATGATATTTTGCACATTCTTATCGATAATCGCATTTTATCACATACTTTTTGAGATAGGAGGTATTGACGGGTGTTCATCTTGAAGATAGGAGATTTTGCAATTGAGTATATTTTTAGGGAAGTCTCGCAAAAATAAACAACAATGATTCTTAAACACAACTCTTTTTATCTAATTATCCTTGTGTGGCAAGGTATCGTAAAAGTTATGACAGTCATCGGGAAGAACCTGTTTCAGTATTTGTAAATGCTGAAACTTTGACATCTTTATTGAGATTTTCGAAGTATGCAGGGGAGGGTAGATTGGTACTTCACTTGACAGTTTTTTTAGGCCTTGAAGGTAATTCTCTCCATTGTTCGTCAAACTGAAGCTTATAACTGATAGACCCTATCCATATAACTCAAGGCACGCAAGTCAGTAACAGTTGGTTCATTTGGCTTTCTACCAGGACGAATGCTGCAGTATCTTAGGAAACAAGGTCTTGAGTAGTCTTTGAAAAAATCAAATCCAAGTTTAATTGCTTCATATGGGTACGGTTTGGTCCGAGCTTCCTTGGTCGCTTTAATATAGTCGCTTGGTAAACTGATATCTCGATTTCTCAACTTGCGCTCGATGCAGCTGTGAACGGAGTCACACTCCATCTGTGTGTGGCCCTTTTCAAGGAATTTTTGTTGTATGTTTATCTTATTATGCACAGCATTTCCCTTCCTCTGCTAATTTCTTATCTGTTTCTTTTTCCAATCTTGCTCGGTCTTTCTTTTTTATATGTTCAGTGTATTTTTCATTGCTGATGTTTCCAACCCTATAACTCACACAAACGTCACATTGGTCCTTCTTCGGTTGGTACAATGACAGATTACTATCATTGAACTGGTTATAAAATGTTTTGTTTGAAAGACATTTCCTATCCTCCTTTTGGCACATTTCGTTGTATAAGTCATAGACTTGTTTCAGTGACCTGAACACAGGTTCAAGGTAGAGTTTTGTTGAGTTTGCTCTATTATAATGGGAAGGCAATTTCGGTAACTTCTCGAGGAATCCCTTCAGAAAATTTATATCTTCTGCAAACGGAGATTTTTTCATACGTTTGGAATTCTCTGCCTCCTTATGGGGAAGCATTCCATGTTCGCCTTTTTTTGTCCAGCTTTGAACAGTGAAAGGACGTAGATCAAGAGTGTTCAGAAACATCTTTCTACATACTTGATATTTGGTGTTATTTAGGGTCAGTGTATAGACCAAACTTTCTTCTCTTCGAGACTCAGAGACTGTTTTTCGTTTTGTGTTTACTCTTGTAACGTGAGCAACCACATACATCTTCCTTTGGTCCCAATTCAGGTCAGACCAGAACTTGGTGAATATAGACATTCTGTCAATACTGGTAAATTTATCACACATCCTCTTCTTGGATTTCAGACAAAGGGAAGATGAGCAACCTGGTTCAGAGATCTGGCCTCTCGTATTTTATTTTGCTTCATTGTTTGATTTCTTGGTTTAGTGTATCCTAAATATTGTTTCCCTTCCATACGAAGCTTTTGATTTTTTATCTTCTTCCATTCGTTTTGGTCAGATTTGTGTTTTCGTTTTCGTCCTTCGTTCATATATCCATGTTCTGCATCGTTCGAAGACATATTTCCTAGGGCTAGTTCATTATCACTATGAACAAGAACTGGATTGTCACTATCATTGTCTGTACTAGGAATATAGTCAGAATCAGAATTTTCCGAATCGGAATTTTCTGGAATATTATCAACTGATTGCTCAATGCTGTTTATACTGCACAGGTTTTCTAAGCTCTTAGCTTTAGATTCACCACTTGGACCATCACGATTTGCCGCTTCGTTCTCCGCTCGGACATTGTCATTTAAAGAAGAGTCTTCCTCGCAATCCATGATAGAAAGGTGTCCGTCCTCTTTAACAATGAATATCAAAGGATCCTCATTATTGTTCTTCTGGATTGACTGATCACAGTTTGCAATGATATTTTCTATTTGTATGTTGGTAGACATATTGGACAAAGATAACGAGGTGTTTAGAAGATCTCCAGCATCAAAACTTAATTGCGGTATGTTAAAGCATCGAAATGGAAGTGTCCTGGCTCTCAAAACTAGCAGCTTGATTTGAAATACTTCCTAACACCATTTCGTTGTCAATCGCACTGATTCGGGTGAGCTTGAAGACTTGTTCGTTTACTGTGCTTGTCCAATTGTTCTGATGTTGATCGCTAGCTGAGCTGGAAACAGCACCTTCTCTCTCCACCATTGCCATGATTTTTGCTGTTCTAGTAGCCATATCCTGAAACAGCACATCATTATTAATGTAACTCCTAACACTATTCTGTGATTTTCATGTCGATAGTTCTCCTTTTGCCAGGCTATATTTAAACCACATGTTTTGTAGAAAACCTATATTTCATGTAGACCTTTCGTTTAGCACTGTGGACTTATATGGTACATCTGTTCGGTAGATCTTGGAAAGACGAACCACGCGGTGTGAAGATGTTATTTTGTATAAAATTGGTAGATAGGAGGTATTGGTAGTAAACAGTCGTTATACATTTTGTATCTGTCCAACATTTAATGCGAGCCTTGTTCTTGGAATTGCTCCAACTTATATAAAAAATAAATGAAAACATACATTTTTAATTTGCTGCATAAATGTAATAGAAAAATATTACAATGATTACCTGAAAATCCATCAGCATCATTCATTTCGTCATCTTCACTACATTCATCAGATTCATTATCAAGTTGTTCATTATCGGTGAGGGGGACAAAACGCCCCTCATCTGATGTTTTCGCAGAAGAAGTTTGGTCATAATCTGGATCTGAACAAGAGCGAGTCCTAAGGTTCAAGGATACGAGCAGAACCTGACGCGTAGGCAAACAAAAGCGCAAGCAACCTTGCCGGCGCCAAGCAGCAGCCGCGACCGTACGAGTCTGAAGGTGGCTACAGACACAACTGCAAGCTTGTCCAGCATGCTCATTCAAGCTTTTTGTACAAGTATGCTCAAATCGCCTTCGGCACCACACGTACAAATATGCTTGATAAAAGGAGAGGTAGTTTAATGAAATATGTCGAGCTCGGACGACGAAGCGCTCGCTTTGATCGCTTTTGTTCTTGTAAAGAAAAAAAAAATCCAAAATGAAAAAGCGTGCGGTGTGGTGTAAAGAATGGTTGATGGAAAGGAAAACCTATTCTCACATTAACTTACTAAGTGAGCTGAAAATATATCCGCGTGACTGGCACAATTATCTTAGAATGGACGAAGAGACCTATTTGAACCTTTTGTCTCTTGTATCACCTTTGATTCAAAAGCAGGATACGATCATGAGAGAAGCCATAACACCACATGAAAGATTAACGGCGATTTCTTGCAACCGGGAGGAGTTATGAAGACCTGAAGTATTCAACTATTATTTCACCACATGCATTAAGTTATATAGTTCCTGAAACCTGCCATGTCATTTACAAGGTGTTAAGAAGCAGGTATTTGAAGGTGAGTAATAGGACTATTTAAACTCAGTTATTTATTATTTTTTTGACGAAAAGATTTACAAAAAGTAGGTACATGTGTATAATAAACTATTACAAAATAACATTAAGCATCGCTAAAATTTGAAATATAGGACGCGATAGAATGATTGGAATTATTATTGGGGGTTACTGGAGAAAGAGTTTCATAATGTACCTGAGATTGAGGAAAAGTTGAGGGGAAATGGGAGTAATTGGTATTTAATTGTTGAGGTAAAGGACAATCTGTAGAATATGTATTGTTAGTTTCACCACAAATACGATGGGACGGAGTCAACTGACCCATTTCTGCCATGAATAATGTATCGTTAATCATTTTTTCTGCCAACAATCTCTGAATATTGTTTATGTCTCTCATTTTCAGAGCGACGTTTTCAACTTAGGTTTTTTAAAGTGGCCTTCAATTGCGTCCAACACAGAATCACATTTGTCAATTTTGCGTTTAGGTGGTCAGGAAATGGTGCTTTTTTTTTGGGGTGGATTGTGTGGCCTCAGTTGTTTGACAGCCAGTATCATCATGTGTTGTTGACTCATCCTCCTCAATGGGTTGATCTAACTTTCTATAGAATTTTCAGTTGATTGGGCTTCAACTTCTTCCTGAAAATAATATTTAGCAAATATAAATACATATAACATCTACTATTAGATATAATGTAGTTGTAATTATTTTGTACAAAATATCTCTGTATTGTTATATTAATTTATTTCCAGGTTCCACAAACTGAAAACGACTGGATTGCTATAGCAAAGGGTTTCGAAAAGAGATGGAATTTCCCTCATTGTCTTGGCAGCCTAGATGGAAAACATATCGATATAATTCCTCCAGCCAACAGTGGATCTTTTTTTTTCAATTACAAACATAGACACAGTTTAGTTCTACTTGCCATAGCAGATGCAAATTATAAATTTATTTTATTTGATTTCGGTACAAATGGCAGAGTATCAGATGGGGGTGTCCTTCAGAATACAGAATTTTTTAGAAGACTTCAGGCCAAATTATTAAACATTCCCGGAGAAAAAGAAGTTGCAAATGAGTCACGAAAGCTACCGTTTGTTTTTGTCGCAGATGATGCTTTTCCTTTGAGGCCTGACATGCTCAAACCATACAGACAGAGTGATTTAACTTGTATTGAAAAAAAATTACAACTACTGATTATCGAGAGCACGGAGAATCGTGGAGAACGTCTTTGGGATTATGGCAGCACGCTTTAGAATTTTTCACACCTCTATCAATTTAGAGTTATATCACATTGAGGAAATATTGAAAGCAACATGTGCTTTACACAATTATTTAATGTCGACAGTAAAAGAAATTTGTGCTCCACCGGACTCTTTTCACTTAGAGGACATAGAAAGTGGTATGATTCGCGCTGGCTTGACCTCTGAAAGTTCTAACATGTCATCATTACAAAGGTCCCATATGACAGGAAATACGCAATTTAATGCTAAACAGGTTAGAGAAGAATTCAGGAATTACTTTTCCAATGAAGGAGCAGTACCTTGGCAACACAACTTTATAAATTAATAAAATAGGGTAAATGCGGGAGAGTTGCCGCACTTTTTGAAAAATGGCTGTAATTTTCTTGATTTTTAACACTGTTCTTTAAAAATAAATCAATACAAAGGTACTGTATTAAACTTTATTGAGACATAAAAATAAACTTTAATTCTGAAGAAATATAGACAAAGCAAAAAAAAAAATTTTTTCTATTAAAATCGGCATCTCTCCCACACTACTGGGAGAGACGCCGCATCAAAAAAGGAGAGATGCCGCAGTATCGGCATCTCTGGAAAACCCCTAATTTTCATTTCTTTTTCTTAAGTCGAATCTAGAACAGATGTTTCACACTTCACCATACATGGTACAAGTGACATGTAGCCACTTTAAGCATTTAAGGCATTGCAGCCAATCCACTGTTTTAGTTGTCGTTTCGTAAACTTCAAAGCATTCCACGCAGCGTTCCCGATTTTCATTTTTTTTTTTTGGCCAGAGGTTCATCGTCGCTGTCGCTCCATTGATTTTTTTCTGGCTATTCGTCTAGCTGTTTTTTTTGTACTCTTAGTTTCTTTTTCTTCGCTGTCACATTGGTTGTGTTATGTTTGTCAGGGCGAACCCTCTTCGTTATGTTTTCAGGTGATGTTAACACAGCTGCGCTTTGCTTGAACCTTTGCTTGAAGGATACAGGTACTTTTGGGATAGGAGAAACTTCTTGCAAAAATTTTGAAGGAGTGATTTGTGGACCGTCGCCTTCATCTCCCCTACCACATGCTTGAGCAGAACTAGTAGGGCTGGTGGAGGGTAATCCTAAGCTGGGACGGTTAGCATCTCTTTCTGGGGAAGTATCTGCCATGGCTGAATCAGTTATAGAATAGAAGTGATCCGGAATAGCATTAGGATCAACAGGATATATCCCTGTTGCCTTGAAACCGTTAATGGCTGTGGCCACAGATGCTGATCTTAACCAACTTTTTCCAATTAATGCAACGGTTTGATATCTCGTCAAGTTTCTGCTGGCGTTGTGTTTCATCCATAACTGAGCTTCCTGGTTAAAATAAGTTTTAAAAGGCTTAAAAAAGCTTCGGTCTAGTGGCTGACGAGCCTGGGTACAGTGGCTTGGTAAACACAATATAATTATATCGTTATCGTCAGCCACTTGCAGCATATCGCCGTCAGTACTGTGTGAAGTGTGGCCATCCAGGATTAATAAACACTTACCGGATGGCTTATTGGGGATAAACTGCTCCTTTAACCATTTGAGAAATAATTCCGAATTTATGAAGGATGACTTTCTATTCATATAAATTTTGGATCCAGCTGGCAATCCATCCGAAAATTCAGCCTTTCGGTTTACACCTTTGAAAATTAACGTGGGTGGAATGAACCTGCCGTCTGCACTACAGCATGCAACAACCGTTACATTTTCTCCTCGCTCTTTAGATGTTAAAACGTGGACATCTCTTGCACCTTTCGTTGTTAGTACTTTCCCAGGTTTGTTGATCAGTTGAACACCTGTCTCGTCCATATTGAAAATATGAGATGGCTTATCCAATAAATTATTTTCAGTTAGGATATCAATCAAAAGTTGAAAAAATTTGGAAGTTTTTTCTCTATTCATTCCTCGAGCTCTTAATAATGACAGTCCTTCAGCTTGCCTTATTGTCAATTCGGGATTTCTTTCTAAAAATGATGACATCCAAGAATAACCAGCCATCCCGCTGTTGTGTGAAAATTAGTGTTTCAATTTCAGCTTCTCAGCAAAATTATAAGCCAGCCGTCGAACTGTATTTCTATCAGGAGCAAATCCAGCCGCTGCCAATCGTTGGATGTGAACAACCAACCGTTTTTCATTTTTATGCCCTAGAACACCTTTAAAATAAATTATGCGGTAATGCTGAAGCAAAGTCTAAAAAATCACTTTACCTTCTGGTCCGAGACTCCCTTTCTGAAGATTACCACTGGCCATTCTACGTTTAAGGGTCTTTGGTGGGACATGATAACGCCTATGGGCTTCTCTTTTGGATATCTCACCGGAACTAACTTTATTAATGGCTTCTTGCAATTGTTCTTCGGTCCACAAAGCCCTAGGGCGTGCATTTGCCTTCCTCTGATATTTCCGTGGCATTTTTCTAATCAAAATGTAACTTTAATTTGATAAAATCCATGACAAAACGATAACTTTGAAAAAATAATTTGCGGCATCTCTCCTTCCTTAAAATGCGGCAACTGTCCTTTTTGTTGGGAGAGATGCCGCGTCCGCTTATCAAAATCACGCATTTACAACGCGACAAAATATAACATGGCATGTGTGGACATAACCTCAAAATACTGGAAAAAGCTTACGATTATCAAATAAAACTACCACCGTGCAAAAAACCACACTTTCTAGGATACAGGCTAAAATTTTGCAAATAAAATTCGATCTTACCTTCCTAAATTCGAGGATAGCATGCAATATTCCAAAAAACAAACACGTTCGACATCGTCACCGTTCACTAAACGATCGACTTTCATCATGGGTACACTCGGTCGCCTACTCTATGGCATTAGCGTTGAAATACGACAAAAGCGGCGTCTCTCCCGCCGCGGCAACTCTCCCGCATTTACCTTAATATGGTACATTAAGTGTGTGTGGACTTTTTATGCAAATAAATAAACTACTTATGTATAAATATGAAAAACAATAAAACTTACCTCTGTCTCGTTCAAGTTAGATACTGATTTTCTAGGTGTTTCTTGATCTCCTAAAAAGTGAAACAGGTGGTAGTACCAGAGTGTGGGCTCATAACGTTCATCTGCACCCATTCCAGAGTGTTCTGCATCTTCAACTTTTTTCTTTTCTCTTCTATAATTAGTCCGGAAGGAGTTTATCTTTTTAACAACTGCATCCTTGTCAGCATTAACATCAATTAACCTATATTTTTGTAATAATCTTCTGTACGCTGCATCCCTCTTTGCTTTGTTATGATAATCTTTGGATTTAACGTGCCAAAGACATGGCTGATTTTGATATTCTCGAATAAAATCTTCCAAGAATTCACGGTTAACCTTTTTGAGATCACTAGTCATGACGAAAATTACTCAAATGCTACTACGTACGACCAGTCACGATATTTTCAACACAACAGGAGAGACGCCAACTTGTGCAAACTTGACAATTTTGGGTACACACGTACCGTTTTGCTTGCGCAAGCGCGCCTAATTCAAGCATGCATAATTAAAATCAATTCAATCCTCAAGCTGCTTGTACAATTACGAAGCTTGCATCACATTTCCCTACAAACATTCAAGCGTACTTGTGCAAAAAGATTGAACAAGCATGCTGGATAAGCATGCAGTTGTGTCTGTAGCCACCTTGAGCATGACAGAGACTGAAGACAATAGATTTTTTCGCGGAGCGAATCCCGGACGCCTTCATCTTATCATCGCATGCGCACTAAAAAAAGGACCGTTCGCGGTGACAAAATTTGTTACTCGGGATGAAAAATTCGTTGTTCGTGGTACAACTGTGTTAAGTTCTGAACGTGCTCGTAATGTGTTCGACAGATCCGGTGATAGACGGAGGGATTTGAAATTCAGAACAAATCCTAACCTATAATTCTGTGTCTTTGTGATATAAACAAACATTTATCTTAAATCTACTTTCGAGATGATGCCAATGATGCATTTAAGTTCAAGTGACGAAGATTTGGAAGAATTGAACGAATTGTTTGAAGTTCCAAAAATTGAGAACTTTTGCGAGGAAACTGTGCCCCAATTCAACGATCAACAGTTCTTGGGGCATTTTAGGATAAGCAGGGAAGTAGCAACCCAATTATCAAACAGATATGAAGCTTCGCAATATTATCACTACCAAAAAGGTGACTGAAAAAATCAGCCCTTTTAAAACAGTTGTGGCCTTTTTATGGTATGAAAGCAATGAACCTGCAAGCTTAAGGGATGTATCTGACCGGTTTGGGTTTACGATTAGCTCTCTTCATAAAATTGTAAAGAGATTTACGTATTTTTTATCCAATTTGTCTGCGGAATTTATAAAATGGCCAACTAACGAGGAGAAAATTGAAATTGAAAGCCACTTTAGGCAAGACGAATTTACTGGCATTATTGGCGTCATTGACGGTACACACATTGAAATTGACAAGCCACACGATGATCCAGATTCGTACCTTAACCGGAAGCACTTTGTTTCGATCCAGGTAAGAAAGCAAAATTTTAAATTTCAATTTAAATGTTATTCAAGTATGATAATATCTTAAATGTTTATATAATATATTTTATTTTTTACAGGCACAAGTTGTTTGTGATCATAAAAGGAAAATAAGGGATATATTTGTCGGATACCCAGTCGAGTGTTTCGGACATCACCATTATTTGGAACACTTCAAGAAAATGTGGAAACCACTTTATTATTGCAGACAGTGGTTACCCGTGTTTACAATATTGCCTAACTCCATTTCAAGATAGAGGTAATTTGACTCGTCGCAAAAGAAATTACAATTATCTTCTTTCGAAAAATAGATATGTAATTGAGCACTGCTTCGGCATACTCAAACAAAAATTCAGACAACTTTACCATTTGAAACTAAGAAATGTCGAATTATGTGTTCACTTCATAGGGGCCTGTGATGTATTGCACAACCTTTCAATAGAAGACAATTTACATGATTTTGAAGTTCCAATTGCACCAGAAGCACAGAATGAAGTAATTGTTGGACAAGCAGAGATGCAGGAAATGAAAATCAGGATGAACAAACTGGGATAACAAAAAGAAATGAAGTAATGAATAGCTTAAATTTCGTAATTTAGTATGTAATGTGTATGTATTTTTAATAAAAGCTTTTTGAAATAAATTTGAAACGAGTAGTGTTTATTAATTAACTAAATTATTGAAAAATAAATAAACAAAAAAAACAACGAAATTCTCTAACTAAAATAAAAACACTGTACAATTTAAAACTTAAATTATACTAATTTAAATTTGATCTAAATAAATATAGAAAAACATAACAAAATTCTCTTAAAATATGTAATTCAAAACTTAACATCTAAATTCTTTGAACAAAAAAATTAAACCTTTTAAAGGATATCAAGGTGTGGATTAGATCTTTCTAAATATTGTTTTATTAATTCATTTTTTTCCTGTAGAATGTATTTTTTTCTTTTTTTTCTGTTAATTTTCTCTCCTCAATTTCCAAAAGTTTGTTGTAAAATTCTTTTCTATCTTTCCGAATTTCAGATAAAATTGTAACTTTAACCCTTTTATTATTATTCATATTTGTAATCCTTTGAGGAGCTGTTACATCAGTTGCCTTGGTGCTGAGTAGCTCCTTGGTTTTAGGAAATTCTACCAGATTTTCCTTTTCAGGATTATCTCCTGTAATCACCTGTTGTTGGATGAATAACTGTGTCGGATGACAATAATACAACAGGATGAATGTTTCGTTTTTTACCCAAAATATCTTCGATTGCTTCTGCATACTCAAACTCTCTTCTTCCTCTTCCAGTTTTATTGTTGTTGTCCACATATTTCTTGAACATTCTCTCCAGATGTTTCCATCTGTTTTCACAATTTGATCCTGTTATATTTTGATTGTTTTTTTGTCTTAACTCCTTAGCAATTTCTTCATACATTTTTTTAAATTTTTAATTTTTAAAGACCCAACCAAGTCTCTATATTTTTTATATAGGTCCAAAAAATAAGAGTCTTGGTGTAATTCCATTTAAAGGTTTCCACCTCATCCTGGTCTTAAGAACACGAAGGTATAATGTTATATGCAATCACATAGTGATCATTATGATTATTTTACAAAATAAACAAGATATATAAATACAAACATTACAGAAATTGAAGGAACCAACAATAAATAAAAACATTGTGTACTGTAATATTTCAAACGGAACTTTATCGAATGTGTTCTCAAAATCTGAATACAAAACATCAGTTGGTTTGGTTGGCTCACAGTAGTCCATTCTTGAGTTATTTCATAAAATATGCCAAATCGTACAATTTACCCAGATTCAAAGAATGTCACGTCCTCGCAGAGTATTTCGTAATTTCACCCATGTTCCATTTTTTTTATCTATGTAACTACTAATCAATATGCAGTGTAGAATTCAACTTCCTGTGGGCTACCAACTTTGAAAGCGCCTACAACCATACAGCTGATCCAGAGTCTGGTCATTACACTACTTATTCGATAATAGTGTCTCGGGCAAATGAAAATCTGGATTACATTATAGGTAGTGTTATCTGGGTGCACGAGATCCGAGAACACCTATCTACAGGCGGAGACGTAAAGCTGGAGCTTCACGCGAAAGGGGCGTGGTTAATTTATTTCTGACCAATGGAGTAGAGGCATCCGCCAATATGGATGGTGTATGATCCCAGATCGTTTTGAAATGGCATATTTTGCAAAGAATTTAAAATTGCAACTAATTTTATTTATTTTGATGTACATTAATGATATTAAGTGCGGGTTGTGTATTGGGTGCTTTCAAAGTAACGAATATGCAACATTTGCCACAGAAAATTTTCATGCAGAATTGTGATGTTTCAAAATGATGAGTTTGGATACAATATGGCCTTTTTACGTAATATTGATATATTACGTACGATATAAGATATGTCAGACTGGCCTGTTCAAATAATTTTTAATCCAATGTAGCACAAGAATTTTATACATGTATTTACCCCTCATAAGTGCCGTTCTTTTGTTATTTATTATGTGACCTTTCTCTAATTGTCAGTCTGCGAATTAAGTAAGCAGTTTTTAGGTATATTAATTTTAGTATTGTTTAGAAAATGTATATGATTGAAACAGTCACTACAAAATTAATTTCGTCGTAGGTTGTGCATTGTATATATTTCTGGGATATACATAATCTTTAATTACGAGAATTCAAATTGAAGATATGTTGATCCCCAAAGTAAATTGATAAGGAAGATGACTTTGATTCTCTGGGATAAGCAATTGTGTTATGCATGTGCATTGTTCTACTTCTGCTTATTAGATTTCATCATTGAATAGTATTGTCTTTAAGCTATCTGTTTGTCTTACTAATATTTTTTATTTCCTCTCCAAAATTTGATTTTAATGTGTAAGCATAAATATGATTGATGATCAATTCAACAGTTTGTCGAAAACAAGGGATGTTCACTGAGTTAAAAGTGAAAACTGTAAAGGACATAAATGTATAATAATAAAGTATGGGATAATTGCGTGTTGCAGAACTAAATGAGAAGTTTGAAAATTTTGAAACTCGGTATTTGGAATCACTACACAGAATATTTTTTACAGATTTTTGATGTCATCTTACTGGTTACTTTTAAATTGGAAACACAGTGGAATTCAGTGTAAAAGGTCCCCCCATCTTATCTTTTGATGTCAGTAAGTGTTAGTAAGCTGCAATTAAGGGTTGATGCATGAATACAACGACTACTAAAAAATATAGATCTCTTGATTCATTCGAAAATCAAAAATAAGTCGTTGCGCACATGTCCATGTGCCAGGGGGAGTGCAGGTGTAAACAAAGCCTGAAAATGGCCGACTTTGGGGAGAGACATATAAGTTGCAAGGTCACACGTTTGAAGTGAGATCCATTGTTGTAGCATAGGGTGGGTATAGTTTTTCATTCAGGAAGAGAAATGCTACTTCTGAATAAGGCATTGCGGTCGGTAAAGGTGATTTCATGAGTTAGTAGCAAAATAATAGTTTATTAATATTAGTTTCTCATGTGGATAGGATTCTCAGCATCTCTGCAGGTAAAAGAAAAACGTCAGTTTCACAAGCACTACTAATTTAATAGACCAAATTGAAGACACTGAGACTCCTCAAAAATGAATTAAACATGCATCTTGCTGCTACTGGAGGGGGTTGATTTGATTTATAGTATCGATACGTACAGTTCAGAAGTATCACAGTATCAAGACAAGAGAAAAAATGTAACACAAATTATGAAATTACATGTATACAGTGAGAAGCATTAAAACAATTTGAGGTTAGGAAATAATAACCAGGCCACTGGTAGCCGAAAATAGATCATAAACATAACCTACACTTACCTCTGAAATGAAACATATACCCTATTATACGAGTATCCATCACGCTTTGACGCCTACTGAGGTAAACAGCTGATCAGCATGTGACATTTTTGTGTAAGTCTGCAACGTGGGCAATAATGGATCGGGTATAAATCTAGTAAAACTTGTTTGGTTTGTGGCGTTTTGTTTTTTGTATGCAAATGAACTTTTCTAAATAAAATACCAGTTGGCAAGTACAAAGTGAATCTGTAGCGTACAAAAAATCAATAACAAAATTCGGCTCTGTCTACCTGGCACTGACGGATCCCTCAGAATTATGTGTCCTTATGGGTAATTTTGAGATATTACTAGATAATTAGCTATCATTCTGCCGTGATGTATACTCGTGAAATAGGGTATATACCTGTATGTTCTTCTGCCTTGTGGGCTATAATTTCACATATGAGCCATTGAAGGCCAGGATGGTCCAAGTCACAAAAAGACGTTTCCGAGATATAAGGCTTTAAAGTTTAGCGGCTGATAAATGTAGAATAATAAAACTGCAGTAATAAATCAAAATACCCTTAAAGGTAGAATCAATTTAAGTATCTTATCATAAAATACATGAACATTTTGTATTCATGTATTTTTTTCATATGTTTAAGCTTCAACCCACTCTGCCTTAAAACGGTTCTTACCTTTGGTTTCATACTTGTATAACGATTATAGTAGAGTTACCCAACACTATGTGAATTAATAATTTTATTACAAAGCGACAGAAATCAATCTCCATACAGTAAAAAAATAAGGTATATTTTCTACACAAAAACTACTGTACTGACACGACTCTATGGAATTTCTGGAAATTTTCTTCTTCTTCTTCACTAACAAGCAGTGGTCCGGTATCTGTCAAAGTTGCATCTGTCTTCAGATTCTTGAAAAAACTGTGTTGAACTGGTGGTATGAATTGGAGAAGCTCTTCCATGTTTTTTCTTCTTTTTGTCGTTGACAGGAAGAGGGGATTCATACAAAAGAGGTAGGTTTATATTTTTGAAGTTTTTGGGTGCGTCTTTTCGATTTGGTAGTAAATTTATAAAATCATATGGAAATTCTTCATTCAAAGTTTCTTTATAAAAAATTTTGTAAGGTTCTTTTTTCTCAAAGTGTAGCCACTGGATCTGGAGCCGGCCATGATACAGTGGCATTAGTACCATTTTTCTTTCGTCTTGTTACAGCTTTCTCTAATGTTGTTGATGAGAAAAAATCAGACCGTTTCATCTCACAGACGTAAAAGGGTTTCCTGGGTCTGCATGTTCTTATTGTTGTATACCAGTCTTCTGGCACGTACTTGATGCTGTTTTTGCCCGCTGTTCTATAAGACCAAAGTCACGGTCGTTGGGAAGAAAAGAGTGGCCAGAAGCCATAAACTTGTGATCAATAGTTTCCAAACCTTCTGTATCAGCTAAGCGTTTGAGCCAGAAAAGGCATTGTTTGAAATTACGGTTTTGACCACCGCAGGCATCACTGTAAGCAATTATTTGACTAGCTCCTTTAGCGTGGACAGAAATGTGCTTCCGTATACATGAACCTATTTCTTGTGCCTCACGTGATGCAGTAGTCTCATTCTAGACATACATAAAACCTTTCTCATCTTCTCCGAGTCCATGTATTCCAAAGTTATACACGTACATATTCCCCTTGTAGTATGCCAAGGAGCATTTTAATGTTGAAAATGGTAAAGCTTTCTCCAAATCAAAGGTAAATCCATGGAGCTTACCTTGTATCTAGGATACACGCCGATCTATCGTTCGCCAGACATTGCCTTGCCTTCTCAGCTTTGCGCAGGTGCAACGAATGCTCTTGGTTTAACGTATTTTTTTCATGTTCATCAGTTGCACAGTCAAGTTTTGCTTTGAAAATGTCACACCGCACACACTTGTCTTTGGCTGGCCTGTGGAAGTGTAGGTTAAAGTCATGGTGGAATACATGCCTGAAAGTTGCTTCAGATACTATATTATCACCATTATACCGTTCTTTGTATAGGTGGTACATGAGCCTCAAATTCAATTTTGAATCCAAATACTTTCTATTTGGGTTGTGACTTCTCGAGTAGTGAGACTGATATGCGGGAAAGCTGTTGATGTGTTCTCGAACTGTTTGTATTTTTTCTTCTGAGGTTTTATTGGCAGGTATATGCCTTCCACGTAAATCTTCTCCTGGAGAAGAGACTCGTGCTCGCTTTAATGCCCTCCCAAGACGTCCATTCGATATCTGAAAGGTTTGCAGAAAGTACGACTTTCAAACCTTTTCTGAGATATTTTCTATGTTTATAAAGTATGAGTTGGTTGTGTTCTTTGTATTTTGTCTTGTGTTGTCTCTGGGTCGTCGTCGATTAATCGCACATTGCTTAACCAAACCGCATATGGAAGTGGTCCGAATATGAGCCCCCCATTTGTTTTTTTTTTATAAATTTTGGAAACTTACGAATAAATATCCAGTAAATTACACACTGCACGCTCAAAGGTTTACCTTATGGTATATTAAAAAGGCATTATCAAAAAAATTAAATTTAGGTCGAATTTGTGTCAACACTTAAATTATGTACAGATCTACTTTTGGATTAGACTGCGTGGAATATGGGCCCCCTAGTAAAATAATTGACAGGTATCTAACAATTTGAAAAAACATATATTTTTCAAATAAAAAAAACTGAAAATGAAAATGAAAATACATTTCAACTTAAAAACTAAATATTACACGCAAAAGTCACAAATATATGCATCTTTTTCGGCACCTGAACATTGTTCGTGAGCCCATTGATTGCACATGAAGCATTGAATCCATAGCTCTCCTCTCTGGTCATCGGAAAAGCAACCATCACAAAATAGGCATGCTGTATCACAGTCATCAGGAACAGATTTGCCAATTTCGTCGATATCCATATCTTCATCGTCTGGGACAAACTCGTGACTTTCATCCTCAGAGTCGTTGACTTTATTGTCTTTTGCTTGCTGTCTTTTTTTGTTAGTTGTCTTCTTTGCTTTTGATTTTAAAAAGACTTGTCGTTTGGTGCTTGCTTTCTTAGGCGTGTTGGTGCAGGATTTCTCTAACTCATCCTTGTAGGGGGAAGAGGTGATCACTTGCGATTTAGTTGATTTTCTTCCCCGAGTGGTATTTTTCTTTGTGACAGAAGGTACAGGTGAAATGTCAAATGGTGAGACCAATTTAACGGAATTTTCCTTTCCTGGAACAGATGGTCTAGAGAAATTGGAATTTGACGGCGACGATGTTGCCTGGGATTGTAATTTAGCTGTATCGTCCCAAAGAGAACATCCTGGCTGAGGTTCTGGGGTACCATGCTGGGGTTCTGTTGTGACAGGCTGCGCTTGAGGAAAAATGTTGCAGTTTTTCTCAGCCTGAATTCGTTCAGATATAAAATCTGCTTCAGAAAAAATGTGACGGTTGAACGGATATATTCCCGTCGCCCTAAAACCACTAGCAGCTATTTCGGCACACTGTGATTTTAAAAAGGCTTTACCTAAAAGTTCTGCCAAGTCAAACTGTGTGAGGGCTCGTTGGTTAACACGAAGCCAATTTCTAATTTCCTCACTGTAATAAGCCTTGAAACTTCCCATGAATGTTTTATCAAGGGGTTGTAATTTATGAGTTGAGTGAGGCGGCAAAGAGATAATGGAAATATGATTTTCACGAGCTAGTCGAATTACTTCTAAGTTTCGTGTGTGGCTATAATGGCCATCTAACACTAGCAGAACTGGACATTCTTTTGTTGGTTTAACAAATTTTATGAAATGCCTCATCCAATCGGAAAACAAATTCTGTTGCACCCACCCACTTGGATGTACTGCATAGATTGAACCTGGAGGAGCCCCTCGCATCAGCTGTTCGTTGCGATTTTTTCTCGGGAAAATTAACATGGGCGGTACAAATTGACCTCCAGCGCTCATTGCAGCTATAAACGTAACTAGTGAACCCCGTTCGGCTGAGGTAATTGAAGCAATTTGCCGTTTTCCTTTTCTTCCCACCACTGATGCCACCTTACTTTGAACAACTGAAAGCCCAGTCTCATCTACATTGTAAATTTGGTGAGGCGAAAAGTTATTTTTTGAGTATTCACTCTGCAAATTGTCAAAAAATTGCTCCACATTTTCCTTATTGAAGCCTAATGCTCTAGCGAAGGAAGTTCCTGTTGGTCTTCGAATAGAAAGTACACTTTTGTGACGTAGTAAAAATGCATCCAACCAGCTTCTCCCCGCCACACCATTTTTAAATGGATGAGCTATTCCATTACAAACAGCTAAGACATATGCCATTTTTCTAATGTCCTTTCTTGTGAGACCATAGTAAGTAGCTTCCATGGACAAAACATATTGAACAAGTTCTTCCTCCAGTTCTTTTCCTAATGTTGTCTTTCTTCCTAGTTGAGTTTTAACTACGTCACTAATATTTAAGTTACCTTCCTTTTGTTTTTTTAACAGTCTTTGAAGTGTAGATCGTGGCACGCTGAACTGTTTGCTTGCAGTTTTAAGACCCATTATTTTGTTATTAACACCGTCCATAGCCTTAACCATATCTTCACGTCTCCATGTTTGTCTTAAGTTCTTTGAAATAAACTTCGCCTTGCTTCGTGGCATAATGAACTGCAAAAACAACTTTATTAAGACTTGGTCCGAATATGAGCCCTGTCCCATAATAGGACCACGGTAGGGGCCCATATTAGCAACATTCCATCTGAATATTTAAAAGCATTCAATTTCTTCTCAATCCATTATTAGGTTAGTTTTTATGTTGGGATATCAAATACTGATCACTATTCTAACATACTAACACATCAACTCACCAGTTTTAAACATAAACGTTAATAAATAGCACAAAAACACTTACCGTAAAATATTTGTTGAACTACACAAATAAACTTATGTCACCTGATACTATAGAGATACACACGAGACTGCGTGCATAAACAGAAAAATGTTTGGGGGTCTAGTAGAAGTATTTTAGTACGAAATTCATAGATGTCGCGACGTGCTCTAGTTGAAATATATTGGGGGCCCATAATAAGTGCAGGGCTCATATTCGGACCACTTCCTCTATGCATTTTGAGCAGAGAAATCTCCTATCTTCCAAAAACGTTCAAAGACAAGCCTTCTTCTTTCTTCTTCGATTCGGTTGAAGCACCGCATCTTGCATTTACAGTCTACATTTGCAAATATCTTGGCAGGTACAGTAGAACTCCAATTTTCCGAATTAATGGGGACCGGGACCCATTCGGATAATCAAATATTCGGATAATCGGATTTTTTTTTTAAAAATTGCCATTGGAGAGAAAAATGCTACGTTTTGATATTGCACTATTTTTTTTATTGAATTAAATGAAAGAAACATGATATTTTCACATGTTTTAAATATAAATACATACATAAAATACATAAAATGTATGTACGTACATACATATGTACAAGTTTAGAAATAAAAATCATTGTTTTTTAAACATCTCCGTCAATGTAAGCTGTTTTGCGTTCTTCATCCGTTTTCGGGCAGCCAGGTCACGCATTCGCTTGACGGTGAGCAGTTGCAAGTGGTCACACTCGGGCTGACGCTCCATCCACTTCAAAGCAGTCTCGAGGCCGGCAAATGCTTCACTAGCTGATGGTCCAGCGTCTACTTCAACATCAGCAGAAAGTTCTTCTCCCACTTCCACTTCAACATCTTCTCTCACACTTTCAACAATTTCATCGTCATTGAGAATTTGAAAACCAGGGTCAGACGTGTCACAAGCCATCCACTCTCCTACATCTTCAGCACTTACTTCTGTACAACCAGGAATTTTTACAATCATTTTTCTTATTTCCTCTAGTGACAACGCATCTTCATCATCTTCATCCTCTCCATTTTCTTGTTTCTCATTTTCTTCAGATTCTTTTTTTTTGTTCTTCTCAGACGGTAGGCCTTTCAGTTTATTCCACGCACGTCTTAGCGTCACTGCCGTAACCAAACTCCAAGCTTCCGCTACCATGTAACAGCAGTCCTTTAAATTTATTTTGCTATGATTTGCCAAAACCAATTCTTCATCTTCAGCACCTTCGATCAGCAGTTTTCTCAGCAGTTGCCTTCTGTAATGGCGCTTCATTGTTTCAATAACAGACTGGTCCATGGGTTGCAGCAAACTTGTAACATTGGGAGGCAAAAACGTCGTTTTAAACTGCCCTTTCTCTCTTTCCAACAGTTCTGCTGTAGGATGAGTGGGTGCGTTATCAACAATTAAAAGCACCTTACTGCCTTCTTTTCCCACCGATTTTTGGTGCTTTTTCACTTCAGGAATAAACACTTCATCATACCATTCGGTAAACAAAGCTGCAGTCATCCAGGCCTTGGGTTGACTTTTGTAGAAGAGTGGAAGTTTTTTTACGTTTTTAAATGCTCTTGGATTTTTTGATTGTCCTATCAAAAGAAGTGGTAGTTTATGATTTCCAGTGGAGTTGGCACAGTTAAGCACTGTAACACGTTCTTTACTGACCTTATGTCCAGGGGCACTAGATTCCCTTTTAGAAGCCAAAGTGGTTTTTGGTAATGCTTTCCAAACAAGGCCAGTTTCATCGGCATTATAAACAAACTCCGGATCATAGGATTCTGCTGCAGTTTTAAATTTTTCAATAAAATTTTCAGCAGCTGCAGAGTCTGCTGAAAGCTTCTCACCAGCCAAATCTAACTCGCGTACACCATGCCTGAATTTAAAGTTCCTTAGCCAGCCGTTACTAGCCTTAAAAGATGAATAACCAAGCTTTTCTGCTAAGATTTTGGCTTTTTCACAAAGGATTGGACCTGAAATCGGATTTCCCATAGAACGTTGCTGCAAAAACCATTTAAACACGGCATCTTCCAAATTTTTGTTGGTTGCTGTCTTCATTGTTTTCCTGGAGGAACTTCCATCTTCATTTTCAAGCACCGAAACAAAGTTTAAAAGTGTTGACTTACTGTTTTTAATGTCACAAATTGTTGCTTGTCCAACACCATAAATCTCAGACAACTTCTTACCCGTTACACCTTTATCGAGTTGCTCTATAATTTTCAGTTTGTCCGCTAACGATAGCACAACACGTTTTCTTTTCGAAGCCATGGTGAAAAACAATACAGTACAATAGTATTGTAAGCCGTAGCGAAAGAGTAGCGTCCTCGAGCAAGGTCAATAGCACACTGACTATATTGGTGCGCCGTGACTGCAATGTGCCGGAACTGGAGTGGGGACTCATACCACGTGTTGTTGTGCCTACACTGACGCCGCGGACTTTGGACAAATTTAAAGTGATTCGGATAATCGGCGATTCAGATAGTCGGAGTTCGGATAATTGGAGTTCTACTGTACCACCTTGCCGGATTTTCCGATATACTCCTCGCCATGGCTTCGTGTCCTTTTTCGAATAGACTTAATATGCGAATCTGGCTCTCTAAGGCGCTTTCGTCCCAATCGCTTGGATTTGGGGGATTCTCGCCGACAAGAACTATCTAAAAGTGAGGTTATGTTACGATCAGAATTTTCAGTGAACAATGGATTTAATTACCTGATGATGTCGATTCAAACAGCTCAGAATTTTCCGGTTCGTACTCGCACTGAACGGTTCTCTTTCATCGTCGCTCAAACTCATTTTTAACACTGAAACTTCTTATGCTCGAACCACCGTTAGAATGTAAACAAATGAGTGCTTCAGAAGCATAGCACACTACTATTGAAAACCAGAGTGGGCTAAGTCACACTTGTCTCATTCTGCCTCATAACGGTTACAGCTTTCCATTGACATATAAAAACTGGTGCCATCCGTGTGCAAAACGAAAAGATACATTTTTCAAAACTCTCCCAGGCAAAGATTCCTCCATCCAGAGCAGTATGCACATAGAACCTCGATATCTGAAAATTTGGACTTGGACCATCCTGGCTTTCAACAAGCTCAAATGTAGCAGTGCCTCTCCATTCTTAATTTCTAAAACACGCAAAAAATCACTGCGGATAAAAATAACGAAAATTCGAATAAGTTACTCCATCAGTTCGAAAACTCACAATGACACATTCGAATTATGGGTGACACGTTTACGCATATTATACGTTAATTTCGTATGCGACGTTGTTAATTTTTGGGCATTCTGAGTCGTCCAACTAGATGTCATATCGCATTTTTGCTAAAAATAACCTAATAATTAATTTTTCTCAGCACGTCTTGGAAGGTATATGTATTGATAAGTACCTATATCTTTACCCGCTGTTAACTTATTAATAATTACAGATGGAAAGCATTTACGGAGATTTACTAGCCACCATTCAGGCACATGAAACATAGCAAATTTTGTAATAAACCGAATGTAAGTAGATAGGTCTAAATTTTTTAGTAGTCGGTGCATAAATATTATATTTTAGCGTAAAACTGTAAGCTGAAAATTTCAAAATGGAGGCCGGGCGCCATCTTAGAACATTTTTAAAATGGAATCTGACACCTATTTTTGAAGCTACCACTTTTACGTTGAAGTTAATAATAGTAAATAACTTTCATCGCCATGAATTTTTGCCAACTTGACCCGTACAAAAAAATATGTGGAGGTGGCAGGTGTGGAGGTGGTGAAAAGCACTGTATATTATTGGTAAAGACTTTAAGTTTGTGGCCTAATGTAGTATTTCTATAATACTAATTGTCTAATTGATATGATGGCCTTTTTAAGGTATATTTTGATTCTTTGATGTTTTAATTATGTTAAAAAATACATTTCTCTTCCTATTTGTTGGGCTTCCCAAAGCAAATGCGGCAAAACAGCTTTTTGCTTTGGTTAGCAAATATGCTTTATACAGTTTGTTTTTAGGTACTTCGTATGAAACCGTATACATGTATAAAATTCTAATATAACTGTTTATAGTTTGTATTATAAATAAATAGCTTTAAATAAAGTTTTGTTCCTTTTTAACTGGTCTTGTTGATGTATTTCTTCTAATATCAATATATCAGAATTAGATAACGAAGATTGAAATCAGCTACCAAAAGATCAAAGGTGGATTTCAACGAGTTTTGATAAAGAGTAGTATTATTTTATTATTTTTAACGCTTTGTAATGATTTGCGTTTTATCTACACTTGATACCCAGGTCGTACATTTCATAAATGGAAAAGGGGAGCCCCACAGTTTTTCAAAACTTTCAGCTTCAAACTTCTTTTCACGTAATGAAGTATACTGTAGTGATTTGAATCGCCTCAAAAGTGTGTTTCACAATATACATTTTCTATACGCTAATGTAACCAATGCAAGCAAAAGCCGAGAAACAATTTTTTTGATACCTCCAAAAATATTTACATCAAAATTATTATGAGCGCCCATAGGAAGTGAGGAAGTCAGAAAGAAGTTGTTCTCTAGAATGTACATAGTATGGTTTTGTGTACAGTTTTGATAGTCCGGGCAATATATTCATATCTGTTGGGAAAGGTATTCTGATTCATATTTTTTGCACAATCTTACTCAAAAAGCCCTCCTTTAACGAATCTGAATGGACCAAAGTTGCGCCAAAAAATATTTGAACAAACTTCAAATATCTTTTTGGCTCCGGTTGAAGTGCTTTTAGGTTTTCTGGGATATTCTGAACAAAAGGTACTTTTCTCTAAAATTGATAGTTTGCCAGATATAAGCGCACTCACGGAGAGTATGCGCTGAACCCGCGCTCGATTAACAATTAAAAACAAGGAATTGCAATAATACGTCCTGAAATGCTTTGGAATTTTGTTAATGGGTGTTTTGAAAAATATTTAGGAATGTTGAGAACATTAAAATTTCAATTTTTTTATATTGTTTCACATACGTATGCCCTGAAAACTACCAACTTTAAAGAAAAGTTGTAAAAGATCTTTTTTGTTCAGAATGTGCCTCTAATAGTGATTCTTGGGATCTATTCAAAGACATTGTTTAAAATATTTTTAGGCAAATTTGGTCGTGAGATGCAGAATATTTTTCCCATTAGATGCGAAGATATTGCCCGGATTATGAGGGTTCTTAACCCCCCTCTTCCCCGTTCTTTAAAAAGTTATTTCATTATATACAAAGAGTTGGTGGTGTCTAATTGGCCCCCTGATTAAAATTCCTCCGGGCGCCCATGAAAATTATCGGGTTTTCAACAAATATCTGCAAATCTGCATACGGAGCTTGAGGACGGTCTGAAATTTCATTTCTTGATCTCTGGAGCGATTCTCAGAACTTATAAACCCTTTTCGTTTAACATAATAGGTAGTAACTTTGTGTCGATATTACATTAAAATCCGAAGGGTACTTTCCGAGCTAAAGGATCCATGGATCATCAAACAGACCGAATGTGCGCGTATGTCGTGCTGGACATTTTATAGAAGCGTGTTGCACAAGGATCAGAGATTAAAATCGAACCGCTATTAAATATTGCATCCTTCAAAACAAACAATAAAAATCTTCGGATGTTTAAACGTTTTGCAGACACCCTGTAAACGAAACTATCATAATTACGGATCCTTTCAGATTACCAAAATAAATACGTTACGATAGAATTTGAAGCACTGCTGATCTCAACAAAGATATTAAATCCACTTCAGTTAGATATTTTTTTATCAAACTCAATGAGTGGAGTTATTCCATCTCATCTTCTGCTATCATCAGATGCCTATGAGTATTAGAAGACATGAAATTTCTGTGCATATTTTTGGTGTTAATTTTAGCTAACTTCGTGAACAGTGACTATAAAGATTTGATACACCAAATGGTGAAAAATGCGGCGAAAAGTGAGAACAAAACAGAATGTGATAAAGCTTTGAATAAGTTGTTGAATAATATTTTGCATCCTAAACTGGACGATCTATGGGGATATAAAAGTAAGTTTCTCTTACCGTCTTTGTAACAAAAGCGTATCAAAATTCCTTTGAAATGATAATATTAAGTTAAATAAACACTTTCTATGTCCTTGTGGCTAGATTTTGTAAATACATAAAATTTAAATCAAATGTTGCTTCCATGCTACGAATCACTTTCAACTGCAGGTTGCGTCACTATGTTCTACTCCTGAGTCAGTCAAACATCTGGCGAAACTGTGAGCAAAAGTCTCATTATGTCGCTGTATCCGCATGGTATAATAGTAGTAGTTAGTAAACAATAGTACCAGGAAGGAAAGCGGAGAAGAAATAACCTAGTATACTATCCATTTAATTTATACAGTGATGCTGATACAAAAAAATGTTTACAATTGTCAGTTAGACTGAAAAAAAATTTCATCATATAGCATGAAAGCCACTTACATGTACATCACACTTAAAAGTTTTTAACTATCACAACACGTTAAAAACGATATTTAGAAAATCATCAATTTAGTATCAAAAAATTTCTAATGCGAGTCTTGAAATCATTTAATGGCAATGATCTTATATGTAGTGGGAATTGAACATTTTAATCTCCCAGAACCTCGGACGAGCTTGGTACCTTCTCAGTCGCCAATATATATAGACATGAAATTTCTCTTCTTTTTGGTATTATATTCATAAAAATCTTCAAAAATTTGGCAGAAATCTTTTGTCTTGGCAGATTTCAAGCGCTCATACACATACAGACATATTAGAGTATATTCACCTTTGTTATCTCGGAAACTGTAAGAGATACGGAGTCGCTTAAATGGGGTCGCTTAAAAGTTGCTGCGTATTTCGGTAATCAACCAAATGCCTTTTAAAAAGTTTCGAAATTCAAAGAACTTCCGGAGAAAGACGGAAAACACAGAAGTTTCCCAAATACTATATGTACGTTTTAATTTTTTGCTGACTTTATTTTTAGTGGGATTTCAAAATAAATTGTTCATTCACATTGCCACTTTTTCTCCTCTACAAGAAGGCATAATTAGAATTTTAATATGATGTTCCGTCTCTTGTCCTTCAGCATCAACTCTATTTCTTCGTATGAACGCCATATTGGATTAATGCAAAGATAAATAGAGTTTTCAATTCTGATTCCAAAAATGTATAATACGTCATACATTGACATTGCCAAACCTTAGTTATCATTATTATTATTTAAAAAAAAGCCGAATTTCCTAGGTAGGCCTAGAAATTATTATCAGATAGTCATTTGTTTCGCATGCCAGATTTATGACGAAATCACTTTTGTTTTCCTGACTTTATATGAGATGGGATTTCAAAATAAATTGCATGTTGTCAATGTTTCTTATTCTGCTCTACAAGATGGCGTAAATTATACACAGTACATTTCCTCTTTCGACTTCCACCACCAACTTTGTTTTTTCATATCGACGATAAATTAGAATTTTATATAATAAATGGACTTTTCAGTCACTGATGTATTTCCTTAGATGGCCATGAGTTTGTTGTTCGAAGAAAATTATAAGGAAATAAAACGCTATGGTGAAACCTGACACAAAATGAATGTTTCATTGATGGTAATAATAATAATCATAAATTAGCAGAACTAAATCACTGCACATGTTCAAAATGTCCGATATTTTGTAAGCAAAGGCTGACTCTTCTCTATACAATACTTGGACATAAATGGTTTATCTAAATCTGTTAACTTAACTTCGTTATTCATGTACGCTGGTGATATGTCGTGCATAGTGTCTGACAAAAACATCCCCAATAGCATTAAATAGTTATTAAATATTTCTAAAAAATGTTTGTTAAATATTTGTAGCGACACATTTTTAATATTTAATAAATATATTTCTTATATATTTATAAAATATTCATTATAGATATTTGTAGTATATATAAATCACATATTTTTGCGATATTATTTCCAAATATTTAGAAAATATATGAGGAAAGATTTTTAAATGTTAATTTTATATTTTGATGAAATTGATTTTGATGACATTTAACGTTTGGCATCACGGCGAAGAGATTCGCGTGAAAATTTTGCCAGAGTTTATGTGAATTTTCGGGGAAAAAGTGTTTAGAAAAATCGGAAACTTGCACGTATGGCTATTTAAGGGCTTCTCAATCCCACTATGTAAAAATCCGGACTTTTCACCGATTCTTTGAACATAAACAATCAGTTTGATCCAGTTTTATTACTCTTGGAATTTGGCAAGAATCCGGTGCTCTGTTGTCACGTTGTGCCTATCATCATGAGTAATACGGGAGAGACGAAAAGGACTACATCGCGCTCTGTGAATTCGGTGTGTGATTGTGCCAGTTTTGCACATATCCTTACGGATGTGAAGAAAAAAATGGATACCTGTCATAAGATAATTGTTGCTCAGAATGCCAAGATAGAGGAGTTGAACTCAGCTGTTGCAGTGCTGACAGCTAAGTTGAAAGAAAGAAGTGTTGCGGCCAAGGAGGCTCCTGCAGTTCAAAATATCAGTTACAGAGATGCAGTTAAGCGCACTATGCCAGAGGAACACTTACTACTGGTGAAGCCAGCAAATGATGAGCAACGCGACTCCCTTAAGCAGAAACTGGTTATTAAAATAAATCCAGAGGATCTACAGGTTGGTGTGCAGATAAATAAGGTAAATACCAACGGCGACATTATATTAAAATGTGATAATCGGCAATCGCTGGAAAAAGTTAAGGCATCCATAGAGGGGCAATTGTCGAATACTTGCTCTGTCTCTTTACCAAGAAAACGGAATCCCCGCATTCGTGTCTTGGGAGTAGATACAAGGAAGATGCAGTGGTGTTCAGAGACAAAGTGTTTAACCAAAATAGCGTTCTATCTAATATACATGACCCATTATTCAGAATTGTATATAAATATCCAGTTAAAAATGGCAAGTTTGATCTTGTTGCTGAGCTAGATCCTAAGTCTTTCCATTCGATAATGGGTGAAGGAAAGCTAAACATAGGATGGAATCGTTGTCCTGTTTACGAGCATTTTTCTGTAGTTCGTTGTTTCAAGTGTTGCGAGTACGGTCACATACAAAAAAATTGTAATAATCAGACTATTTGTCCAGCTTGCTCTGGTAAACACGAAAAAAGTCAATGTAGGAATGATGACTCCATGTGTTGTATAAATTGCATAAATGCCAATAATAAACTTGGTAAAAACTATGATACCTGTCACTCTGTATGGGATAACAAGTGTGCGTGTCTACAAAACATTGAAAAGTTTATCAGGAGTAAAACAAACTACTCCTAGTACATCCTTTGGCTTATTTTTATTAACGTATATTGTTTATTTCTATTTTCTTCCATACAACACATTTTTTATCCATCTTTTTTAATCTTTTTATCTCATACTCTTTTTTATTTCTTGTTGTTTGTTTTTATATCCTTATATTTTGTTTCATTATGTCTCTGTTATGTGAATTTGATGTCATTCGTAATGAGGAGCATAATATAATGATCGGGTGCCTCAATGTTAGGTCGCTAATTTGCTCTTTTCATGATGTGAGGGACTATGTTCTCACTAAAAAATTGGACATAGTTGGTTTCACAGAAACTTGGCTCAAACCAGACGTTTTTGAAAGTAATGTACAAATTGCGGGATACCAGCTTTTTAGGCATGACAGGGTTGATAGGCGAGGCGGAGGTATTGCCTTATATGTCAGAGTTGGCTTACGATGCTCAATGCTGGAGAACTTGCATGCAGAGGTGAACAGTGGTTTTGAACAGCTTTGGGTAAATATATCTGTGAACAAAAAAAAGTACACGGTTGGAGTAGTTTATAAACCCCCCAGTGTCAGCTATAGAACTCTGTCGGAGCTGGAGGAAATGTTGACATCTATATTTCCAACATCAGAGGGTTTAGTATGCATGGGCGACTTGAATATTAACTTCTTTGATTGTAGTAGTCCTGAATGTGTCTTTGTCTCTAACATTTTTGAAGATTTGAATCTGCATCAAATAGTTGACCATGAAACCAGGGTCACGAATAACAGTAGTACCTTAATAGATGTCGTTTTCGTTAATGATGAAGTTAAGATTGCTAATAAAGGAGTTGTGAATCTTCCTGCGGTGTCCGATCACTATCTAGTTTATTTTTGTGTGGAATGTGAACCAGCCGTTAGAGATACAAAATATGTACAGACCCGTGATTTAAGGAATATTGATGAGTCTCTTTTGAATGAGGTAGTGTCTAATATGCACTGGCTAGGTGTTATCGACTATGATGACATTGAATCAAAACTGCAACATTTTTACAGCCTTATTGATGATCTGCTAAATATATGCGCACCAATTAAAACCAGGAAGATATCAAAAGCACGTTGTCCCTGGATTACACACAATATTAAATTCATGACTGTGACTGCATTAGTTGACATTTGTGATGACTACTTGAGAGCTATAGATAATTCCTGCGTAACTACAACTGTTCTGCTGGATTTAAGAAAGGCATTTGACTGTTTAAACCACAAAATGTTATTGGCTAAGCTGCACTTTCTTGGTTTTTCTGAGAATTCGATTACATGGTTTGACAATTACCTATCAGATCGACTTCAACAAGTTAAAATAGGCAGTGACTATTCTGACAATCGGGTCATTGTAAAGGGGGTGCCGCAAGGTTCCATTTTAGGACCAATCTTATTTACTTTATACGTGTCGGACTTGGATCGGTCGGTCAAACATTGCGCTTTACATTCTTATGCTGATGATACCCAGCTTTATCTATCCTATGATCCCTCCTCATGTGTTGATGCTAATGAAAAACTAGCAGTAGATTTAAGCGGCGTTTGTGATTGGTTTAGATACCACGGGTTACACATAAACTGTAGCAAATCGGCCATAATTACCTTCCGCTCTAAGAAGAACGAGTTCAGTGGAGATGCTATAAAGCTATGCCTCAATAGTGAAGAGCTCACACACAAAATATCGGTATTAAACTTAGGAATAATCTTTGATGAGCACTTAACTTTTCATGATCATATTTCTAAGGTTGTACAGAGCTCTTTTGCTAAACTAAAAAGCATCTACAGCTTTAAGCACGTGTTGTCTCAAGATACTAAAATTAAGCTTTGCGATTCACTCATTTTAAGTAAGTTAGAATATGGAAGTCCCGTGTTTGGTCCTTGTTTGACTGAAGCCGAAGTTTACAGACTTCAGAAAGTGCAGAACAGCTGTATTAGATATTCTGTTGGAATCCGAAGAAGGGAGCGAGTGTCTCCATTTATTCAAGAAGTGAATTGGTTGACGATGAGGCAGAGGTGGTTGGTTCACATTTTATGTTTGGTTCATAGCATTTTATTGACCAAATACCCTATATACTTAAATAATAAGTTATCCTTGAGAAGTCAGCATCATGCAGCCAACCTCCGTTTCGTTGGTTACACCCTTAACACGCCCCATCATAGAACCACCCTATTTACTAAGAGTTTCTCTTTTGTTGCACCCAATCGCTATAATATGCTCCCTGTCAGCTTTAAAGTTTTATCTGTTCCACTTTTTAGGTCAAAAGTAAAAAAAATTGTTTTTGAAAATATGTCATAATACCTTATATTATTTAGTTTTTAACTTATGTAATGGTGTAACTGTTAACTGTGAATATATAGGATTTTTTCTTTAAATTAAAAAAATGCCTATTTTTGGCATAATAGATTTTTCATTATTGTTACTCAACAATGTTTATGTATCCCAGATTTTGTATTATAATTTTGTTTGGCCCTGGTTGGTATGAAAAACAGCTTTTAGCTGACACCCGCCAGGTTAAATAAAGGCTATTATTATTATTATTATTATTAAATATCTAATATTTTTCGTAAATATGTATGGATTTTCAAGCATTAATCTGATACATATTTTAAGTGTATATAGAAAATTCTTCATTGGTTATTTTAGCAAAACCTGTAGGAATGCTTACATATAAAATTGGGTTTATAAAGAAAATTCATTCTAGATATAATGGTTTAATTTGCTAGAAAAATATTATTAATTAAAACATTCTAAGCCTCTTCTGCATTTTGCAAGTCCACTCCTCTGAAAATAGAACAAACTTACTAATTATGAAGTATTGAATACATACAAGTTGCTTTCCAGTGTATTTATGGGAATATAAAATGCAGTGGAACAATATTTGTGCTGAGCATGGTGATTACTCCGAGTAGCTCAACTGGATCACTAAGCAGCTCTATAATGCGCCTAAAAGGACCCCACATTTTCTGCCTATGATAGTTCGAGATTTGGTTAATTCTTAAGCAAATTTGGTATGTTATTTTATCTTGATGGAAAATGTCCATGGGCACAACTTGATCCTCTGACTAACTTTTAAAGAAAAGGTTTTTGAAAACCACTTATTGATTTTGTTGAAATGTGACCTTTTTAGTAAGGGAGCTAACTTAGCCATAACTATTTTGTGATTTTATATTATAATTCAAGGGACAAAAGTATAGTGTTTTCGACTGTTAACATTTTTTAACGTACTACGATAAAAATAATAATAATAATAATTGAGATATTTAAAAAAAGCATTTTTGATGTATCTCGATCAAGTTGCGATTATGCCTTTTCAGTGGGATGTTATAAAAATAATTTTCGTATCCATTCTCAGATAAATCCACCAATACCAAATAACTGTTACACTTCAAGGCTAGATATGTATGGTCTTGTGAATACCTTTATACTCAGATGGCACAATAATGTTTACTAGTCAGATAAATTAAGCTGTGTAATTATCGAATAACTTACCCTTTTCCACAAAAAAAAAACACTCAAATAATGAACTTGGAGGTACACAGGAAGCACGCTATCATAGTGAAAGTCCAGGTAAAATGGATGCCGGCAAACGGGTCTCCTCAGGCCGGATTGCTATTATCCCATTCGTCGCTCGTGGTCACACGCACATGCGGCGTAGCCGAAAATATTTAATGAATATTTTCTAAATATTGGAGATTTAATATTTTCCATTGATTGAAAAGTAAATATTTAATGAATATCATAAAAGAAATATTGTATTTAAAATATTAAAAAATATTGAAATAAATATTTAATAAAAATATTATATTACAAATATTTATTGAATATTTGTTTCAGAAATTAAATATTCAAGTAAGATAAAAATATTATTGAATATTAAATGAATATTTCATGCTATGGGGGATAGAACAGTTGTCTCAAAAATCAGCTATGCTTGTAAATAGCGTTTTTCTGGGTTCTTTTGGGTGTGGATTAAAACACTGGATTCCACAAAGGAGATGCACTAATTTATTTAACTTGATAGAACATTTATGTACACCACTATTTATGTCTGACTAATTCTTATGTCTCCTTTGACTACACTATACTTCACTCCGCTCTGCCACTCTACCGTATTCAGTACTCTGCTTCCATCTCCCGGCCGCCAAGTTATATATAGTTCCCATTGCTGCTTCGAGAAAGCTCTGGTGAACCACAAAGCGGCATCTAGAATATTGGATTTCACTTCGCGTCGATATAGAAGGCGATCCACTGTCACGGTCCTCACAGCCGCCGCCAAGCGGCTTATGCGGTCGTGGATTGCGTAAAAGCAGAGATCGGCCATGAAGCTCTGGTGAGTAGGAGACTCGCTCAACAGATGGCGCCAACAGTATTATTTGTC